CATAACGATGACCACGACTGTGGTAATTTATCAGGTCTTACTACTCGTACGGAAATAGCTTTAGTTGAGAGGCCAAAGCGGAAGCGGGCACGAGCAGACACAGTAGGTAATAGTATATAGTTATATATCAATTAACTACTCTACTCTTACTTTTGGTTGGGCCGGCCAGCTCATGAGCTGGCCGGCCCAACCGTGAGCTTCAAAACTCGTGGTTGGGCCGGCCCGCTCATGAGCGTGAATAACTCACGGTTGGGCCGGAACATATACAACCCCTTTGGATTCCTTCAAAGTTCCAAGAGTTGTTAGATAGTAACTCTTCCCTCACCATAATCGGATCTTCTCACCTCGTTCCTCAACTGGACCCCTACATTCTTCCAAGTCCCTGATTTAGAGTAGCTGACATTCAAGTCATCACTAGAGATGGATTCTTCTTCAAACGAACACCCAACAGCCGCGCCATCTGAGGACAAAGAAGAGAGAATGAGCATATCATCCAAGCCACCAAGGCGCTGCGCCGTCACATGGGTCTTCCCGAAGATCCCACTGAGAAATCATCTTCAGCCACACCATCGTCAGTAAAGCCAACTTTCTGGGTCGAAGTTGCTCCACCATCGACTCGGGGCGCAAAATGTCGGCTCGACGGCTGCCCGGCGATTATTATGCCAGGACAATATAGGATTGCTGTGTATCCAGGCCTCCATGATTTCCGCGGACACCAGAGTCCAGGTATAACACTTAAACACTCCGCCTTTCTATACAATTCTAAGCTGCAGGGCTGATTTTTACTGTCAAAGATTTCTATCACGTCGTCTGTTTTGAGAAAATTGCGGATTTCTCGCAAGCAGACTTTGTGAATCAGGTTCAACCAGTTACTTGGAATACGTGGTCGTTCCGGAATCTCAACTCATCCAGCGTGCTCGATGGGAACTATCTTCTGGATGCCGGAGCTGAACGATTGACGATATCCTGGAAAGAGGCCGTCAAAAAGCTGATTGATGAGCGAGATGGTGTGGAGACCAAAGACGATGCCGAGACCAAAGACGACCCGAGTGCAGCTGTCAGAGACCTGCTCGACAATGCTGGCTCTTCCAAATACGTGCCACAAGAAATTGCAGGTGCGAACGCGTTCGAACTTCGGCTCTTAAGCAGCACACTTGCTCCAAATGAGAGTGACGGCCCTGAAGATACCGACGAGTGGAATCTTTTTGATGAGTACTTGGTTGCAAGAGACGATGACCAAAAGAGTTTGGACAACCGGCACACTCTGGGCATGACACTCTTTCTCTGGAGAGATCATGTTGTAAGTTTCATGGAGCCCTTTATTGGATCCAGGTTAACTGTACAATCTATATAGGTTGCTTGCTACTTCTAACAACCCCACTGAAAAGGACAAGAAGCGGATAGAGGAAGAGCTTGACCCAAAAGCCATCCGAGCAATTAAACGTCTCGCTGTCACTCCAATGCCAGATATTCAAGGCGCTTTTCTTCGAGGCTTGTGAACCACCAAACAAGAATCAAACAAAAGTCACGCGAAGTGAGCAGAGAATTCTGGGGACTCAACTCTGATATTTTTTTGTCTTGCGTTTGCAACCCGATACTCCATTCTCGGAGACTCCTGCTATGCACCTATATCAAGCCAAACACCTTCGCTTGAAGCCCCGGAATAAATACAAATATGTGGTATCAGTTTAGCTCATTAAGTCCTCCAAGATAGCTTCTAGCTCTTCTCTCCTGAATGGAATGGAAAGAATTTCGGTTCCCAGAGCATCTTTGCGGGACGTGATCATCTGATGGTCATGGAATCTGTAGTAAATTGTCAGCATTTCTCCCTGTACGTCCTGTAAGTTGAATAGGGGGGAAACATACTCCTTCAACAGACTCCTAAACGACACCTCGTCACCACACACAAAGTCCTCCACAGCCTTCTGATACAAGGCCCTATACTCCACCCCAACCTCAGCCGATCTAGAACCCCCCATCCGCTCTCCAAGATGCCCCTCCTCATCACCATCCTCATCATCACCGCCGCCAAACCCATCCATCTCCCCATCGGCATCCATAACCATCAACTGCTCCACGCAGAGAATCTTAAACAAGCTCCTCGCATTAACAGGCAAACTCCTCAAGACGAATCCCACCCCCTCTTTCCCACCGACTCTGCGCCCGCTACGGCCTAGGAGCTGGAGCACGCTGTCAACGACGTCCACTTCCGCCGAGTACGTTGAGAAGGTCGTGCAATCGTGGAACAGGAAGTTGAACGATGTTCGCGCTGAGCTGTCCCAGAGCAGAGGAAAGGACGGGTGGTCTGTCGAAGCAATGACGCTGATCTGAGGGTGTGCAGCTAGGCGCGCGAACATCGACTGCGTGGCTGCTCGGCGGATGGGCTGGCCGTCAAGAGAGTGCACGAGGAGAGTGATGCGTACATCGGATGTGGAGAGGTGGGTGAGTAGGCGGTCGAGGACTTCGGATGGTTGGGTTCCGAGTTTCTTGGGGGCGTTGGGGATTAGTGAGAATATCGTGTTGAGAACGTCGCGCATGGATGTGCTTGGGTTGTACCCATTGACCACGACGATTTTGGCTTCGTTGTTTTGAGCATATATGTGATTCGCATATGACGTGAGGAGTTCGCGCTTCGAACCCCAGCCGTAGAGACATATATTGAAATTCTGGCTCAGTTCAAAGTCCCACTGCGGGAATGAGCGTTCATGGATGGAGCTTAGGAATTCTAGGTCTTTTGCGTGGGGGTCTTCGTAAGATCGCAGAAGGGTGAAGTATTCTTCGTGGTCCAGAAGTCGCAGAGACGAGAGGTTGTTATTTGAGGTTTTCATTGCTGCACCGCGATTCTGCGCAAAGAATAGCTCGTGGGGTGGCATATCTCGAGGAGGGCTTGGTGTGCGGATGCGGTTCTTTGAACCCTTTGGACGGCCACGGCCCCTTTTCGAGGGCGTTTCTGGAACAGTTGGCTCCACTGATCCGCCTTCGGGTTGGGGAGCTTCGCTTTCAGTAGCATCGGCCTGCTCTTCCTTGTCAGAGTCGTATATGTATCGAGAAACAACATCATCGTCTTCGTCGGAGCTCGCCTCCCCGTTTATAGTCCTCTCAATCAACGTTCGAGTACTTTTCCGGCGGGCTGAGCGATCCGCCGCATTGCGCGCCTTGGATGGGGTGAGAAGGCCTAAGGGCTTGGATGGTGTGGCAAAGAGAGTCTTCCCTTTGGGAAGCTTCTTCGGCGTTGGCGTTGCGCCATCAGGTTTTGGGAAGTTCTTGCTTCCTTTGGGTCGACCGCGGCCTCTTTTCGGGGTCACCGCTTCGACAATTGGTAGCGACTCTTGTGTAATGGCATCCTCAAAGGATCCAATGCCTATTTTCTCACTGGAGGCGCCATTGGTTTGCGGCCTGGCGGGTCGGGGCTTCGAGGGGGTAACGTTTAAGTCGGTCTCATTTAAATCCTCTCGTTGCTGCGAGCGAGCTCTCTTTCTTGACGATACGTCGTCGAGGTCACTGTCCTCTTCGATAAAAGATTTGCGTTTCATTGTCGTCTAAAGGAGTCGTTAATTCAAGAATTGGCACATTCCAGACAATTTAACTCGGCTCGTTCCTCAAATCGTCAGCCCTGCGGTCACAGCCTGACGCGGTACAATAGGTACAAAAGGAACAAACGCGTCGTCAGGGCGGGTGTCCAGCCGGGGTTTAGCCACCAAGTTTCTCCGGTTCCTGCAAAACGTTCCCCACAAAGTGCCAGGCCGTTATCGCCATGACTCTTCATCGCAAGCTCCAACATTGTTCATAAAAGGATTGGGATGTAAGTTTTGGAGAAAATTGCTTGCCCTTAAATGACCCCAGTATGAGGCTCTGACATTACATTATTATAGCCCAATCACGCTTCTCAATGGCTCTCAAAGGCCCCTCAATATCGACAGCCGTAAAGGGCCTGATAAGGCCCTCGGTACAACAAAAAGCGCCCAAATCTCTCCGCAACTATTCAGCTCCCATATCTGGAGCAATTCCAGCTGCGAAGCAAAAATATGTTCCGACAAGCGGCAAATACCCAAGGGGCTTCCTTGTTTCGGGGACCCATGTCGGCGTTAAGCCTTCAAATAAGTCCAACCCAGACATAGGCCTCCTCGTCTCGGAAACACCCTGCGGCGCCGCCGCGGTATTCACGAAGAACAAGTTCCAGGCGGCTCCAGTGACGATTAGCAGGAATATGCTGAATCGCAGGAAGAATACTGGGATTCGTGGGGTTATTATCAACTCTGGGTGCGCCAATGCTGTTACTGGAAAGGGCGGCTTAGAAGATGCGGAGAGCATGGGAGCTGCTGCTGATGCCTGCTTTACTGCGCCTGGCGATGGCAAGGGGGGAAGCTCTATAGTAATGAGCACTGGAGTTATCGGACAGAGGTATTTAGACTGGTTTCTGTGCCATAGGCCATACACTAACATCTGATGCAGGCTCCCTATCAAAAAGATTCTCGACGGTATCCCAGCAGCTCACAAAGCACTGGGTTCATCCCATGAGCACTGGCTAGCCGCCTCCTCAGCAATCTGCACCACCGACACCTTCCCCAAACTCATTTCGCGCACCTTCTCCCTGTCATCTTCGCCGAACACGGAATACCGCATCTCGGGTATGACAAAGGGCGCCGGCATGATCCACCCCAACATGGCCACTCTTCTCGGCATGATCGCAACCGATGCGCCGATCTCCCCGGCTCTCCTCCCCACCCTCCTTACCTCCGCTGTCGATTCGTCGTTTAACAGCATATCCATCGACGGTGACACATCCACAAACGATACCGTGGCGCTCTTCGCCAACGGCGCTGCTGGCGGCCAGGAAATCACGTCGGCTTCTTCTGCGGATTACAAGGAGTTTCAAGAAGTGCTCACGGAATTCGCGACGGATCTTGCTAAGCTTGTCGTCCGCGATGGCGAGGGCGCTACGAAATTCGTGACTATCCGCGTCACGGAGTCTGCTACCGTCGAGGCGGCCCGCAAGGTCGCTTCGACGATTGCGAGGTCCCCGCTCGTCAAGACGGCGCTGTACGGGAAGGACGCGAACTGGGGACGTATCCTCTGCGCTACTGGCTACGCGCTGATCTCGGAGCCAGGGCTGCCGATTAATGACGTGGAGGAGATCGCGACTGACAGGACGAATGTGTCGTTTGTCCCGGCAGATGGCTCGGCGGAGCTGAAGCTCCTGGTTAATGGGGAGCCGGAGGCTGTGGATGAGGAGAGGGCGGCGGAGATTCTGGCGATGGAGGATTTGGAGATTGTGGTTAGGTTGGGGACGGGGGAGGCGGAGGCGAACTACTGGACTTGTGATTTTAGTCATGAGTATGTTACTATTAATGGGGATTATAGGACGTAGGTTGGGCTCGAGGGGATGGAGTTGATGGGTAGGGAATGAAGTGCAGAAAGCATATGTGGGCATTCTGGGGTTAATTTTGAAAGCATTGAAAGTAGTCATGCAGCGGGCTGAAAGTTTGGACAGTGACTATGCATGAGTGACTGTGGCTCAAAGTTTGGAGAGTGACTGTGCATGACAATGGTGATTACAAGTAACTAGAATTGGAAACAAACAAAGAAAGAGCCTTAAGATACTAAAGCACTGTCCATGACAACACTGTCTGCAGCATCTGTGATTAATACGTTGTTGATACAAAGCCGTTCAATCACTCTGGTCTATAATCACAGTAGCTGTGATCAATACAAAGTCCGTTAAACCACCCAGGCCAATAATCACCCCGACTTATGCCTCGGTCGTGTGGCTGACACCAATATACAGTACATGTGTATCCACATGAGTTTCCCAGGACTGCAGCCTCTACTATAACAGGTACTTCTCCCCCAACTGAACTCAACTCAACTGGAACGGGTATGTACTCTACTGTATAATCTAGTACTCTACCCGCACGGTACATGTGCTGTTAAGGGGCTTTCTTCCTGCTATTCGCCCTCCCCCTTCCCTCTTTCCCACTGGCAAATGAAATGGCAACTTCCTGTTCTCTGCAGTAGCATGGAATAATCTGAAACGAAACGCACTAAGGCCGCGGCTACGTGAAATGGGAGTGGGAGTGGGGAGTGGAAATAGGGGGAGAAGGTGGAAAGGGAAGGGCGGTGGGCGGCGGGTGGTCAAATAGCACTAGAACTACCCCCTGCTCAACGCGTTGTTCTGTCGCTAAATCTTGTCATTCCCGCCAAACGCCCCCAAAGTAACCCCAACAAGGTAAAGAGCTGTTACTATGTATACCCGTAATGTGTATGTATCCAATCCCAGTACCCTCCCGTACCCCCTACCCCCCAAAGCCCATCCTAAAAGCACCCCAAGTAACCCCCAAGCACACCCCCCAAAGCACCAAAGCACGTACTCCCTACCATAGAGCCCTTGTCGGTCATTATTATTGAACCTCCTGTTCAGGTCAGCGACGGTATCATCCCCAAAAAATTGTATCCTATCCTCCCCCCAATCTTGCTACACATCATAGCTCTTTGCTCCCATCACCCTCCAATATATCTCTTCCCATCATACACATCGACATCGCCTTATCAACAGATGTTCTCTCTACTGTAGTCGACAGGGGACTACATCCTTTACCTTCCATACTGGCCTTAGCTCGTTTATGAAAGAGACAGCCGCCCTGAAAAGCATCGAGAAACATCTCGGCCTTCGGCCATTGTTGAGGACCTGACCTATACCATCCAACCGCCCCCCTCGATTCCCCAGATGGCGCACAATTACGATGTCGGAACGAGAGCGTGGCAGCCCGATCCAACAGAGGGATGGGTTGCCTCGGAGGTCATCTCCAAGACTCAGGATGGGGACAAGTACAATCTGGTCTTTGAGCTTGCGAATGGGGAGGTAAGCTATTGTCCCTCCAGTTTGGCGTCTAATGCCCTCCTGCCCCATGCCTAGAGATTCACTGCTAACGGGGCCCTGCTCGAATAGCAAAAGAAGGTCGAAATCACCGCCGCGGCATTAGAAGATGATTCCGATACGAGTCTTCCGCCGCTGATGAACCCTACGATGCTCGAAGCTAGCGATGACCTGACGAACCTGTCCCATTTGAACGAGCCAGCTGGTATGCGCCGACCCTACTATATACCCTCCGCGGTGGTGGCACGGCTAATGACTTTCGTGATACAGTTCTCCAGGCTATTCGACTGCGATACTCCCAGAAAGAGATATACACATACAGTGGCATAGTATTGATAGCTACCAACCCGTTTGCTCGGGTTGACTCTCTCTATGTCCCGGGGATGGTGCAGGTGTATGCGGGGAAACAAAGAGCTACCCAAGCTCCCCATCTGTTCGCAATCGCTGAGGAGGCATTCGCGTGAGTTTGGCGTCATTGATTGAGATCACCTCAGTCCATTATAGCTGACAACAATTTTAGGGATATGTTGAGGAGTGGGCATAATCAGACCATCGTCGTTTCCGGAGAGTCAGGAGCTGGAAAGACCGTCAGTGCGAAGTATATCATGCGATACTTCGCGACGAGAGAGTCTCCAGACCAGCCTGGGTCGAGGAAGCGCGGACAAGAGGCCATGAGCGAGACGGAGGAGCAGATTCTCGCGACGAACCCGATCATGGAGGCGTTTGGTAATGCGAAGACGACGAGGAACGACAACTCTTCCAGATTCGGGAAATATATCGAGATCATGTTCGACAAGCAGACGAATATTATTGGCGCGAAGATTAGAACATACCTCCTGGAGAGATCCAGGCTCGTCTTCCAGCCTCTGAAAGAGCGAAACTACCATATCTTCTATCAGTTAATTGCGGGTGCTACTGAGGCTGAACGCCAGGAGCTGAGCCTTTTGCCGGTGGAGGAGTTTGAATACTTGAATCAGGGCAGTGCGCCGGTCATTGATGGCGTCGACGACAAGGCGGAATTCGAGGCATTGAAGCAATCCCTGGCCACTATTGGCATCCAAGGCGGCCAACAGTCCGACATATTCAAGCTCCTTGCAGCATTGCTTCATCTTGGAAATGTCAAAATCACAGCATCCAGGACAGACTCGGTGCTTTCGCCTGACGAGCCAGCGCTGATGAAGGCTTGTGCTCTTCTGGGTGTGGATCCCACCGACTTCGCAAAGTGGACGGTGAAGAAGCAGCTTATCACAAGAGGGGAGAAGATCACATCGAACCTGACGCAACAGCAAGCTACTGTCGTCCGGGACTCCGTCGCCAAATTCATCTACTCCAGCCTGTTTGACTGGCTTGTGGAGAATATCAACCACGGCCTCGCTACGGATGAGGTGCTGAGCAGAGTCAGCTCATTTATTGGTGTATTGGATATTTACGGTTTCGAGCATTTCGCAAAGAACTCCTTTGAGCAGTTCTGTATTAACTACGCCAATGAGAAGTTGCAACAGGAGTTCAATGCTCACGTATTCAAGCTGGAGCAAGAGGAGTACTTGAGGGAGCAGATCGACTGGACTTTCATCGACTTCTCTGACAACCAGCCTTGTATCGATCTTATCGAAGGCAAGCTGGGTATTCTGTCCCTCCTGGATGAGGAGTCCAGGTTACCCATGGGTTCCGATGAGCAGTTCGTCACGAAGCTACACCACAACTATGCAGCCGACAAGAACAAGTTCTACAAGAAGCCTAGATTTGGAAAGTCCGCCTTCACCGTGTGCCATTACGCGGTTGACGTGACCTACGAGTCTGACGGATTCATCGACAAGAACAGAGATACGGTTCCAGATGAGCACATGGCTGTCCTGAGGTCATCTTCTAACCAGTTCCTGGGCCAGGTCCTTGATGCAGCGTCAGCTGTGCGTGAGAAGGACAGTGCATCTGCAGCATCCAACGCCGTAAAGCCAGCTGCAGGACGTAAAATTGGTGTCGCCATAAACCGCAAGCCTACCCTCGGTGGTATCTTCAAGTCCTCATTAATCGAACTTATGAGCACCATCAATGGCACCGACGTACACTATATTCGCTGTATCAAGCCTAACGAAGACAAGAAAGCCTGGGCATTCGAAGGTCCTATGGTTCTAAGCCAACTTCGTGCTTGTGGTGTTCTCGAGACCGTACGTATAAGTTGTGCTGGCTATCCTACGAGGTGGACGTACGAAGAGTTTGCACTCAGATACTATATGCTTGTTCCGTCGTCAGGCTGGACGTCTGAAATCCGTAAAATGGCAAATGCGATCTTAGTAAAGGCTCTCGGCACTGGCAATGGGCAGAGTCTAGACAAGTATCAGATGGGTCTAACGAAGATCTTTTTCCGCGCCGGAATGTTGGCGTTCTTGGAGAACTTGAGGACGACTAAGCTTAACGATTGTGCTATCATGATCCAGAAGAACCTAAAGGCTAAGTACTATAGGCGGAAGTTTCTCGAGGCTCGCAACGCTACGCTTCTCTTCCAATCCCTTACCAGGGGTTACATTGCTCGCAAGCAAACGGAGGAAATTCGCAAGACAAAGGCTGCTACCACAATCCAACGTGTTTGGAAGGGCCAGAAGGAACGTAAAAAGTTCAACGCAATTCGCAACAACATTATTCTCGCACAAGCTGCTACTAAGGGCTTCCTTCGTAGACGTCAAATCATGGATACCCGCATGGGCAATGCCGCGAGCATTATCCAGCGAACCTGGCGATCTCGCCAACAAAAGCGCAGCTGGAAGCAATACAGGAATAAGGTTGTCATCATCCAGAGCTTGTGGAGAGGAAAGACTGCTCGTCGCGAGTACAAGACAGTTCGTGAGGAGGCTCGCGATCTCAAGCAGATTTCCTACAAGCTTGAGAACAAGGTCGTAGAGCTCACCCAGTCTCTCGGAACGATGAAACGCGAGAACAAGGCTTTGATCACTCAAGTCGAGAATTACGAGAACCAGATCAAGTCTTGGAAGACCAGGCATAATGCTCTTGAGGGCAGAACAAAGGAGCTGCAAACAGAGGCCAACCAGGCTGGTATTTCTGCCGCACGCCTTTCCGCCATGGACGAGGAAATGAAGAAGCTCCAGGCCAACTTCGACGAATCTGCTGCTAACATCAAACGACTGCATGAGGAGGAGAAGGAACTACGCGAATCTCTCCGACTATCCAATGTCGAACTCGAACGTGCCAGACTCAGTTTGACTGAAGAAGAACAGGAGAAGGTCACATTGAGGCAACAAGTTAACGATCTTGCAGAACAGCTCGAGATCGCCAAACGCATCATTCCTATGCCTATGAACGGAGAGGCAAATGGTGCAGCTCAAGTTCTACAGAGCGGTCTGATCAACTTGGTCTCCTCCAAGAAGCCCAAGCGCCGCAGCGCCGGTGCTGAGACCCGTGAAATGGACCGCTTCAGCGCAGCTTACAACCCCCGCCCAGGATCGATGGCTGCCATGGGCAACAACATGCACCGCCAGAACTTGGCTGGTGCTCCAGGAGACAATATCGAGTTTGAGCTCGAGAACTTACTCGCAGATGAGGATGGACTTAATGACGAGGTAACGATGGGATTGATCCGCAACCTGAAGATCCCAGCGCCTGGATCTACGCCACCACCAACAGACAAGGAGGTTCTCTTCCCGTCATACCTCATCAACCTCGTCACTTCTGAGATGTGGAACAATGGCTTTGTCAAGGAGTCTGAGCGCTTCCTGGCGAATGTGATGCAGTCTATTCAGCAAGAGGTTATGCAGCACGATGGAGACGATGCTATCAACCCAGGAGCCTTCTGGTTGTCCAACGTTCACGAGATGCTCTCGTTCGTCTTCCTTGCCGAGGATTGGTATGAGGCGCAGAAGTCGGACAACTACGAGTACGACCGTCTCCTTGAGATTGTCAAGCACGATTTGGAGAGCTTGGAGTTCAATATCTACCACACCTGGATGAAGGTCTTGAAGAAGAAGCTCCAGAAGATGGTTATCCCAGCCATCATCGAGTCTCAGTCACTTCCTGGCTTTGTCACCAATGAGAGCAACAGGTTCTTGGGCAAGCTGCTCCAGACGAACTCTGCTCCAGCTTTCAGCATGGATAACCTCTTGAGTCTTTTGAACAATGTTTTCAAGGCTATGAAGACGTACTTCTTGGAGGATTCGATTGTCACCCAGACGATGACCGAGTTGTTGCGCCTTGTTGGTGTTACGGCATTCAACGATCTTCTGATGAGGAGAAACTTCCTCTCGTGGAAGCGTGGTCTGCAGATCAACTACAATATCACCCGCATTGAGGAGTGGTGCAAGAGCCACGATATGCCAGAGGGCACCCTTCAGTTGGAGCACTTGATGGTTCGTAGACCCCTTCCAGATATATTATGTGCCATTTCTAACCAGTCTATAGCAAGCGACGAAGCTTCTTCAGTTGAAGAAGGCAACCCTGAACGATATTGAGATTATCCAAGATATCTGCTGGATGTAAGTGCTCACCCAACCCCTAGATCATCGTCAGCATCATCTAACTTTATAGGCTATCCCCCAACCAAATCCAGAAGCTGCTGAACCAGTACTTGGTGGCTGACTACGAACAACCCATCAACACGGAGATCATGAAGGCCGTTGCCTCCCGCGTCACCGAGAAGAGCGACGTGCTGCTCCTGACCGCTGTGGATATGGATGACAGTGGACCCTATGAGATTGCAGAGCCCCGTGTCATCACGGCGTTGGAGACCTATACTCCATCTTGTAAGTTTAACCAACCATCTCTACAATACCCATCCCGTTCTAACACATTCACAGGGCTACAAACTCCTCGCCTGAAGCGCCTTGCGGAGATCGTCTCGGCGCAGGCAATGGCTCAGCAAGAGAAGATTGACAATGCCGCGGGCGTGGGCTCTATTGACGAGGACGAGGATCAGGAACACGCTGAAGACAATGAGCAAGTTGTCGAGCTGGACGCCGAAGAGAATGTTGCTGCCAATGGCGTTTAAAAAACGTCTCTCAACTGCAACATATACCATCAACGGACGCTCTTCGTTGTATATTTTTTTTCTTCGGCACTACGACATTCTGGTTATGTGGCCAAAAAATCATTTGAAAGAACAAGAAACAGCTACTTGGGGGAATCATGTACTAAAAATCTTGCGGGCGTTTTTATGCGGTCTGGAAACGAAGGGGAAGAGGGAAGAGGGGAGATGTATTGGATGGTGGCTACGATATTACCGTTTTTGTTGAAACTCTAGAACAGGTCGATGTCGATGTTGTGTTTTGACTTGGGCGGCCGCTTCATGAAATGTTAGATTTGCACATGATTGTAGAATATGGACGGTTTTGAGGTGGGGGGGAGGGAGTGTAATAGTTGATGAGTCGTAATTAGGTGGTTTATACAACGCTTTTACGTCTTTAGAGAGAGAGAATTTATCAGTCTGACAGCATTGCTTCTTATCCATACTGTGTACTCATAGTGTCCTTGTGGTATATAACATTGGTTAAACTTTGTGACGCTGGGCCTCACCGCCCACACTATTCTGCCACCACCCCGCCCTATCGATAAGCTTCCCCCCATGCAACCAAGATTTATTTTTCAACCCCTCCCCCTCCCCCGCGACCGCTGCGCAGATTCCTATTCACACACACACAGATACGAAACTCCCCATACCCCCCTCATACGCCATGCGGACCAAGCCGAACATCATCATCACGGGCACGCCGGGCGTGGGGAAGACGACGCACTGCGAGACGCTTGCTGCGTCGCTGGGGCTGACGCATTTGAGTATCAATACTATTGTTAAGGATCGGGGGTGTCATGATGGGTGGGATGAGGAGTATCAGAGTTGGATTGTTGATGAGGATAAGGTATGTGGGTTTCTGTTTTTGTTTTTGAAACTTTGGGGGGGAAGGGGGGGGGGAAGGATGAGGCTAATGTGGGCGTGTGTTTGTAGTTGCTGGATGAGATCGAGGAGGAGGTTAAGCTAGGGGGGTATATCATCGATTGGCACGCTTGCGATCTCTTTCCCAAGAGCTGGATTGATCTTGTCGTCGTGCTGAGGGTGAACTCTACGATTCTTTATGACCGGCTGAAATCGAGGTACGCCCCCTTCCTGCCCCCCAAGTCCCGCGCATATCACTAACTCCGCCACCACCAGAAACTACCCAGAGCTGAAACTCCAAGAGAACCTCGACTCGGAAATCATGGAGGTACTCCTGCAAGAGGCGCGCGACTCGTACGATGAGGAGATCGTGGTGGAGCTGACGAGTAATACGAGCGAGGAGGTGGATAGCAATGTCGCCCGGATAGAGGCGTGGGTTGCGCAGTGGATTAAGGATAATGAGGGGGCGGAGAAGGAGGATAGTTGAGAGAGAGAATGTGAATGTTTATGAATGCATGTCATAGAAGCTGGAGGAAGGCTGGGACGGGGGAGGTCAAAATGTTATGATATCCTAAGGGGTTTGAATTTAGGCTTTGCTGCTATCTGCGGCCTCTAGGAGCCAGGCTTTTAGCTTCTCAAGTGCTTTGCCGCGGTGGGAGATCTTGTTTTTTTCTGCTTTGGGCATCTCGGCGTAGCTGGAGAGGTTAGAAAGGTGGCGGGGGGTTGGATGATGATGGATAGATACGCACGTTTGACCAGCTGGTCCGTACTCGAAGATGGGATCCCAGCCAAAAGCGATGGCTCCTCGTGCCGGAACTATCTTGCCCTAGGATATATTAGCTATATATCTGGTTAATAAGGAAAGAAATACCTACTTCTGTGCGTCCTTGGAAGATAATGGGCTCGTGGCCTGGGCCTTCGGAGTATGCGAACGTGCAGACGGATTCGGCGGATTTGTCTTCAAAGCCGGCGAGGAGCTTGTTTAGGCCGTCGTGACCGAGGGACTCGAAGAACCATTTGCTATCAAAATCGAGCCCCGTTAATAAGAAGACTAACAAATGTGGCTGTAAAATGAATCTGAGAGGGGATAGTATAGAGGCATGCCTCAATCTATAGACTGTGCTGTGACAAGGTTATAAAGGTGCAAAATATACATACATGTATGGACCAGGAAGGTTCTTGAAAGCATTAAATATCAGAGCAGTATCCTCGACCAAAACTGGTCCTTGAACCTTTCACAAGTTAGTTATTTGTAAGAAGGCATGCGAACTTACTGCCCCCGCGGATCTTCACGTAGAACAGCGGGGTAGAGGGAGAATGAGACCCATGAAATCAATAGACCATGTACGACTATAAATCTAGTAACACCCATACCTCTTCAGCAGCCCGACGGCACTTATCCTTCGAAATCTCCTCTATCGTCCCTTGAATCTCGACGAGATCAATAGAGCGGCTCTGCAAGTCCACCGCATCACCCAAGATGGCCTGGACCTCGGCAAGCTTGTGCTTGTTGCCAGTGATGAAGTTGAGTTGGCTAGGGGGCATTTTTAAATAGTATTTCTCTGTTTTTAGTCGTGGTGTGGAAATCAAAATCACGAGGGGGCTGAAGATGCAAGTCTTTGCGCGGATGCGCTCAAGATAGTTGCATATCGCGCCAAGCCTTATCGAACATATAGCACACCATGGCCCAACCTCCGAAGCCAATTCCCAAGATCAGCAACGATCTCAAAAATAAAGCGTTTAGATAAATACTATCGATTAGTAGCATTTTGAGAGAAATTATACTTAAGGTGATTAGATACAGATATCCGAGACTGACAACGACCTAGGATTTGCGCTGAACTGGTACTATTAGCTGGCCAGTTTGCGAAATATAATATGTTCATCTCTGTGAAAGTAGCGTTTGGGCAGTATTTCCTGGGGAGAAAGTTCTATACTTTCAAACTAGGGAGCCTGACTGAATCAAGCCAGCTTCAAGCCGAAGCCAAACCACAAAACATCATGGTCTGCAAATAAGGGGGCCATGGTAATGTGAGTGCATTCAATTGTATAATCTATCTAGCACATGAAGCGCGCTACTGATGCGTTGGACCGAGCCAAAAGCATACACCGTATGAAGCGCTGGTGCCTTGAAATCATAGCAAAGCAAAAAACAATCCACAAAGCCATGCAGCCTCAAATTCGCATATCTTCGGTGTCGATATCAATTGGGAAGGGAGGTCAACGCAGGCGGCCGCAATCTTAACAGTTAATAAAGATGCCCCAAAACATAAAACAGAGATTGCTTACCTCAAAACCTCAAAGGCCCTGTACTTTTTTAAATACTTCATGTTTCGCCTGTATGCTCGCAAGAACTCTGCTGGATTTTTCACCGACCAAGACGTCTTCCCAATAAGCTTGATGACGTCCGGGGCGTCATGGAACATTGGGTCAAAGACGAGAAGGTTTTTAGACCCATCAAGCTTCTTCTCAATGCCTACGATGGTCATGGAATGGCCTTTGATAGTTAGCAAACATTAATCTGGGTGCATTGCCACCATACCTGGATGCTGAAAGTAAATTGGAGGCAACTGTGTCCTCCTAATCTTAGAGGTGCTATCAACACCACTAGCACGGAAGTACTCTTCAACGTTTCCCATCAGTATCTCATCTGCGGCTAGTTTCCCATCGGTCTTGAATGCTTGGGCATCGCAACTATTGAATGGTCAGGATTAGGCCTACACAGGGTCGGGGGCTGAGGTCTTACTCAATGTCAAGACTTCGAAGCATCGCCTGAGCCTTTATTCGAGTCAGTATAGAAATGTTCTACAAGCAGGTAATCTGCATACCTCTGGCGTCCCAATATACTTTCGAGTTCCTATAATCCCACCCGTCTCGGCACGGCCCACTGTATTTATCCCCACGTCCCAGGCATGCTCAATAAACTCCTGAATCTGGAAAATTGTTGGCATTTTTTCCTTGAAATGGTAACACCCTTGAGATCGATTGTTGACGATATATGAAGTCAGCATTTGTATGTTTCTATAGCCGCAGAAGCCGCCTTCGTTCTTCAGTTTCGAAACGTGTTCGACCGACGGATGACAAGTATAGGCATACTCCGTATCTGGATCCTGCTCAATGAGCGTTTCGAGAACAGTCAGGACGCCTGGAACATAGTTTCCTATTTTTTTCACCGTCTTGATTCCTCCGCTGGAGTTGAGCTTCGTTGTGGTTCTTGGCATTCCGTCCGACAACAGGAGGTTGTGGAGCCATGCGGGCATCTTGTCTTCGTAGGCGTGGGGGCCGAGTTCAGCCGTCTGGAGATGTGAGTCTCAGAATGCATAAAAAGCCAGGATCTATTAAAACTTACCCCAAGGCGACCCTTGCCAGACTTTGACTTCGTTGCGACGTGCGGTGTCACTATTGACTTCGGCATGTTTAAAATTCCTCGCCAGCTTTCTTTGGCTTTGGCTTGACGATCTACTGCAGACAGTAGAGGAGGATCAGAGCCCTCGTCGAGGTTCCGCAGTGCTGTTGGAAGGCTAGTGTCAAACTTGGAGTCCGCAGGCTCCGTGGCTCCTTCCCATTTCCAGGCCGGGCTGTCCACGTGAGAATCTCTGTCACTTTCTTCCATGCTATGCAACTCCAAGTGGCCATCCAGCTCCGCCATGGGGACAGTTTCTCCGCATTCGGATATTGGACACTCGACGTATCCGACGTCTTCCATGGCTTGGGAGGACCTAGAGGGATGCCCTTCCTGGGTGGCGTCTACAGGGTGGGCATCCGTAGGAATAAAGGGAGAGTTTCCTTCAGAATGTAGGTCTTCCATGTGGTACTTTGAAAAGTCACTTTGATGAACATTATAACAAGTGAAGGAAGTGTGAACTTACAAGAATATCATACTCAGTCTTGGCCTCATAGCCACAGAATGGGCACGAGGCTCCCGCCATGGCCGTCCGTAACCTGGGGTCCAACCTGCTCTAAAATGCGGCTTTGGCGCGTGAGCGTCGTATGAGGACGACACCCACCGCCCTCATTCAGCTCAGAAGTATCTCGAAGCTCTCTATTGTTCTTTGGTTCAGTTTAACCGTACCGCATGCGTGTAGTTGTACCTTGCTGGATTCCGCAGTTTCGCTTACTATTTAAGGTACGAATAAATTGTCGCATATGTGTGATTGGCCATGTGAAAAAAATTGAACAAAGAATAAATTCCAAAGTGGAATGAATACAACTAAATACAAGTAATGTTATTGTTTTGCCGCAAACATTCTCTTTGACAAAAGGTTTGTATGGCGATGAGGAATGTCGTGGTTAGGTTCCAATGAAACAGCGTCCACAACGGATATCTCAACAGAGAGCCTCGGCGGCTTGAGCTCGTCTGTATTGACGCCTGTGGCCAGAAATATACTCCTTACGTACGTCAATATTATTCATATGTAAACAAAATAGAACGTGGCATGACTGTGTAACAAGTTTCATAATTCCGTATAATATTGTCATATGTATGGTTTATGGACTTCTAAATCAGAAGGTCAAGCTGAATCATGCGCATTTGATTCTATTCAGAGAAGACAATGATTCACCTTCATTTCTCTGCTATAGTAATACAAGGCTTGAATGGATGATGTGAAATTACAAGGCAATCACTTCATTTGATATCGGCTCCCTGTTGCCAGTCTTTTTGCAAAAGTATTGTATTTTCCAGCCTCTTTTTCCCCTGTCCCATGCCAGCGTTTCCTGGCCACAATCTTGTATGTGACATGGCAGAGACCGTACTGCTGCGGCATCTATGATTAGCAAAAACCAAAATCTTTGTTGACAATCTTGTTCCCATTGGATATGGAACGGAGTGCTACATGAGCATCCGTCTCTCCAATGAACCAGAACAAGAGAACGTTAACCACAAATAGACCGTTAAGACAGACTCTTGCAAATATCATAGCCAAGTATGCTCTCTCTTCGTATAATTTCATGCCCAGACAAGCTTCACGTCAATTGAAATCTCGGTTTGATCTGTGTTCCATTTAACTTGTATGATTTGTACACCGTCGAAACATGCTACATGGCCATCCGTCCTTGTCCAAGCACCGTATGCTGCCCATTCTCCTAATTGTATATCCTCGTCGTTCAATGGTCCCAAGGGTGCTTCCAGCCCAATAACGCAGGTCCTGCAGGGAAGGTTAGGGATCGTTCGCCGAAGGGACTGCGAGGCACAATTACCGTCTTGCTTCGCTCTGTACATTAACTACATGTAAAGTCAGCTTTGCCCATCGCATAGAGGATTATTGAGACATACGAAGAACCACATGCTTGCCCCCAACCCGGTCGCGGCAAACCGGTAGAGTGGGCGCGCCGGGTGGATGTGAATCGGATGAGCGCCCGGGCCAGCCATTGTGCTGTAATAAACAGTTAGCAATGCTATCTCCAGAGAGAAAACTCAATTGAGCGTACAAATTGACAATCGATTGGCTTCTTAAAACAGTCGTGGGGTGCGTAAGTCGCAGGAACAGTTGTAATGTCGATGGTCGTCAACTTTGAATGGTGGGTTGGGGCGCTCCGGGAGCCTCACTTTAATGGATAAATGATTGGCCGAGGCGGCTTGAGCTGGCTCGCCCTCACGTTCATCATATCGGAAAAGGGATTCGAACAATGGCCGGGTTTGGCGATTCACAATTCCACTCAACACTTCGATTTCTGTGGGCCTTGAAATATCCATGGCCATTGTTCACTTCGATTTCACCTGCGACCTTCTTTCATTAAGAACCTCTGTTTCTCATTGATTTATCATGCAGAGAATAGGCCGACCACCTTGACTTGATAAGTCTCGCCGTTCGCGTCGATTTTGGCCCACCCGTTAAACCGCACACCACAATCGCGAGCTCCCAGCCAAGAATTGGAAAACCCCGACGGTTTTCCTGGCAGAGGAACCCGCAATCTACGACTGACTCTTTACACCATTTGATCAATAAATTCGACCCGCGACGATGTCGAGCTGGGCACAGCAAGCAAGCCCAGATGCGAACGCGGTTTCGCAGGGGTATACCAATATGAAGACGACTCGCCCTCCTCCGCCCACGAAGTCGTTCCACGGCTGCTCACGAATACAAGACTATGAAATATTAAGGAAACTTGGAGAAGGCACATTTGGGTACTTTTCCCCTTCTCATATTCGTTATTTGTCGTACTGGAAGCTCGAACAACTTTCTGACATTTTGCAGCGAAGTCCACCAGGCGCGGTCACGGAAAACTGGCGCTGTCGTTGCCTTAAAAAAGATCTTGATGCATAATGAGAAAGACGGCGTAAGGCATACTGGCCCATACAAGAAGTTCGAGAACTAATTTTTGTTCAGTTCCCCATAACAGCTCTGCGCGAAATCAAGCTATTGAAGCTCTTGGACCACATCAATATATTGAGATTGGAAGAAATGGCCGTGGAGCATTCTCAAAAAAGCAGTGCGACAACCTTGAAATATTCCTTATACAATCGCTGACAGTTATGCAGGTGATAAGCGCAAACGAGCAATCATGTACATGGTTACGCCATACATGGACCATGATCTCTCCGGGTTGCTGGAGAACCCTGGAGTGACCTTCAGCATACCCCAGATCAAGTGCTATATGATGCAGCTTCTCAAGGGAACTGCCTACTTGCACGACAATCACATTCTTCATCGCGACATGAAGGCAGCGAATCTTCTCATCAACAACAAGGGAATCTTGCAGATTGCAGATTTCGGACTCGCAAGACACTACGAAGGGCCAGTTCCCCGGGCAGGTGGCGGAGGCGGAGAGGCCGTAAGGGATTACACGACTTTGGTTGTGACGAGATGGTATCGACCCCCCGAGCTGCTGTTGCAACTTCGGAGGTACACACCAGCTATCGACTTGTGGGGAGTAGGATGCGTTTTCGGAGAGATGCTGGTGGGCAGGCCAATTCTGTCGGGAGAAAGTGATGCTAGACAGCTGGAAATAATTTTCGAGCTGGTCGGTTCGCCCACCGAGGATAGTATGCCAGGGTGGCGTGCGCTTCCAGGAGCCCAAGGCCTTCAGCCTCCACACAGAGGCCCTACAATTGCCCAGCGGTTCAAGGAGTATGTACCACTGTTAACTTGCATGCGAAATAATCTAACAGAATACTAGGTACGGTCCAGGAGCTATATCACTGCTTACCGACCTCCTCAAGCTGGACTGGCGAAAGAGGGTCAACGCGATTGATGGCTTGAAGCACCACTACTTTACCGAGAACCCTCTCCCTGCAAATCCAGGTGAAATACCAACATTCGAAGAGTCCCACGAACTGGATCGTCGCTCAAGGGGCGGACCAAAACAAGGTCTACCCCCCGCACCAAGAGGGTATGCCGTGGGCGGCGAGCCAGCAAATGCAGGCAACAGACCATACGGCAACGGCGATAACTACGGCGGCATGAACCGATCCCATCAAAACGGCGCGCCTCATCACGGCTCCGGATACGCTCCCCCAAGGAATCAACCACATCCCAATGATCGGAGACCGGGCTGGTCACATTCCCGTCCCGACAGCAGGTTACCACCGCGAGATTACCCTCCGTCTTCTCAGACCTGGGGAGGCGGCGTCGATGGATCGAGATCAGATCGTCCGCATGAGTATAGAGACCGCGACAGGGACCGAGATCGCGATCACCTCCCGTCGAGGGCGCGGGGAGGCGGAAGCGCGGGTATTGCGGGGAGGGATGTGGATACGTATATTCCGAGCTATGGGCCTGAGTCCGGCCGACGCGATGAGAGGCCGAGAGACGAGAGGCCGAGGGATGAGCGACCAAGAGATGAGAGGCCGAGAGATGAGCGTCCGAGGGATGAGCGACCGAGAGATGACAGGAGGAGATGGGATGAGCGTGATGACCGTCGCCACCCCCCTCACAGAGAGCGTCTAGACTACGATGACCGCGCGCGCAGCGGCCGCACACGAAGCCGCAGCAGGAGTCCCCTACGAGACCGCGACCGGGAGCGCGTTCGGGATCGGGAGTCACTTGATCGGGAGGTGTACCGGCGCTGAGCAAGGCGTTGGGGATGGCCGGATAGAGATGGTGACTACGAAGTTCTAGGGGTGGATTTTAACAGCACATGATACTACGAATGTTGCTGAGACGGAGTCTGTTGGGGGAATGCGGGACGGTTTGACTTTTTGTCCTTCATGACACATACGCACGCACGTTGATATATGCAAATGTGTGGAGTTTATTTTATTTTGCTTTTGCATAAACTTGGTGTCCAGGAGAAGGATCCGTTGCAGGGGGGGCGGGTTAGCATGGCACAACAGGATGGATCCTTATATGTACTTGTATAGGAGTAATAAATGCAGATAAATTTTGCTCTGTATAGCTAAGAAGCTGAGTCTCCGAGTAATCCTATAAATCACTCCCGGAGTCCTCTTCGGGTATTATTTGAGACGATAGGCCTCGTGGCTGTCGGCCTTTGTCGAGATACCCTACGTTCTCTCGTGTCAAGGGTTCGCCGTAAAATGGCGTTTCTTCGTACCCAGTGGTGAGTCTACCTTTGGGGACTGCGGTGCCCCGAAGTCGTCTGCTGCTTTCTTGTTGCTGCCTGCCTTGTGATCCTTGGATCGTGCGAGGCGTTTTCTGGGTAGGCGTGGGTTTGAGGCCAAGTATTGACACCAGGACGCTGGAGATGGAATAGACAACACCTCCAGCCAGGAGACCAACTATGGAAGCAACGCCGAAGTAGATGTAGAATGTCTGTGGATCAGTTAGAAACGGCTCACTTCCAGATAAACTCCGCAGATACAGCAGCAGTATAGATAGCACCAGTTACATACCTCAAGATTGCCGAACAGAGAAAGGGGAAGCAAAAGCACGTGAGTGATATAGCTGACGAGGTGGATGAGAGGCGCGGATACCACCAGCACGGTGTTCACGATGCCAGTGGCGATTTTAACGATGGGGAGAGTGCTGTAGTGGAAGATGGACGCTGAGACGGTCTTCCATGTCGTAGGCGGCGGGATGCCCGCGATGCGGTCTAATGCCTCCATTGATTGAGCTCCGAGATAGGGATGGGTGTGATGTCATTCATGGAATTGGGGCCTCCTATGTGGTGTGCATCATTTTCCACGGCTGGGACACAGAACAGTCTGTTCCGTTGCGGGTAGGTGATTGTTGGAGAGAGATGGAGAGGAGTCAGGATATTTGTATAGTGTTATATTTGACTGTATTGCACTGTTCATCACAATCTTGTGGCCTGCCAAACACGTGAATTGTGAGATGTGAGTTGTGATGGGGCTTGGGCTGTCAACAATAACGACTGTGCTGGGGAGTGTACTGGGGACTGTGCTGTGGACTGTGCGTACCTGTTCCACCGTCATGCCTCCTCCTTGTTTTTGTTTGCTGCCCCTCCAAAGTCTACATAGGTTTTTTTTGGTCTGTCTTTGTATCCACCGCGTATACCACGTATAGCACCACGTACTTTCTTTATAGCGAGAGTACCATGATCACCGTCAATCACTGGGCGGGGAACCACAATAACAGTTCATTTATACCTTTTATACCTTCATTATACCTGTAATCCTGTCCACATCTGCGTGCCAACAAGTACTTCCGATCCACACAGTGGGGGAAAGAATAGTAGCCGGGCGCTAAAGAAGATAGCCTCCCCTCCCTTACCTGAGCTTAACGTATTGTGCACTGTATATATCCAACCTCTCCTCTCCAACCTCCGAAAGCTGTTTTGACGATCACCAACCCGTTCCCATTCGCCCATATCGCTCACGTCGCTGTGCTCTTCTCTTGAACAATCGTTCATCCCAATTGCTTCATATTTGTACAGTACTGTAGAGCATCCCAGACCAGCGAGAGAGAAACTGCGCCCGGGGGAAATATCTCACAGCTCACAGAGCGCGTTGCACTGGTACTCACTCCCAGGCTTCAGCAGCAAATTCCCCCCAATCCAGCATCCAAAAAAGTCACGACAACCCAGAGCCTTCTAGAATGACCGTAACTAGAGGGTGAAAAAGAATATATATATATATGTATAACATCATTATACCGCCATCGTTATTATTATTATACCAAAACCTGAATCATGGGTAATAACCCGTCGGCCCCTCCGAAGTCGAGCAGCGCATCGCCTGCCAGCTCAACCCACGGCCAGTCCGTAGGATCAGCCTCGGATCGCCGTCGCGAGCCAAAACTAAGAGACACGATACAATCACAAAGAGGCGCCGCGCCGCCTGAATCTTCCCAGGTACAGGCACGTGGCACAACGGTCCCTCATCGGACTCGCAACGCCCAATCCCAAAATGCGCAACTCAACAACAACAACGGCCAGTACTCGCACTCGCCTTCGCCATCGCAGAATTCCATCCCTCCGTCTTCTTTTGTTGCCTCGCAACCTCTACCACAACAAACCCCTCCCAGCAAGCCGCCGCTCACGCTCTCCGACGAACCAAGTAAACCGGTCGCTGTTCCGCAACCTGTGAATGCGGCCGTGCCAGACACGCCGACTGAGAAGTCGCCCTACTCAGCTTCGCAGAGTGACCAGTCTGGGCTCGCAACCGACATCATGTCCTACCATCTTACCAGACCACCGCGCCTGCCACTGCCTATCGAAGAAGAAGTCCACACACCAGGGTCACCCATACTTGGCCCCGCAAGTTCACAAGGTCCGGTGCCCGAGTTCGACCCTCTACACGGTAGTGGGGACCTCGGTCGTCCATTATCTGCTCTGAGCAATACAACCGAAGATGATGAAGGAGACGAACTGCCCATTGACAGGACGAAGCCAGTTGTTCCAACTGAATTTCACTGGTTCGGGCCTGCTGAGAAGGTATACGTTACGGGGACGATTTTCCAGTGGAGCCGGAAGTCAAAGCTGTATCCGATGTGAGTCCGAGTTCATGCACCTGCCGATTGTAGTCCTTATCGGTGCATCCTATTTAATAAGCAAACCCAACTGACGTTACTCAGACCCGGAAAGAAGGATGCCTTTTCGGCCATTATCCATGTTCGGCCTGGCACTCACCATATCCGCTTCATCGTCGATGGGAATATGCTGATATCCCCAAATCTTCCGACCACTGTTGATTTCGGCAATAATCTTGTGAATTATATTGAAGTCAGCGCCGATGATCTTCCCAAGGACTCACAGGCACAAGGACAAGCACAGCCCTCCAAATCGCAAGAAGGCCGTCAGCAGCGGGAAGAAGCGAAGCCTGCAGGGCAAGGGGCAGATGCAAAACAACCACGAACGAAGCCTATGATCCCCCACGAACACTACACATCTACCGTACCCCAATACCTGCTTGATCTCGACAAGGCTGAGGATTCTCCTGCGTATCAGTATGCAGCCAGCGCCATTGTCAAGCTGCCGACCCCACCGAGTCTTCCAGGCTTCCTTGGGAAACCAATTTTGAACGCCCAGACGCCGGTGAAGGATGACAATAGCGTGTTGAATATGCCCAATCACACGGTGTTGAATCACTTGGCGACGAGCAGCATCAAGGGAAATGTACTCGCTGTGTCTGCTACTACGAGATATAAGCGCAAGGTAAGGTTCCTTGTCCCCGATATCTAACACCGTATTGACATTGATTTAGTATGTGACGACTATTATGTACAAACCAACATCGGATGATACCACATGAACAAAAATTAAAGCTATTCATATAGTAAAATCAACGAGCTATAGATGGCATATGTTCTCTACGCCGAACAGATGCGGTTGCAATGTTCCTCTTTAGCTATCAGCTGAGCAGCCAGGGAGGGTCGAGAGAGACACAGCTAATAGATAGCACTGGCCTTGCTTATAGCCAGATACTTAAATATACAAAGGTACGCCAGTCCAGTGGAATCAATCTCTCCATTTAACAAACACCTCATCTGTCCTAAACCGCTGCGTACACGTGCTCTCCTCCAGCGGCGTGGCAAAGCCCGTCTCGTACGCCAGTAGCCCAGCATGGGCAATCATAATGCCATTATCAATGCAAAACCGCTCATCAGTTGCAAACACACTCCCCCCCCTATCCCTCGCCATCAACCCCATCATCTCCTGCAGTCTCTCATTGCACCCCACCCCTCCCACAATCAACACCTGACTACTGCCCACATGCGCCATCGCCCTCTCCGTAATCTCCACCAACATCGCATACACCGTTTCCTGGAGACTGAAGCACAAATCCGCCGTCGTAATAACCTTCCCCGTAGCCTCATCCCTCGTGTCGGGATTGGTCAGCAGATTCGCGGCGAGGATATCGATACTAGCTAAGATTCCCGAAAACGAGCAATCCATCCCTTTAACCGCATACGGCAGGTCCACCAACACACTCCCCTTCTTCGCGAGCTGCTCGATATTATACCCCGGCGCAGGGTCATTACTGATCTCCAGCGTCCGCGCGAACCGGTCTAGACAGTTGCCAACCGCAATATCGAGCGCCTCCCCAAAAATCCGATACCTTTGCTCCGCATAAGCAATAACCTGCGTGTTCCCCCCACTAACATACAACACGACCGGATTCTGCGCCCCCGTAATCTCGCGCCCCATCTCGATATGCCCAACACAGTGATTAACTCCCACAATCGGCTTATTCCACAGAAGCGCCAGCATGCGCGCCGCGATGGCGACGGATTGCAGGGGGGCGCCCATGCCGGGGCCTTTGGTGTAGCATATGCAGTCGATGTCTGCGGGCTTGAGGCCCGATTCGGCGAGGGCACGTTTGACGAGTGACACGACGTGGGAGCGGTGGTGGAGGGCGGTGTCTTTGGGGAGGAAGCCGGAGCCGGGGGGGGAGACGTAGGTGTGCCGGAGGTTGGAGAGGATGAGAGCGGGGGTGGTGGGGGAGGGGTGAGAGATGATGCCCACGCCGAGCTTGTTGGCGCTGCCTTCGAGGCCGATTGCGTAGCCCATGGTTGTTTGGAGGCCCCGAGTCGGCGGGGGGAGATGGGGTGTTTGGCAGGCGGTGGGGAGGTGGGGAGGTGGATGTTGGGGGGGGTTATGTGAAGCTGGATTCTTTATTTTGAGGTGTGTCGCTGGGGTCGTTGCGGTATGTCCAAAGTGCCTTATTTAATCGATAAGATAAGGGTGCACTTTAGCTGCCGCGGGGTCAAAAAAGCTAGCCGTTTTTTTTAGTGCCTGAGGCCCGAATTTCGGGGAATGCATCCCGCCGGATGATGGGTTCGCTATCGATGGCCGTTGTGACGCTAAGTGGCACTAAGCCCCGGCCACAACAATATGTGTGTATAGCTTTGCCCATAAACCTCTGCCAGCACTCTTTTTCCCTTCTTCAGAAATTTGCTGCAACCGGTGCCGACGAGGCTCGCATCTTCCGAAATGGATGATCAGTTCTGTTCGAAGACGGAAACCTTTGCGAAATGGTTAACCCATGTCGGCGTCCAGATCAGCGCAAAGGCGCAGCTTACTGATTTGAGAGCGGATGGGAGAGGGAGGGCATTGGGTATGTGGCTTCTTTGACGTTGTTTCCCAACACGCTGCGGTTGTTGCATGCAATATGATAAAAATCCCGCTACGGGACATTATCATAATGGATTTTGTTTATAGAATTCTGGCTGACGATTTTCTCAGTCGCCAAGGGCGATTTTGCGGAAGACGAGTTGATCTTCAGCGTCCCTCGAACGAGCACCCTGAGCGTGAAAGCGGCATTACCGGAATTGCTATCGGGAAGACAGGATATTTCCGCTGAAGATGTTGAATGTATGCCGGGTTGGGCGGTTAGTCAAATATTATGTGTTCTCTGCTCAGAAGCGTTGTGCTAACATTAACAGTCTCTGACCGCTGTCATCATCTCAGAGGGATCACGCCCAGAATCAAAATGGGCACCATATTTCAACGTCCTCCCAACGAAACTCGACAGCCTCGTCTTTTGGAGCCCCGAAGAGCTCGCCGAACTTCAAGCAAGTGCCGTTTTGAAAAAGGTCGGCAAAGACAAAGCCGAGGAAATTTTTCACCAGAGTATTTCGAAAGTGACACCCGAAGGCACCGACGTCGACATCTTTCACCGGGTTGCTTCGACTATAATGGCATATGCATTTGATATCCCTGATATCGAGCAGGAAGAAGAGGAGGGCGCAAATGAAGACGACCTTGTCGACGATGATGAGCAAAAGACATCCCTCGCTATGATCCCTCTGGCCGACATGCTAAATGCCGATGCCGACAACAACGCGCGTCTGCATTACGACGGAGAAGAACTGGAGATGAGAACTATAAAACCCATCAAGAACGGGGAAGAGATTTTGAACGATTACGGTCAACTGCCTCGCTCTGATCTCCTGCGCCGATACGGTTATGTGACCGACAAGTACGCTCCTTTCGATGTCGCAGAGGTTTCAACATCGACCATCACCGACCATATTTATCAAGACCTTGCAGGCGAGCTGAAGGTGTATCTTCGTGCTAGTGAGATAGAGGCGCGGCTAGAACTCGCCAGGCGGGAAGACGTATACGAGGATGCGTACGATGTCGGCCACGCCACTGAAGAATGGCCATGCATATCTGATGAGCTTGTCGCTCTCGTTTATCTGCTTCTCGTTGGCGAAGAAACTCTTGCAGCGATCCAGTCTTCAAAGATGAGCTTGCCTTCTCGATCAAAGATGGAAACCGAATTGGTTGGCAAGGCGCTGCAACGTATCTTCGAGCGACGGGAACGAGAATACTCCACTACAGTCGCTGAAGATGAGAATCTGCTTCAAGCTGGCAACCATTCAAACCGAGTCCAAATGGCCATCCAAGTGCGAATGGGAGAGAAGGTAGTCTTAAGGGAGGCAAAAAAAGAGGCTGGAAAATTTCAAGGTGACAACAAGCGAATGCTCGGTAGGGAAAAGAGAGAGAGGGAAGACGATGAGCACGTTTCACAGAAGAAAAGCAGGCACAGATAAGTTAACATTATTTTTGTGTGACAAGCTATCTCAAAGAAGACACAGGACATCCGTCTCCTGACTCATTCCATCTTGTCGCTTCTTCCACATCTCTTATAGTTGACCGCACGCTAGAGTACATACCCTCCTCTTGGTCAGGGAGAAGGCGATCTAAAATCAACAAAAGTTCGACGCAATGCTAGCCCAAACCAGGGCAACTCCGAGAAAAAACAATGGCCTATATACACAATCAAGACTATCCACAAGTCTGATACACCTGAGAATGTCGGATCAGGTTGGTTTTTGAGAGGGCAGAGAGATCGAGGGACGGTTTCCAGGATTCGCCGCTGTACCGTTTGCGACAGGGCCGTTGGCGCCTGCGATTTCCGGGGGAGGTCGTCTGTTCCTGTCCGTGTATGGGATGGTAGCTCTGAACTTCAACGCATTGGTGTCGTACGGATCAACATCATACATCGGAGTGTCATCATCGTCATCCTGGTCATACTTCCATCGGTCAGAGCGAGAATCAGTCGGATCTGCTGGAGGCGATGGTAGACCCCTTCTGTCAATCCACAGCCGCCCAAGACGACCGATACGCCTACGATACGAAGGCTGGCCATGTGGCTCCTCTTCTGGTGGTGGCGAGAAGCCCCGCATCTCTCTAGGTTCCAAGGCATTCTCGCATGACTCTTCGCTTACCGATGCAGGTGGTGTCATCAGGTATTGCGTCGTGGCAAGGCGGAAGCTGGAATCTGGTGGCGGAGTGCGAGCATCGGAGAGTGGTTCTCTCGTCATGTCGATATGGTTTTGGTTCCACCTCTGGTGTTGTTGTATCTTTGAATCGATTTCCATTTGAAGTAAGTTCTCCTTCTGGGCGAGCACATCGGACAGGAGAGTGAGGTCTGCCTCGATTGTGCGGCCATCGGTTCTGCTACTGGGAATGCGGATCTGGGTTCCAGGGGTACGTTGGAGTTGAGGCACCTCGACGGGCTTCCTCTTCTGTGGCTGTTGGACGATGTTAGCAGGGATCCCATTACTGTCACGACAATGTAAGTCACATACCTTTTGGTTAATGAGGACTTCGTCATCGACCTTGATGCCGAGTCTCTGTCTGATCTCCTTGACCTTGCCACGTTGCTCGAAGATCGAACGATCAATGGCGAGAAGGTCTCGCTTGGCATGTTCCCTTTGCAGAGACATGAGAACAAGTTGTCGTCCATCCTCCAACTCTTTACGCAGTTTGCGTAGTTTATCCGTGACTTGGATATCTCGTGCCCTCGTCTTACGGGTCTGGCGAACATCACGGCGACGGAAGCAAACGTATGGATCTCCATCATCACTGTCCTGGTGGAGTTCAAATTTCAGAGTCGGCTGAAGTGGCCGATTGCTAGAGCATTGCCTCCTTGTCTTCCAATAATCATAGATATCCTTGGCAAAAGCTTGAGCTTTCTTATCAACCTCCTGTTTCAAGGCAAATTCCATCATTTCAAACCCAGCCACAGTATTGTCAACTGCAGCGAATGGTGTTTGACGATCAGCGGTGGTCTCAAAGGCTTCCATGATCTTCTCGAAGTCATCCTCAGAGCATTGGCCCGTCGGGGGCTTCTTTTGGTTGTAGGCTTTGAGGAAGACATCGTCATCGGTGGTCATGTCATATTGGCAACCAGTACACTCTTCAACCGTTTGGGAGAAGCGAATGTAAGACGACGACTTGGAGAATTTGAAAGCATACAGCTCATCATAGTTGATGTCCTTGGTCTCCTCTGATGGAGGTGCTGGCACTATCTTCTTTGCTTCCTCCTTGGAGCCACGCCCGAGGGCAGCGGCCAAGGCCTCTTGGAGATGGTATTCCTATGAAAGTAAGTAAAGGTATTGAAGACATTTCCAGGAAAACTCGTGGAAAGATTGTAATATGCGCCACAACAGTTGTGGTGGGGGGAAAGGCCATAATGATATTGCCCATCGTAAAAGTGAATAATATCACGTGAGAAGGGGATTACGTATACTAAAAATAGCAAACTCACATTCTCTTCTGACTTTTCGACGCCGGTCTCGACTTTATATTGATTATCGACGAGTTCCTTGTATTCGTCCGAGTCTATTTGATCCTCACGGATAACACTGAGGGGTTGTTTGGGTGAGAGTTTCCGGGTCCGAAAGCGCAGGCCCGGCTGAGTACTTCGCGTCATGACCGGCCAGGAGTGGCGAGACAAGAGCAGTGCCCAAACAGCGAAATTTCCTTAAGGACACCCAGGCAAAACTGGTGTCTTTAAAAAGCGCGTATCATCAGTTGATGGCTTAACGACTTTTTAGGTCCAAAAGTCGTGATGTTGTGGTTCTTTTGATGTTTTTGTCGTCGCGATCTGATGACTTGACGTTGGCGACGCTCCTGCTGCAAGTTTTTGTTTGGGTGCTTGGTTGTGAGGGTGATAGCACCAAGAGTGGTCTAGCGTCGAATTTGGGCAACTAGCGGATAACGGACAGATTGGTATGATTAGCCGAACCCAATATCACGATACAGAGATAGTTGTAATCGTGTATGTGAATGAACGTGAATTTGATGTGAATGCGCATAAATTATATCCTTTGACTCCTTTTTGAATGATCTTGTTTATTCCCCAGCAGCGCCTGTTCTATTCTTCGTAAAGGGACAAATAAAGGATACTCGGCAGAAACTACCATACTCCCCACCTTCGCGCCTGCCAGCCCGACCTCGACTTCTCTTTACCTTACTCAGCTAGGCAGCCCCGTCATACCACCAGAGCCCCAAGCTCTCTCCACGACACACATTCTCCCACTGCGACACAGACAACACGCGATTGACTAATTCGAACCTCACCCGACTATCCACCTCGTACGAAAACATCCGCCAGGATGGGCAACACCAGCAGTGCCGTCATCGAGAACATTGTGGAAGGGTCCAATTGTGCGAGCACCCCACCCCCGCCTTGGCCAGACCCCCCGATCGATTTCAAGGCTGACAACTGAGAACAATAGTCGACAGAGATGAGGTCGACAGGCTTCGCAAGCGCTTCATGAAGCTGGACAAGGTTTTCAGCCGTGCACTTGGTCTTTCGTATCACCAGCTTACACACCCCTCCAGGACAACTCAGGCACCATCGAGCGCGAGGAGTTCCTCAGCCTTCCCCAGATTGCCTCGAATCCCTTGGCCACCCGGTAGGCCACACATATACACACATACCAGACGAACGATAGCTGACTGATGCGCAGCCTGATTGCGATATTTGACGAGGACGGAGGCGGCGATGTCGATTTCCAAGAATTCGTGTCGGGGCTGAGCGCATTCAGTAGCAAGGGCAACAAGGAGCAGAAGCTGCGGTTCGCATTCAAGGTGTACGACATTGATCGTGATGGGTACATCAGCAACGGCGAGCTGTACATTGTGCTGAAGATGATGGTGGGCAGCAACTTGAAGGACCAGCAACTGCAGCAGATTGTGGACAAGACGATCATGGAGGCGGATTTGGATCGGGATGGAAAGATCAGCTTTGAGGAGTTTGCGAAGATGGTGGAGAATACGGATGTCAGCATGAGCATGACCTTAGGTATGTCGTTCTGGGTGACTGTTTGTGGGGTTCTGTTGTGGACAGTGCTAACTGGGTTGCAGACCAATTTTGAACACTCTCTTCAAAAGCATAGGGATGGTTACGAAGATAATGACCTCAATATAATTCTCTTTTCACCAGTTTTGCATCACATGCGCAGACTGGTGGACGAAGCCAATGCATCTCGATTATACAAAGTGACACGGTGGAGCGGAATAGCGTTTGGAAGAAGACTAAAAGGGAGACCTGTGTAGGTTACGTTTTTCATTTACAGAGGGAACAAGAAGCCTTGTGCTGTACCAGAAAGGGTTTCCACGCTCTTAATGTGAGCGTTTTCTTTCGGGTTCCGTGCGAGGTGTTTGCTTCGAGCTCCACAGGGCGAAAGCATCTGATATTTCCTTCTCGTTACGGGGCTCTCTTTTGAGGCTCAATTCTATCATCACAATCATCACAACGCAAGTGTTCTATTGCCTGGGGTTTGCACAAGACCACGATACTCTCGCTATGAGCGGCCACAGACACAGGCAGGGACGCACTATTTTGAAGCCCAGGAATTGATCAACTGAACACGGCATACAAAAAAGCAAGGAGGACATCGAGCCATGGTCATATGGTGTCAAATTGCGCAATTCTCGACCATAGGGTACAAATTTGAGCATTCATGACTCTTAACTTTCTATTGCACACTGTGATACAGGGATGATAGCGTATAGAAATGATAGACCTACCTGTGGTTTGCGTGGGAGATGACAGCTCTAAATTTCGCGGCGAGGCCAAGATATTTTTGCACGCAAAAAGTGATACTTCTGTACGGTCTACACGACTAAGTTTGTGACGCTTCAGCATTGTCGACTGGACAAGTTCGTGTACTCCGGCATTGTCGATATGGCCAGGCCATTGATGATAAGTACAGGTCGAACACCGTCTTGCTATTTTTGTCTGGGTATATAGATATAGTACAAGGTATTGTACGCCCGACTTGAAGTCCCACAATGCCATCCCGCTGCAATCCAGACTGAAACCGGGGCGGTGCAGAATCTCAGCGATCAGACGTCGAAGCTATTGGCACCGCGGGTAGGGTAAAGAGTACATGTACACCACATCAGTTTTCTAGAAGCCTAGATCGAAGTCCGACCTGTATCGTGCATATATGTATCACAGTCTTTTGCTCGGACAATTCATTAGGTTCAGTGTGGCTGAAACCGGGAGAATCCCTCCCCACGCGTCTGGCGTGACGTATTATCTTTACCAGAGATAGGCAGATCTCCTGACGGGATGCCCTTGCATGAGAGTGCGGAAGGGATTGTGCGAATAGTATTTGGAATGCGCGATGCAAAATGTGAAATGTGAGATGCGCCAGGTGTCAGCGTCATGCCGAGACTGAGGCGGCAAGGGCTAGGCCTGTGAAGGGATGCGGATGCGAACACCGGCAGACCGGCAGGGCGTAAGTCATGTCTCTACTATGCCTGTAGCCTGTAACAGTGACCATTATCGCGGGTTCTGGTGATCAGTCAACCCAGATGACGGGGAATCTTCAGGGCCAGAACTCGAGGGGAGATGTGGTGGTTGTCGAAGTAAGGGATAGGAAGTTCAGGCACTTTACATGGGAGCGGACGGGCGGACTATTACTTTCTCGACGCTTTTATCCACACATCGGATGAAATAACTTGGAAAATAACTAGGACGCAAATATCCGTCAGAATATATGAGACACGCAGCCTTAAATTGTCCGGGCATCAACACATCACATCGCCGGCGCGGAAGCCATATGCGCGGTCCAGAGCACACCACTCTGGAGCTCGCATACACAGCGCAATAATAGGCCTGTGAAGTAGTAGAGTAGTCAACTTCGGATATGATGGAAGAAGGCCCGCATCTCCTTCGGCAGGCCCACTCAGCTTCCAGGCGTGCAGATGAAATGCACCTGCGATTCTGAGACATGGCTGGGAAGTAGCCGCTTCTAGAAGGAAACGCACCTTGCGTTAACGAGCGCATAGGCTGGTATAGGCCGGTAACAGGCTGGTACACCTGGCAAGGGGGTATGATCTGCGGGAGGCATTTTCATCTTCATGCATCCATGCAAAAAGTAGGTACTTGTATACCCATTTCGACTTGTTATTCATAAAAAGGGGCGTCAGCCAACAGTCACAGGGGTGCTGCATAAAAGCTCAAATGGGCGGTGAGTATACCCATATACTCAAGGATTGTTATAATATCTTGATATTGATCTCTTCAAGGACACTCACTGGAAAGAGTCTCGACAATCAACGAGTGAACAGCGCCTACTCGTATACCGCAAACTAAAGTAATCGCCGTGTCTTGACGCTCCGACATGTCACATTGCTGTTATGTACTGTAGATCGCGGGGTCTAAATTTAGCGTTGCATTATCGCCAGGTGTGGGGAAAGATCCCCTGAAAACAACAAAAGTGCCGAATTCGGTATTTCCGTACGTCCCCTATAATGCACTAATGCTTCTATGGGCAAATAATCATCCCGACGCCATCCAAAGTAGGCGTTTAAGGCTGCATAGGGGATAGATGTGGCATAGTTTGCTCCGAAATAACATTACTCGTTAATCTCATGCGTCAATGGGACTAGGACTATGAGTATGCATACTCCCATTGACATGTTTCGTCGTTTCGTTGAAACAGGCCCTATCCTATGGGCCCTGTTCCCTGCCCCCTGCCCCTTCGCCAACAATCCGCCCTCATGTCATCACCGAACTTTTGTCGTTTACATCGGCCAGATTCGGTTCCCAGAAAATATAGCGCTGTGATTATTGCACTCGAAGTCTCTATAACTGGCGCGCTTATGGGCCAATTTAACTACTGGAGTAGTGCTCGCCACTAGCTTCAGCTCCTCCACTGAGATCGATGGGTAGCGCGTATGTATGGACCAAAGATATTGCACCACAGGCCTCACAATGTAATAACACCTGAATGTTAATGCCCTTCTTCCGTGTTCCCTGCCTTGTTTTGCCCTCCTCCCGAAAATCCTCTAGCCTGCCTCAGATCACCAAGCACGCTCGGCCTTTCCTCATTTGTCCCTGCGCCGACGTTGTTGTTGTCTATTTTACGGCTCCTCGTCTGCCTATGCCGCTGTCTTCGCCATCGATGCATAAATCTCATTGTCCCTCGCGTCCCTTGCGTCACTCTGTAGATTCCCTTTTTAACTTTCGTCCCATCTTTCCGTCTCCGAGACCTTCCTTCCCTGTCCGATCGCCCCGCTTTCGTTCCATTCTCACATCTCAATCACTTCTGGCGCCTCGCAAGGAGGCGTTAAGGCTACAATCTAACTTTCTGGCTGCGCTAATCTCCATTTCGGTGTCATCTATTCGTCCAAAATCTTCTTCTCTTTGCAATCTTTCTGTTTCTTCGGCTTTGTCATTTTCCCCTTGCGTCGCTCATCGTCTACAGCACTGCACACACGCACACATTTACTGTCTGATCGTCAACTGCCAGTCTAGGATGCCAGCAGCCGGTAAAGCACCTATGCTTTGGAATAACACATGATATTTTTGACCTCCCCTTCATCCACGCCCTTCATAAAAGCTTGGCCCTCGGCCTCCAGAGTATATAAGAAGGTCTTGAGACATACCCAAGGCCACCAAAGATCGCTCGGGAAATTCTTTATTTGATATCGCGCCATTATCAGTGCAATACTGGGTCAATTCATGATATAAGTCCTCCAGGGAAACTAGTAGGGGCATGGATGGCCATGGCCCAACGCGGAGGCAAAACGAGCCACGCCAATATGCAAGTTCGGGCGACAGATTTGCGCCGTCACAAGACTCGGGGCGTAGCTTCTCAGATGAGCTGGCTGCGAGACGTCGACAGCCAGCTGTCGCTGGCCCAGGCTCATCGTCTCAGAGGAATGCACTATCAAACTACAGTTTCTATGCTGCGCACGAACCTTCATTTACCGCCGTATCATCAGTTGATCAGATGACATATCAGACCGAGTATGCTCAGGAACCTCGTCAGCAGCAAACCAGTTATGCTTCCTACGACTCAAACCTGACTTATGGAATGGGCCAACAGCCTCTGGGGGGGCTAATGTATGAGAGCTCTCAGCAATTTAATCAGCAACAATCGGCTGCCGGCCAGGTACTATCAAATACCAATCCTTTCTATCCAACCGAGTCAATGGCAAATCAAATTCACTCCGGCATATATCCAGGACCTGCTGGCAGCATTGGGTTGCCTCAAACACGTCAGGAAAGCACTGGTGGGCCAGAAATTTCTGCGACTATTGACCACGGATATCGACGGTGCAGCGCTGATCTTGGTCAAATATTTCAAAATATTTCCGACGGCAGGCTCGCAGTGGCAGGCCAATTGCTTTCATCCTTTTCCGAATGGCTAATCTCTCACGTCGAAGATATGGGTACGTCTCCCTGCCAGAGTTTTTTTTGTCATGACCTCCGTTAATATGATTTGTGTGCGCAGAGCTCACTGTAGACGATACGGCCCAGGAAGAAGTTCGCTCAAAATTATGGGACGATTTCAATAATGCGTGGCTTGCGTTGATGCACAAGCAAATGACTTTAACAAGGGGATTGCTCGAGGCTGGTATCACTTTGCAGCAGCCACAGCTAATGACAGCCGAAGTCATCAGCAAAATATGCACCGACCTCCTCAAGTTAGATGATGAATACCTTGAGAAGCATGGTTTAATAAACTATCAATATGGAGTTTTAGAGGATCAGATAATAGAGAGTAAGTCGATTTGGAATATGTTGAAGCTTAACTTATATTTTTTATACAATCTGATTATAATTTAGGCGCGATTATATGTTTGGATATTTTGGAAAATTATGGTTCACAGCAAGAAGGTCAGCAGATACTATCTATACGAGGGCAAGTATTAACATCTCGCCCAGGTTAATTTTGTAGTTCTTGCGGATGTTGTTGTTATTGGGATTCTGACTTTCGACACTGGGTTGGTGTCAAGTCCGGGCATTTGAACCTTAGAATTGAAGCACAACAGTTTTCCTTTGTAACATCGGCAATTTTTTTTGGGTACGCAAATGTTTGATTATGGCAATTGTTTTGATATTTATTGTTACGACTCTTTCTGGATATTTTGGTCAGGAGGGGATACATGCACTGGTGGAAGGTGCTTCATAAAAGACGGGATGCCTAGGAATAGCCCGTTTTCTTTCTTTATTATGTCATATATACCTTGGTCTCACGGCCCTTCAGATACTGCAGCTTAGAAATAGACGGGGAATAATAAATTGTTTATCAACGTTTAAATAGGCACCCAAACTCGGAGGGACCTTCCGAGACCCAATTTGGCCCGGCAGCTCGGGCTCGGATGGTGGAATGATTCTCATCCGTGGGCCAGCCATTTTAACTTATTCGTATGCCTTATATGCATGAGAGCACATAGGCGACTATAAATTGTTCCCTGCATTGCCTTTGCCAAATATATCACCCTTGCTCCGCAACCTCCCCTGTAACTAGGCGCGTTGTAACAGAATCAGACTCGTTATTCTGGCGTCTGATTTTCTGCCATTTTCGACATATAAACGGAGAAAAAGGAAAAATATTCCGGTGCATTGTCTCTGTTAATTAAGAGAGAGGGTGGAAGGTCTGTGTCTCTGAAAAGTTACCGGGTGTGTGCTTTGAATATGGATTTGGCTGGCATAGGGACCAGGCCCTCGTAAGTGCTATATTGTTCGAAGATAGCCAATTAGAGCTTGAGAGCCCCCGGGGTCTGTATGATAATGGAACTGCGAGCGTAAGAGTTACATTTAATACTTGGCGCTTCCAACACAAGATGGGATATGGGCGCTCGTTGGAGGATGTAGTGATATATGATTATAAATCCCATGCCTATCCTGTCTCTTAGAGTTGGCCTGGATGCTGGTCATTTGAACTTCATGAAGGTTATGGCATACAATCTGGGCGTTAAAATACCAAATCAAGACTTGAGATAACCTGGCACAGGAGCCTTTTGTCAGGCAGATCAGCTCCAATAACCAGACCTACCCCAAGCACCAAAATTCGATGAAGTAGAAATGGTAAATTCTATATTTCGTGAGTGTACAGATATAATACAATACATGGCAACAGCCCCACAACTATCTCTTGACCCAGGCAGGCATCTTCCTGGCCTTGACGTGGCCGGTCTTCTTCCTCTCCACCTTTCTTGGATCGCGCGTAACACAACCAGCTGCGAAGAAGAATTAGTAAATTGTCTAACAATCAGAAAAATATTCCAGGGGAGACTCTGCTTACCTCTCCTCAACGCTGGCTTCAATAACGGCTCGTGTGCGAGCAGGGCCTTCGTAACACCCAATGTCAAAGCCTCAGCCTGCCCTGTCGTTCCTCCACCCTCCACAAGGGCCCACACGTTGTATTTGTCTATCCGCTCCGTCGCCTTCAGCGCCCAAATAGCGCTCTCTCTATCGTGGACTCTTGAAAATGCTTCCACCAATGTCTTTCCATTGACCAAAATCTCCCCATTACCCTCAACAAGCCACGCCCTCGCCGTGGAGGACTTACGTCGTCCAACGCCAAGTGCTCTGCCAAATCGGTCTATGGTGATCGGTCTGGCTATGTTTGCGAACGGGTCAATCGTTCGCCTGTGGGCTTCTATTGCTTCAATGACTTCTGGTGTCTTCAAGGTCGGGTGGATGTGGTTCAGTCGGTGCAGTATTTGAATGACCTTCTGGTATTTCGAAGTTCGCACATGTTCGCCCAGTGAAGACCGGTAAGACTCCAGTGTCTGCCACGATACTCGTGGCGCCTGTCCGGGCTTGACAACAGGGAGCGTCTCGTTCTTGCGGAGCAGGGCCTGGAGCTTCAGGAGGCTGTCCATAAACTGGGGGAGACCCGTGAAGTAGGAAGGCGAAGCTGGAACAACGCGGGCGTGCAGATTCTTCGAATTGTTTCTGGACATCTGGGCAAAGTCTATCTGAGGCGCGGCTACTGGAGGGTCGGATATGGTGGACGAGTGTCGAGCAGAAGCTTGGAGTCCATGTCGCTGTCGGGGAAACGCCCTGAAAACATTTGCTGAAGAGCAGACTTGCGACGAGCGCACTAATCTCCCTGGGATCGAAGCTGCCTTCATTTTGAAGCGCCGCCCTGGGGTTGGGAATTGAATTGGCGGGTATATTGGACAGTCAACTTCAAGTCTCCATTTCGAGAGAGCTGAGCCGAAACCGCGAAATATTTCGTATCACGTGATTATGTCGTTTGTTTCGCTAGTGTTGACGCTAGTGCGAAACACAAAATGGAAAGTTTTGCGGCAATTTGTTCTTCTTTTTTCTCCTCATCCACACAACTGATCACTTCCCATAACCGCAAAAATGGCATTTGGAAAGCTCTACACCTCCGAGGTAAGTGAAGATGCCTCTTGGCCATCATAGTCCTCTCGATTGAGTTGACCAACAATCTAACAGGGAAACCCAAGGTCCACTGCCATCAAGGCGGTTGCCCTGGCCAACAACATCGAACTTGAGATTGTCAACGAGGACCCTAAACAGGGTGTCTCCGATGAGTATCTCAAGACCAACGCTCTGGGCAAGATCCCAACCTTCGTTGGTACCGATGGCTTCGTTCTCTCTGAGTGCATCGCCATTGCCATCTACAGTAAGCTCATTTTATCTGTTTTACCCCGCTATTTACACTATGCTATGATGAAGAACATTGTCAACAGTTTATCCCTGTCTTAATCCTCCGTGTTGAGTAATTTATTAATTAGACTCTGAGCATAACAACGAATTGTTTACTTTTTTGCAAAATGACGCAGCGTTCATGAACTTCTGCTAACAATTCATCAGTCACCTCCCAGAACGAGAAGACCACCCTTCTTGGCAAGACCAAGCAGGACTATGCCTCTATCCTGAAGTGGATGTCGTTCTTCAACTCCGAGGTTCTCCCAAGCCTTGGCAGCTGGTTCCAGCCTCTCCAGGGACGTGTCCCATACAACAAGAAGAGCGTTGAGGATGCCCAGAAGAAAGTTCTCCAGGTTGTCTCTGTTATCGAGGCACACCTTGCCAACAACACCTACCTCTCTGGCGAGCGCATCACCCTTGCCGATCTATTCGGCACTGCTCTCATCTCTCGTGGCTTCCAGTTCTTCTTCGACAAGGCCTGGCGCGCGGAGTACCCCAACGTCACCCGTTGGTACGAGACCGTCTACAACCAGCCCATCTACACCAACGTTGCTGGTGAGCTCAACTTCATTGATGAGCCAACCCTGAAGAACGTTGCCCCGAAGAAGGCTGAGTCCGCCCCCAAGGCACCAAAGGCCGCTGCTAAGCCCAAGGCCAAGGAGGTTGATGATGAGGAGGAAGAGCCAGTTGTTGAGGTCCCCAAGGCCAAGCACGCTTGCGAGGCTCTCCCTAAGCCCACCGTCCCCATTGATGAGTGGAAGCGTCAGTACTCCAACCTCGACACCCCAGTTGCCCTCAAATGGTTCTGGGAGAACTACAACCCTGAGGACTACTCCCTCTGGGCTGTCGACTACAAGTACAACGATGAGTTGACCCAGGTCTTCATGACCGCCAACTTGATCGGTGGATTCTTCGCTCGTCTTGAGGCTTCCCGCAAGTACATCTTCGGCTGTGCTTCCGTGTACGGCGCTGCCAACGACTCTGTCATCAAGGGTGCCTTCCTCATCCGTGGCCAGGATGCTCTCCCTTGCTTCGATGTCGCTCCTGACTACGAGAGCTACCAGTTCACCAAGCTTGATGCTACCAAGCCTGAGGACCGCGAGTTCGTCAACGAGCAGTGGACCTGGGAGAAGCCCGTTGTCGTCAACGGCAAGGAGTACCCATGGGCCGACGGAAAGGTCTTCAAGTAGACATTTCACAAGTAATTTTGTTGACTTGTCAATGATTGTAGCTTAGACTACTTTTATGATGCAATGATATACACAATTATGAATCATGATTTATCCGTCCTTGTTTATCTCTGTAGTAAAGTGACAATGTACAAGTCTTCCTCCCACTAGTGATCCTGTTGCTGCCATACTCGCCCTTTTCTCCAGCCATCCTGTCTGTAACCTGAATGAACGCCCAGCATCAGCTTGTGTGTCCTGCCGTTTTCCAACAGGCTGTAAAAGTAAACGTTATCATTCCCCCTCGGAAGTAGCACCATCACTGGCTCCATAACTGGCCGCGTAACTGGCCGCATAGCTGGCTTTGAATGGATTTTGACGCATGTATGCGCTGACATCCTTCTGCATTAGGATATCGTCCAGATACATCGTTAAGTGTTGCAATACGTCAGTAGGTTCTGAGTCGCCTTTAAATTCCGGAAGTTCCACAAGATTGAACGGCTCGCTTCGGGCTTTCTCCAACGAATCGTCAATCAAAATTGTATTTGACTGGTCCCAGGTCGCACCCGTCGCTTGTAGCGGATGCCGGTTTTGTATACCGGGTTCGGCCCAGACCTTCTCGAGGCGCTTGTACACTTGAACTCTCCTCACAAAGTCTTCGGGGGTTAGGCCCATACGGTCACGGCCCCATTCAGTAACGAGGTATTGGCGCCTTGGACCTGGAAACAACTTGTCGGCCATGAGTCGCACATTTTCGAGGCGTGCTGAGGACCAGACCATGACTTGGAAGCGGGAGAAGATATAATCGAGGAAGGACGCTGTAGACTGGCGCTCCAAAAAGTGCGAGGGACGCCTCCTGTCCGGACGATAGAGAATTGTCCCATTCAAATCTAGGACAAGGAGGATGTGCTGCGGCTTAACGGCTTGCTGAGGGGCAAGAAGTGAGCGCTCGAGATATGCCGGTGATGGGTCGGGAACACCGCCGGAGCCGGCTGATGGTGGGACTATTGGGTCTCTACGAGCAGTAGTCGTCACCGTCGTTGTGGTTGAGGTTGTTGTGGCCGTGGCTGTGACCTTCTGTGATCGTAGTTTGCGCGTAGTAACTTGAACCTTCGGGATCGGCTGTGGAAGTTGTCCTTCGCCTTGATTCACTGCCTGTGAACTAGGACCTTCTTGATTCTTTTTCTTCTTTGGTTTATGTTTCTTGACGCCGGGTATTGACCCTGGAGTGACCATTGTAGAATCTATCGAAGTCTCATCGCCTCTGTAACAAGCCCCAGGTTAATACATTGGCCGAGATGGAAGGTTTCTAGGAGTAAGATGAGAACAGGCTCGTCGGCCAGCTATTCACTTACAATATCAATGGGCCACGAGTGGCTTCAGTGCCGGGAGGTTGGCTTAGCTGTACCTCCAAATCGGCCTTTTCGGCGAGATGTTGTGCGAGCTTTTTGAGTTTCTTGGAGTTTGTGTCTTCCCTTGAATTTAGAGCCGCAATCGCAGCATCTAGAACGGCAATCCTTTGCGATGCCATTTCTTGGAATGTAGGCAGAGCCTTGTGGGCCTGTTTCCTCATCCCAACGGGAATCATTTTGGTATAGCGGCTATGTCGCCGCTGTGCGCTTGTCAAAGTAATCTTGGATGACGCCTTGATGCAGTTCCAAACGGGTGTTGCAGCAGCTCTATATAGGAGCGACTTAGTGTTCATGCGTTAGGTTGCTCGATTTGAAAAGACTGTGAGTCCAGGCACCAGTGAAATGTACTCTCCGCCTCCCGCTGAGTACAACCCGATGAGTGTCGAAATAATCGCGGCCGATAAAGATTGTGCCGCATTCTTCCGCCTAAGATATGACCCAAACTAACTTAGCGTTAATACTATCAGGGCCAATGCACGGACCACCAAATTTTTATGAAGGTTGCCTTTGAAGATGAAGATTACCCCACGGTTGGTCATACATTATCTCGCAACCTGAACAATGTCCTCTGTAAAGCGCAAGGCCCTTGAGTCATCGCTCCAACGGCGAGTCCGAGCTAGAAGAGATGCGAGCGAGGAGCCACAAGAACTCTCAGAGTCATCAGATCAAGACGATGGTGCCAGCGGCAGTGAGGATGGTGTAGATGAGAACTTAGCTAACAATAATGAAAGCGATGACTCTGTGAGTCAATTCACTCAAATACTTCATGAATATATTCTAACATTCTATTAGGGCGATGCGGAAGACTCTGAATCAGAAGGATCTGAGCCTGGCGAGGCAGCATCAATATCCTTTGGCGCATTGGCCAAAGCGCAGGAGTCTATACAGCGGTCAGCAAAAGGGAAACCCGGCAAGGAGACAAAACGGCCCAAGAAAGTGTCCGACGACCCGTGGGAAAACAATGAGGCAGCCGAAAGAAAGGCAGGGCGAAAAGACCACAGGGATTTTAGCCGCTCAAATAAAAACGCCCCAACAGAGATTTCAAGCAAGAAGGCAGTCTCACGAAAGCGCGACGTCGTTCCAGTTATAAAGCGGGATTACCGAGACCCAAGATTTGATCCATCGGTAGGACAGGTGGATGATACGAAAGTAAACAAGGCCTACTCGTTCTTGAATGACTACAGGCAAGATGAGGTCAAGGCTCTCAAGGAGCAGATTAAGAAATCCAAGGACGAACATGAGAAAGAAAAAATGAAGCGCACTCTTCACTCGTTGGAATCTAAAGTGAAGGCTGCGGCGAGGAAGGCAAAGGAGTCCGAAATTCTGGACAAGCACCGCAAAGAAGAGAAGCAATTGGTCAAGGAAGGCAAGACACCGTTCTACCTCAAGAAAGCTGAGCAGAAGAAGCAGTTCATCATGGAGCAATACAGCTCGCTCAAGGGGAAGCAACTGGACCATGTTATCGAGAGGAGAAGGAAGAAGGTGGAAGGGAAAGAGAAGAAGAACCTTCCATATGCCAGACGAGATTTTGGCGGAGACAATTGATCATACTACTCATGAATTTCGTAGTACGCCTCTGGATGGAAAAATATATACCCCGGCGTTAGATTATGAGTCGAATTGTATTGTCTATGTCCAATATATCCTTATGTCTACATATTGCCATACCCTTGCCAATGCATTTATGTTATTACAGTGTTGTACAACCTAATTATACCCGCCCTTGTTCATACTATTCACGAAGAGCTCTCTACAGCGAACCTGGCTTCCCAAACGTGCGCAAAGCAGGAAAGCTCCGCTCAGCTTTCTGTGAAGACTGTAGGTCTCTTCTGGCGGAGGTGCCAATCGTTCTTTAATCATCAGAGGGATTAAACCCTTCACCCTTTCGGTAATGGTCTGATCTCTGAAGTCGTATACCTCCGGAGAAGTTGCGAGGAATGGCTCGGCCAGGGTCATGACGGACGCAATATGTGCATCGACCATCGGTTTAGACTCGTGGCCTGTGAGGTAGCCAAGGTCGACCGACAATTTGCGTACTGTTTCCTCGTCGGACTTTGATGCAGCATTTAAAAGCTGTGTATATTTCGTAATAAACTCTTCTGGATACTCTCGCGAGGCGCCGAAATCCAAGAGCTCTAATTTATTCTTCTCGGCATTGAACAGAAAATTGGTCCAGTTAGGATCAGTTTGCATGAACCGGAACTCGGTGATCTCGCGCAAACAGAGGCGGAGGATGTTCGTACCAATCCAGTCCCTCTGCTCCTGGGTGAGGTCCTGGATCTTTGTGACGCCTACTCCCTCCATAAATTCCATTGTGATGACTTGCTTCCCAGAGGCTTCCGGGATGACCCTCGGAACAATGAAGGTGTCAGTTTCGTCCGCAAGATATTCTTGGAATCGTCGGCCGCATTGTGCCTCTCGCAGATAATCGCATTCCCAACCAAGCTCTATTCTTGCATTGGCGATAGTCTTGTCGAGGAAGAGTCCTTTCGGCAGCAACCGAGATGCTGTGAGAAGCACGGCGAGGTTGCTCAGATCCGAGTCAATGGAATCCGCGACTCCAGGGTACTGTACTTTCACAGCTACCCGCTCTCCTGTAGATTTTAAAGTAGCAGTGTGGACTTGCCCAATAGAGGCGGCAGCTATTGGTTTCTCATCGAACGTGTCGAATAAATCACGCCAGTCTGCACCTAAATCCGCAGCAAGCACTTTATTTCGCTGAGACGCGGGCATATAGTCTGCGTTATCTTGCACTCTGAGCAGGACTTCTTGGATTGGCGCAGGGAGCATTTTTGAGTCTTGAAAGCTCAACATTTGACCCATCTTGAGTGCTGCTCCTCTCATTCGAGACAGTTTGGCGACTAGCCTATCCATATTCGCAGCGCTTAGCATGAATGAACCCTCTCCACCATTGCCGGTGACTCTACGTAGGCTTTCGCCAATAGCGCCACCGAACATACCAGCTGCTAGTCCGCCATAATTCCACAACCTCCCCATTCTGGAAGATGGAACTTTAGACTCTCGCATTTCATACACAGCCTTTGGTGCGCTAGCTTCTGCGATTATCTAGGGCGTGTATGTTAGCTATCAGATGCCACTGCCTGGTTTTGGGCGTGGAATCGGTGCTTACTTTGATCAGCGTGTCTTCATCTTTCTGCTCCAGAACTGTCTCTGGACTCCGAACCTCGGCATCAGAAGTGAACGTATCGTGTTGCTGAGCAGTTTTGGAAGGAACCCCCCTAGGTATCTGTGTAGGGGTCGGCTGCGGAGTGACTTTATCGGAGCTCCTAACGTTGGTATGCGCTCTTCCGCCCAATGACTTAGCAACGCGGGAGCTAGAAAAGATTGCAGTATTTATTCCCTCTGGGATTTCTTCTTCTTCTGCGAGAGTGTCTATTTTTCCAACTGTGCTGGCCGTTGGGGCTTGAACAGGAGACGAGTAAGACTCCGAGTTTAAGCCCTGATTGTTCAGGTGCGCATCGTCTGCTTGAACATGGCTAGGGTGTTTCGGCACCTTAACCCTGGGCAACGAGGACAGAATGGGTGAGTTATACTGCAATGGCTTGTAGGAGCTATCGTTGTCAATACCATTGGGTGTGTCATTTCGTGAAGTGTCGGCCTTCCCATCTGCGGCATATGAGGGAATCTGATTCTCATAACTCCGTTGTAACCGTCTCGCTTCATCCGATGTCAAGTGATTATCCCGACTATGACGGCTGGGTTCGATTGGCTGGCTAGGGTGCGCATTTGCCGCCTTGGGAGGTTGTTCTGACAAGATACTATGGTTCCCCTCGAGTTTCTCAGCATCTAGCTTGCTTGGAGGTATCGTGCCATCCGGACGGCTAGGGATGCTAGCTTCTTCTTGTATAATATGCCGGGCTTCGTTTGGTTTGGCGCCTTCGGGGCCAGGATGAGGCGCAACTTTCTGTGCCGAGTCGCCCGGGTTTGTCTCTGCCGCTTCTGAGGCCCATTGTGGCTTGTCCTCGTTCAATCGTGATGCCAAAAAAGAGGCGGCCCTCGCGGTTTCAGTGTAGCGTGCAGCTTCTGATTTAACGGCTTTGGCAATGCTTGAAGTCTTGGTAAAACGATCGAACTGTTCCTGCCGCAACGCTACATGCTTCCTTGCAATGCCGCGGGACGCATTGAACAATGCTGCTGCATCGAGAAGTCGTCTCCCCGACATGGTGCTAGACGCACAGAGATGTTTTCTTATAGCCCGTGCATTCTGAGTGGTCGGGGGCTAGGGCGGTTGCTACGAATGAAGTTGTTCAGTCTGGCGGGCGAGGTACGCGTAGTCCGTCGCCAGAAATTCTTTTAAGTTCCCTTGCACAATGACGCACATGAGCACTTCCGCACGGGCCATTTTTGGCACAACGGTAAACGGGATTCTCTCAGGGCAGAGCTCTTTGAATTCTCGATTTTACAAATTGGATATTTAAAAATACTTTGAGGCGTCTAGAATTTCTTGGTATTATTATTATTATCATTCTAACTCAATGCCCGGGGGGGTATGTTAACTCCAGGAAAACGTAACCCCTGCCCCACCCTTCCTTTTATCATTTTATATTCATAAGGCGTTCCATCATAATCAACAATTTGCCTTGACCCCCACTCACTTTGGAGTCCACTTAGGCTTCAAGTTCGTCGACCTAGACCTAGTAGTTCCGGGAGTCTTATTCCCAAAGCCTGGAGAGGCCATCCCCGACTTCCCTACTCTACTCCAAAGGCGCTGTGCTGCTGGAGTTAGCCCGCCACTTCCAACCCGTGGACTGCTCGGAAACTTCGGCACTGGACTCGCATCAACCTTTCCCGTCATGCCAGCTTGGGAGGATGCTCGTTTCATTCTCGCGACCCGATCAACCATCCTGTGGTGTAAACCTTCCCTCTTGCTATGCTCCTTTATTTTAAAGGGGTTTGGCGTAGCATCACCCTTTCCAAGCAAAATCGCGGGCGATGACTGGGTCCGCTCTTCCGGCTCAGGTTCATCCTCATCCACAAACGCATACCCGTTGACACGCGGCGTTTCACTGCCAGTATAGCCTGGCTCGGAGTCGGTAGTGCGTGGCCTTCCAGCGATAGCGTCCTGGATAGCCGAGAGTGACGGAGACGGCGGGACTTGGGATTCGTCCACGGTAACCAGCCCAGGCATACGGGTATTGTTATATACGACCCCCTTAGGAGCCGCTTTTGAAGTAGTCTGTGCCCTTTGTGCCACTGTCTCGATCGAGTCTTCCACTCCTTCAGGGCCGAACATAAAGTTATTATCTGGCTTCGACTTCCAGGTGTCCACCATGGCGGGTTTCTCGGAAACATCCCGGATGGCTAATCGTTGCCTTTCGCCTCCATCATCGACCAAGGACTGTCCGCTTGTTAACAGCTTTGTCTCCACCTCGTTCTGTTTTAGCATCTGCTTGGATGGCAGCTTATTTCCCCTCCACATCCATGCGTATTTCTCGGCCCGAGCTTTGTTCTGCTTATCGAGTAGCTTGTAGAAACTTTCGTTGTCCTCGCTGGTGTATTTAGACTGAAAGGCGTCCAAGCTCATATTCGTATCGACTTCTTCCTTCACATCTGCCTGCGTTGATGCCGAAGAAACATCTGACACCACAGACATAGGCGTATCTCCTGCATATCCCTTAGGAGTCTCCGACCCGCTTCTTGTTTGTATTGAAGTTCCTCTTCGCCCTCGTTTTCGCCCCGGGGTCATGACATGGGCCAGTCGGCGCCCTGCACTCGAGATCCAAACCTGGTCTTTAGAATCTAATGCATCGAGGTATTCTGACTGTGTTTCCGATTCGAGAAGCCCCGGAAAGAAGTCTCTGGCTATGATGTGGGAAATGCCTTCGGTATACGCCTCCTCGTCCAGCACCTTTTGAGGGCGCTTGATTCGCTTTGGCGGGGGCGGCATCAACTCCGTATCGGTCCGTCGGCGCACCAACGCATTTGATGGAGGCAAAGCCATGTTGTCCTAAATCCCCAAGCACTTTGGTATGTTGTGACGAAGTGGCGTGCTCTGGTATGTAGTAAATGGTGGGGCACTGTCGGGGCCATGTAGGAATGAGTATAAGGTTGGGGCTTTAAAATCGTAGATGCGGCGTCATCCGACAAGGCTGACGCTAAATTTACTTCCGAGCCTTGCATCCACCCAACTTCATCTCAACCAGAAAGAGAACAAACAACCCTCGAAATGACTAGTGTTCAAGCCCCAAATTTAGACAGCAGCATGAACCATGACACAGAACGAGAAGATATCTCGATGACGGGCGTGGAAGACGCGGAAAGTAGGACCGAGCTACCAATTGCGCCGAAGAAGGGCTGCGATATCACAACCAAAACTATCAAGAACCCATCATTTTCATACGCCTATTTGGAATACATTTCTGATGGCCAACCAACGACTGATCTTGACATACTCACTGTTCGATCACATCTCACATCCGGCTTAAATCAATTTCTTGGGCTTACTGGCGCTGCCATATCAGTTGATATTCTCAAGGTGGACCAAAAAGGCTGCTGGATTCGTGTGCCAAGAGAAGACTTAAGAGCCGTCATCGCCGCGATGGGGCAATGGGTTGGAACGGGTGAAGGCAGTTCAAAGGTGGCGTGGAAGTTGAAGGCCAGCGGCAACTGGTTAGGGTCTCTGGTTGCCTCTCAAGGAATTCAAAATACATGGGCAACATGAACTACCAGCGCGAACGACAAACGATACCCAAGCAATTCATGCAAGGCTACTATACATTCTGGCTATATAAAGTCTAGTGTATAAGATATGTGCATTTCCAACTTCCGGCAATGCGAATGATCCGAAAACGCCCCAGGCTACCATTATATCTTCCCAAAATATTTGAAGTTTATGCATGATTTCATGAGGGAACAGTGGACTTCGATAATCCCAAATCAGATCAGATCGACGACATTAACGAGCTGTGAGCATAAGCCATTGGCTTGATGTCTGGGTGAGGGACGGCATCGAATTTGTGGAAATCCAGCTTATAGTCTGGCCCAATGTTGATGTATGCACCCTTGTTCTCTGTGCTATCACAGTACCTCGGGGCGGAGAAAACTAGAATTCACAATTAATATAATTCAATAAACATGGGAAGTTTCGGCATACCTGTAATGCACTTCCCGTTGTGTTCTTCCTCGTAACCATCCATGCGCACTTCGTGACTTCTGATAATGGCAGTGAGGTTATTGTTGTCACAGAATCGCTTCGTAACATCAGGTCCAAACTGCATTCCCACGCCTCTCTTCGATGGGCCACGTCCAGGCTCGGTTTGTGGATCGGTCCAAAGCATTTCCATCATCAGTCCTTCTTGACCAGGCTGGCGCTGGTTATGCCTGTTTAACTTCCTGATATCGTCCAAGGTGATCTTATCATCAGAGAATAGACCTCCGTGGAGGACAAAGTACTGGTGTCCGATCAAAGTAGCCAGCGGCAACGCTGAGAATGACTCGCTGAATAATTTGAAGGTCCTCTCGTTATATTTCGCTTTGCATTCGCCCTCGAAGCCATAAGCACGGTTCATGTCGTCCGTCTCATGGTTTCCTCTGTTAATGAAGAACGCTTGTGGGCGAATCCACTTATAAGAGTATAGCAGGAGCGCGATTTCTGTCGACCAAGATCCACGATCCACGAAATCGCCGTTGAAGAGATAATAATGCTTGTCAGTGGGGAAGCCATTCAACCTGAAAAGCTCCATGAGATCGAAATATTGGCCTTCATATTGTTAGCAGTTGATACAACGCACTCAGGGTTCAACCTGCACAATATCTCAGAGACATAGGGAATAGCCTTACCATGGGTATCTCCACAAACAGTGAGCGTCGCATCTTCGGGGATGTCCACCTCTACCATGGTTGGTTCGTCGTACACAATCTTCTTAACAGCGAGAACAATCTGGTAAACGTATTTCTTGTGTATCTTCTTGCCGGTCTTGAAGCGCTCGATCATGTCATCAATAAATTCCTGGGTCATTTCATCGCCAAGTCGAACACCATCATAATCCGCGTCAACAACCATGGAAGGGATATCCAGTCCTTCGGCCGCGGAAGGTTCCTCTCCTAGCTCGATAGCACTGAAGAAGGCCGCCCGACGTACAAGCTTCTCAGCCTCTGCGAGCTTCAGCTTCGCATCTTTATCACCTGGCAACTTCTTAACAACAGCCTTGAAGTCCTTTACTGCATCGCGAGGTTTGAGAATCGCGGAATATGCAACAGCTCGTCTGTAATAGGCCTATAAGATATATCAATGAGTGAAACAGCACCCAAACCAAATATATGTCCTTCATACCTTCGCGAAATTGGGGTCGAGTTCAATGGCCTTCGTCGCATCGGCAATTGCGTAGCCAAACGCCTCGGACTTGATGTTGGCCTGTCTCTTCTGGTTAGTCATGCGACCACTTGAATAGGCGGGGTGCGACTGACCTGAGCTCTGTTACTGTAATATGTCGGTTGGTTTGGGTCCTTCTCAATAGCCTTGGTGTAAAATTCGATCGCAGTTGGCCAGTCGTGCGCAGCAAACGCTTTGTTACCCTGGTCCTTCAGAGCAACGCCTGCGGGATCAGGAGCAGTCATGGTGGGAGAGTGCTTCTTGGCTAGACCAGACGCCTATAATTTGTATTCGTAAAATTCGTTGAAGAGATCTGGTTTATATTTCTGGAGTCGCAGGAATTTATGAGAAAGAGTCAAATGTTTGCGAAACAGAAACAGTTAGGACCAGGCATTCTCCAATGTTCGAATTCGATCCACACAACGCACGAGGTTCGCCTTCTCCATCCCAACCCCGCTTAAATTTAGACTTAAGCGATCTAGAAGCTTAAGGCACGCGTGGTCACGTGGCAGTGAACTGTACTACCGCTGTGCATCAACCGCCACCACCTTCAGCCTCATTGATAGAAACTTACTTCAGCTTTTCTACAACACCGTGCCTTATCTCTTACGAGTGTCGCACGAAAGCCACCAGCGCAGGTGCTCACCGAGACTATTAAACCATCTTAATTCATTATACACCATGTCGTCTCGTTACATTCCCCCAGGGCAGCAGAGGAACATGCGCGCATGCATGGTCTGTTCAATAGTCCAGACCCAAGCTGTAAGTTTGAGGTGCTTTTCGCCTCAAATCCACCACTCTAACCTTACTCTCTAGACATTTCACAAGGAAGGGTGTCCAAACTGCGAGGAGTTTCTGCGTCTTCAGGGCTCCATGGACGCGATTGCCGACTGCACATCGCAGGTCTTCGAAGGCCTCATCACACTCGCAGATCCAAGCAAATCCTGGGTCGCAAAGTGGCAGCGACTTGATGGCTACGTGAGAGGCGTGTATGCGACAAAGGTGTCTGGCATACTACCGGAGGAGGTTGTCGATACGATGGAGAATGAAGCCAGGATCAGATATATTCCGTAAGTTGGAGATCGTGAATAAGTGAAACAAAGAGATAGCTAACAGTTTTGCAGTCGCGATGGTAGTGCACAGGAGGATTAGACGCAGCACAAATGGGACTTCTTTACGTGGCGCAGGAAATGGGTTGGGTTAAACGGCATTGCGACGGCGTCAATCACAGGGCAAGAATGGGATTAAGGAGTCAGATTTTTAGAGCCTAATTTCTTTCAAGAATAAGACTCCAGAGTGTTTTCTATGATTAATGCTATGCTTGGTATCTTGAACGCCATATAAACCCATTAATACAAACGCCCCTGGATAGGTCCATCTGGGCCTATCCTCATATCCACATCATATCTGGTCTCAAAACCTTGGCTTCTTCGGGGCCGGTCCTCCAAATCCTCCTCCACCGTCCCTACCTCTCTTCCGCTCAATCTCCTCTTTCATAATCCGCTCTGCCTCGCTCATCTTCTTGGGCTGTTGTATTTGAGCAACCTTTTTTCCTCCTAACGCATTCTTCTTAGCTGCCGCGAAGACGTTTTTAGGCTTGCTCTGGAATCCCATTTGCAGTGATATTTTGGCGGGGGCGCTTGGAATATCTTCCTTGACAGGGTTTGCTGTGCTGTCACCTTCGGCCGTCGCCAAAGTAGTATCTCCACTCGCCACTCCGCTGTTGGAGGCCGTGGCTGTGCTCGCAGACAATGGTTCCCTTTTCGTCGCCGAACCCTGCGTCTCTAATTCTGACGTTGGATTTACTGCCGCAGGCTTTGACCCAAAACTAAGCTTGATTTTCTCTCCTTCGACGCGTTTTAGTTCCTTATCGCCTTCATCCTCGTCATGGACCCCGCGGGCTTCAGCATCCGCCCGGGCCTTCCGGACTTGGTCGCGAATAAGCTTCTGCTCACGAGTCTCGTCGCCCTTATCCTGCATCTCCTTCTTCCGCACGGCATCTTGTCTCCGTAATGCTTCAGGCGAGTTGTCTACCCACGCAAGATGAATTCCCTTGTCCGTTTCCTCGACCCTGCATATGCCCTCCCGGCCAAGGTGCTTCGCGAACTCTGTGAGCGATGGCCATTTTGTCGAGTTCATGTGAATATGTTCCTTGTTGGCAATATACTCCTGGTAGAAGTGGTTCATTTGGACTTGCTTCTCGCCATGCGATGTTCGTAGTAGCAGCAAGAAGTCTCTCTGGAACTGGTTGCTGTAGTCGTTGATAAACTTCTTGGGGTCTTCTCCAACCAGCAGCATCCGCCTAACATGAGATTCCGACTGGGTGTGCATCTTGAAGCCATTTTCGTCGCGGCACTGCTTTTCGCAAACCTGGTAGACGGTCAGTATCGCAAATACGAATTGGATGCGCCACCATGGTAAACTCACCTGACAATACCATCTTAAACGTTGAAGTCCTTTGGACTTAAGCTGATTGTTGAGCTGCTTCGTGGATCCTGCCTCGGCGCGTGGCATGGTTGCGTTCTTGCTTGCCCTGGACTGTGGGGCGCGGTGTTGTATGTTATCGATTAAGTACAAAATGTTTGTATTTCAGCCACCGACCTAGGAGGCGAGGCTTACCGGAAATACGATGGTCCGAAATTTAAAGTTTAAGCTTTTACAGACATATACTAGACCATATTGGCTCTAGGGCACTACAGTACGTACTGTGCATTGTTACCTTGACCCTTGTCAAAATAATACCCAGCCAGTCCACGAAGCAAGGCAAGAGCCTTCGTTTGATTCTACATGCCGAAAGAAAAAATACTCCCTTACCAATGATAGTATACTTGTATATTAAAACATCACCATTACGACGTGATAAGAAAAATTATGTTGCGTGAATGGACGTGTCTTAGTTACCTCGGTCCATTATTATTCCGAACTCCTTCTTCTCACATGCTATTTCATGCAATCTACTTCAGTCTTATTAGAAACACTCTAAATTCACCCTCGCCGATGTCAACTAAGATCTCAAGCAATATCTTTCAATGATATTCTACCCAAACGTCGAAGTGCGCCACCATGGCGTGCAAGGCCTGTAATTACGGCGAGCAGGGCAATGCATCTCAGAGCCCAACTGTGCCAGACGGTAGGTTGGAAGGCGTGTCACGAGGGCCGGAAGCTCGCCACTCTATCCGCGGGCGATGCCTGCCAACAAGTGCCACATTTGGCGGCCGGCGTCCTCTCAATCCGTCTGATGCGGCCGAAGACAGTTTGGCGTACACCGAGGCGTTAGAGGGAGGGAATGGCCTCGGGGATGGCTGTGTTCCGTTCTATCCTGGTATGGCATCCCTTTATTCCATTTGGAAAGACTGTCTTGTTGGCAATTCATGGGTTCTCGTGGAATACCAGGGTGTCCATTTCACAATGGGACAATGCAAGAATACTTAGCGCAAGTACGAGGAAGTGGACACCAAAAGAGGCATTATAACTTTTCTGTTCACATACTACCATCTGGTGCTCTATCCCCCGCCCCCTCGGATCTGCCCGCTCCCAGCCTTTCATTAAATTTGAGATGACGACCGCCTCGATCACACGAGACCGGGTCAACCTCTGGCTACGCGATGCACTGCGCCCTTGGATGTCTGTAGATAGCCGAGTGAGTCGGTCGAACAGGGAGGGTCAGCATGCCATGAAGATCGAATCGCTTATGCCGGAGATCTCGCCGCATGAGTAGGTTAATCCGTATTTGTGGCTTACGCTCGCGCTCAAACTGCCTGTCGAGCTAAGATCTTTGTCTATGTGTGCAGAGTTGGCAGCCCCCGATAGCCATCCAAACTGCGTGGTATCTGTGAGGTACTTGGGGCGCACACAGTGATCAGGGTAGTTGGCTAACAAATACTGATCAATGGCTACATCGCGAGTAGCTTTCAAGATGTCCTGGAAATCAGAGTTTTGACCTAGACCTTGACGCAGCTCCTGCCGGAATGTTTCCACAAGAGAGTCGCTCTCGTTGGATTCATTATCGACGTTTAGAAAGAGTTTTATGAAGTCGCTCCCCAGACGAAGAATAAGCTGGCTATCATGGGCTCCTGAGTTCATTGCAGATTCGCAGTCTTGGAGGAGTTGCCCGGCACAAGACGTCCATTTCCCTTCCCTCCTTAGAGGAAGCCCATGGTTTAGGTGAGCTGTTGCCTCTGCACCCTCGTCAAGGAAGGGATTCTCATGAGAGAAGTGCTCGAGGAGACATTGATGCATGTGCTTTGCTGAATTGGTGATTTCAAGAACCGAGCATTCTTGTTTATGCCGGTATTCGGCAAGTGTTAAGGAAAGACCGAATGCGTCGTCCACAGCAAGTGCGTCGGAAGAATTCTCTTGCTCCCAGTCCATTGTAGAGTAAGGTTCTATGAGGAATAGATCTTCGATGCCACTGAGTTCGCCTAGGGAATCCTCTACCTGAAGACAAGCCTCAAATTCTAAAACTTGCTCAAGCTTCTGGCTATGCTTAGCTAGTATAGCGTCGTAGTCGCCAAGCCGGTACAAAGAGAAAGGAGTCCAAGGATCGTCTTTATTAGACAGGCACTCATCGAGCGTGGATTTGTATTTCGCTGGTGGCTCAATTGCGACAGTAGGAGTATTCTCATTCTGAGAACAAAGTGACTCAGCTATGTTAGCCTCCTCCATATAAAGGTCAGACATTTGGGACAGAGGTGAGCTGTACGAGACGATCCCTGCATATCCCTAATCGTATTTAGTATAGGACTAAGGAACAATGGTAGGGGGTTAAATACCTCGATAGAGTGCAATTTGCTGTCCGCGTTGGAAGGGGTATTGTATCTGACATTCGGAGGCGTTGCTGTCTCTAGTTAAAAAGGACCAAGAGATGATAGGAATAGAATAACTCACGCATGTTGTCAGGCACTTCTGCTGTCTTCCTTCTCTTAAAGTTTTCGATTTTCTGTGCTGTGACCTGGGTTTCTCCATAGAAATAATCCGTGTCTTTGCCTTCTCGTGCACGTTTTGTTCCTTTGGCAACAATCCATTGCATGTCGCATTGCTGTATGTTCTTGTGCCAACCCCATTCTTTCATCTGGCCTTTCCATCCTCTGGGGCTAGAATTTATGTGAGACTTCAGTGTAGGTGTCAAATTTTATATCGTACCTTGCTTTGAACCCATAAACTGTCTCAATCTTTGCCATAGTGACCGCTAGATCATTATCCTCAACCATGTAGATCTGGAAGGCGCTTGTCTTGATTTCGTCCCATTTCTGGTTGCGACGCTTTTTAGGCATGGATTTCCCTCCGTCGACTACCAAAGGGGTAGCCTCGTTATTATTACTCGCCATAGTAAACTCGAGGCATTGAACGCACAGAATAAAACGGTGACTGAGAAGAATAAGAAACTTGCCAGTAGAACAAAAAGAGGGAAAATGAGTAGAGATTAATCCAAGGGCGTAGAACAGGTTATAAATACGTCGCAAGGACGACTCTCGCAAAAGTGCAACACGCGAAATCACAGTCAGTGCCCACCCCTGACGCCACATTGACGATCAGCCAACCGGTAAGAATTTACAAAAGTGCAGGCAGTGTTTTGTACCCCAGCCGCGAGCTTACTCGGACGCCACACGGGTAACAAAAGTGCAGGCTCTATAATTAGGTCGATATATAACTCGAGGGGAGGCTAGCCATCATGTTACCGATTCAAAAAGCTTCATCACGAGACCCCTTAGAGAAGCTGCCAATGTCTGGCGTTAGAATTGAGGACAACTGCAGCTGCTGTACACAAAATTCTCACAGTTATAGGCGTAGCAAATAAATCACGGCATATAGAACAGCAGGGTGGAAATTAGTTAATTAACTAGGCTATCTAATGGTCTCAACCATAAATGTCAGCCGCATCGTAATCGTCAACAAACCCCGTGCACACCCTGCCAGTCTCACATACAAGAAAGCCTGAGTAGTCCGAAGGGGCACCGCCCATTCGGTGCATATGTCGATAATAGACCACGACATCGCCGGCGCGATAGCCTGTATGCGCATCGCCTGTCCCTCGTGTGTCTGAATAACAGCACGGAGGATATGCTTGTTCACCTCTCTAGGATCTGTGGTTTCATTGATCGCCAGCTCGACGCCGAGGTCGGTGGTCCGCCGCTGGAAAGCGAGGATGGGGGGTACGCGGCACTGTTTGACGAAAAGGAGTTGGAGAGGCTGAAGAAAATCGAATCTGAATCCTGGACCCGTGGTGGGAATCCGCGAGTGCTAGTTCATTGCGAGACAGGGTACTCGCGCTCGCCTATGGTTCTGATTGCGTACCTGATGAGGAGTTGCCAAAGGAGGTGTATGCTGAATATCTGCGGGGGAGAAGGGAGAGGTTGGACGAACTGGGGTTGACGGGGCAGTGGTAGAGATCTTGTCAAAAGGGGATGAGGGGCGCTGCACTGGTTGTGATTTGAACCTTGAGAGGTTGTCACGATAGGAGGACTGTAACAGTAGTCTCAGCTGGCGAGGTGAAAAGAGGTTGATGGGTGATGAACTTATTGGTATTCTGAACCTATGAAGTGTGTAAGACTGTAGTAATCCCTCCCAGCAGACGCCATGCAAAAGAACGCCATGCCAACCAAAATCGCAGCGCCGTGCGTTTGTTCCGCTGAACTCCCTCCCTCTGAACCTTCCCCCTTCCTGCCTTCCCTTCCTGATATCCTCGTAACGTGACAGACCGCCGCTTCTCTCCATGGACATGACGAGTGCCCCGCTCAATCCCCAGACGCACACCCCTTGCACCCACAGCTCACGCACTCAACCTCTTGGTCCTCCTTCAGATTCGCTTTCGGCACGCGGCATATGCACGTCGAGTTGAAATTCGTTTCCTTAGTCTGTATGCACCTCAAACAACAAAGCTGCATCCCATTAGCCTCCATCCCTCTTCTCCCCCACTTCACTCCACAGAGATTACTCACCTTGGCATAACTATCCTTCTTCCACTTCGCGATCAACATCGCATCCGCATACCCATTCTTACACAACCACTCATACAGCTGCTTGCTAATCTTCTCCTGCTTATATAGCTCCCACACATACCTGCTCCTCTGATGCGAGACCTGGAAGATGGGCCAGAGCGCCTGGTGCTTCGGTGCTGCGGTTGTGGGCGCGTTCTCGGCGTCTTTCATCTTGTTGGCGAAGACGAGGAGGGAGTCTTCGATGTCGCTGAAGCCGGCGGGGGGAGCTTTGCGCTTCGAGGCGTGCCGGATGGCGGGCATGTTTGCGGTGGAGGAGGGGGTGTGATGCGCAAAGTAGTTCCTGTTGTATCCAAGCTGCGTGTCGAAATCGAGGAGTTGATGTCGTGGCGTGAAGCAGGGAAAAGAAAGTTGCCTGTCGTCTGTAAGGCTGTCTAACATGTCAACAGCTCCAGTGGCGGGGCCCTAAATAAATAAAAACCTCAGCCTTACGACCCCAACCTCAGGCAACCAAAAACATCACGTGATATTCAATCCCGGCTTCCGCCCGAGCTTCAAACGAACGACGATGAGCGATGAATGAGCGCCCTCTTTTAGCTGCAAGAAGAGACAACAACCAGCGCACAATATGGTCATCAATCCCACCTACCTCGCGCAGCGGACGCGGCAGTGTGAGTTTGGAACCCCAGGGGATTCTAGTGTGTGGATTGGAGACGGGGATGGGGGCTAATGTGGTTGCAGCTGTGAATTGGAATGATGCGCAGAGGCGGGTTGCGAAGAGCTATCGCGAGTGGATTCGTTCTGTATGTCACCCCCCGTTACCCCCTCGAGAGATACGGATGCGAATACTGCGGACTGGCTGGGCTGGGTGGGTCGATTGGATTGGATTGGGCCGGGGATGGGGAGGGAGGGGAGAATTGGAGGAGCCGCTGCTGTGTGTATATGGATTGATGCTGATTGTGTACCGATACAGGCCCCGGAGATCCAGACGATGTACTCGCTGAACATTTCGGTTGGCGAGCTGCGGACGAAGATGAGGGAGCAGTTTGAGCGTCACCGATACGTGAAGCAGCTGCCCGTGGTGGATATGTTGCTGTTCCAGAGCCATGCGGAATACCAGGTAGGAATGACCTTTCCCTTGTTATGATCGGAAGGCGGAGGAGGGGAAGAGCGTGAAGGTGGTATGATGGTGGTGGTAGAAGTTGAGCTGGGGGTTGTGGGAAGAGCACTCACGACGCATCATCACCACCTACCTTCCACTGGAGAGACGACAGAGGAGCAACAGGCGTGGTGTTATATACCATAAAGTCCCATCACTAACACACAACATAGGAAACCCTAAACTACTGGAAGCAACTTCCCCACATCCTCAAGTATTTCCGCGCCGAAGAGGACCCCACCGCGCATCTCCCCAAGAACTTCATGAGCGGTTTCCTCGAGGGCCGGAATTAGAGAAGGAGAGTGAGGAGGCAGAGGGCCGTGGCATAGAGATAGAGCCAGCTGGTGAGAGGGAGTTTTGGTGGAGGGGGTGTAGTGAAGTGGGAGAGAGGGGGATTTGTATATATCCGTTACTATGTCGAGAATAGGACGAAAGTGTTTCTTGCTAGTTGGGAGTCTACTGATTTGATGTGCTTTGGGAAGTGAAGCACCAAACGAAGCACGATGGATGAATCGTGCGTGCTGTCAGCTGAAGAACTTGCATGCATAATAACCAGTGTGGCTGATTCCTCAAATTGCTTGATATGAAAGCATACCGCCAACCAGAAATACTTCTCTTCCTCTCATTCTACATTCTATTCCAAACGCCCTTACAATCCCACGCAGCTTTTACATACCACCCAACCCACAAAACGCCTCCAAACGCCATCCTCTCACTCTCCTCATATCTCACAACCCCTCCACCACCCCCTCTACTGCCTCCCAAAAGCCTCCCTCTCACTAACAAACTTCTCCGCCACAACATCGCACAAATCCATCAGATCATCCAGACCCTTCTCCAGCGCCTCAAACGCCGTGCCCTCGTACGTCTGGATGCGGATGTTCATCTTTGGCTCCGAGGGATGGGGGATGGAGTAGCCGCAGAACTCGACGTTGGGGCTAGGGGGTTTGTTAGTTTTGACTGCCTTAGAACAAACAAGACTGGGGAATGGGTGCGGGAGATACGAGGAGGAGGAGTAGGGCGCCGGAGGGGGAGATAAGCGTACTTCTTCATGATAATATACCTCAGCGCATTACCAAGTGTATGATCCTCATTCGTAAACTCAAAACTGGCAGCCGTATCCGACGACCCAGGAAGCTATAAGTCTATTAGCATCTAATTCACTCCTCTCAGCCATCTTTTTAGGGCGTAATAACATACCACGCGCACATTCTGCTTCGCCCACAGCGCAGCCAACACCGCATCCTCGGTCGGATCAATCTGATCCTGCGCCACCACAGCCGGGGCGACGTCGCCCATCGAGACGTCGCCGTCGAAGGCGTCTTCGGTGCTTGCCATTGCGAGTAATTAAAGGGAAATGGCGGGAGTTGGGCGGGCAATTAATGTATACTGTGAGGTGGGGGAGGAGGCTCTGGAATCTATCAGCGATTGGGACTTTTTTATATCGTGCCTTTGATATGAGGCATACTATGAGAGCGATAAGAAGTCATGTGATGATAAGGATGGCAACCCATTTTGAGAGCTTGGAGGGGGGCACGTGATGATACGACTCGAAGGGGATGGGATGTACACGCACTCACCATAGGGCGGACATACCTCCCTACAATCCCAATTTTTCCTCTTTCCTCACCACGGCTATGACGGTCCACTAGCCCAGCCCCCCAAAAAGGAAGGGAGTTGCCGTGGCACCGCGTACACGACGAGGACCCCCTCAGGACCCCATCATGACCCCGTCAGGACCTCATCAGGACCTCATCAGGACACCCCGTCAGGAACCACGTCAGGATCTAGGACTGGGTACCCACTGTACGCGACGACGACGCGATACGCGAAAGGGAAAGCGAGGTGGGATGGGATGAAAAGATGCCGGGGAGGGGGCGGGGGGCAAAAAGGGCGTTATCGATTACTGAGACGTGACTAGGGAGGATGGAGGGGCGGGTGATTGGGGGGGAGAGCGCGGTGTGAATGAGGATGCGCGCGGCTAGGAGGGGGAGGGCTGGGCGGGAGGGGAGTGGATGGATGGATGGGTGATGTACGGTGATGTGGGATGGGATGTGCGCTGTACGGTGATGTGTGATGTGCGGGTAGGGTGGTGGTGTGGTGGTGCAGGTGCAGGTGCAGGAGGATGGAGGTGCTGCTGGTGGATGGATGTAAGGGGTTGTAAGACATATGGGATGGGATGGGAGCTGATGTATCGTCGTCGTCGTCGGAGTACAGCACCGCTCATGTGCTGTCTCCCTCGGCATCGCGATTATTCACCCCATCGCGCACCCATCTCGTATCTCTTGCACCTCTCCCCTTCATCAGACGACTACCTCGGGACTGGACTCAACCCACGCAATCTATACCCCGAAGCTTTAGCACGCGGCAGCAGAAAAGACCAAGGCCGCGGCCCTCAGACTGATTGGATTAAGCAAAAAATCAACGACCCCCCGTGGCGTGGCGTTCCCCTGTCGCGTTTCATCTCGACGCGCTCTCGCTCTGCCCTGTGGTAGAGCGCGCAGGGGGTGGTGTGGCGTACCCACTTTTCCAAAACGCCAGTATGTTTGACAGAGTGCCGGGGTATAGGGTGGGTAGCGGTGCATCGTCGTCACGGCGGCGGGCGGTGGTGGACGTGGGGCTGGGCTGGTACAGCTGGGGGGCTTACGGAAGAGCGGTAGAGGAGATCGTTTGGTGGTGGTGGCGATGGGGGGTTCGTTGCAGGCAGCTACGCTACTGTATACTACCTGTACGGCGGCATAGGAAGGGGGTTTGTGGGCTTGTTTGATGTGAGATGTGGCGATGGTGGGCGATTGGGAAGGGCGTGCAGGGTTCATGTGGTGAGTGTGTGATGCCACTGTTTCCCTGTTCGCACGGCCCTTTGGTACCTTTCATACCGCCGCCGTCGTGTTCATCCCGACTCGACTGCAGCCCTTGGGTGTAATGAGGTGTTGTATGTTAATTGATCGACGTTTTGGGTGCTGTGAGGCTTTGAGCTTTTTGGGGGAGGGAGAGATTTGTTCAGGATGGGGGATGTGACGGTGAGGAGATGGAGTAGAGTGAGTATTGGTACTATTGGTACTATTGCTTCTCTATACTCTCCGTCAAGAATACCATAACCACCCACTGGTTTTCTTCACTCCCATCGCATCCCATCAATCATTTCCCACCCACCACACTACCACGACACCGTGCCCAACTCTATCTCCTAAGCTTCCGACCAGGGCGCCTCTAGTGTGTACGCCCCTAGCGGATCATCCAGCGCCAGCACACCCCCAAAGAAGCCCAGTCCCAAACCCACAAATACCACACTCACCTCGCTCCTGATGATGGGGGACAGGGATATTGATTGAGAATTCAATAGTCCGACTTGGGATGCTGCGAGGGCTGTCTCGAAACCCAGTGCTGTGGGACCGATTGGCGGGGATCGAACTGCAGTCGGGGGGGACGACCAGATGAATCTAAAACGGTGTGTGTTTCCTCTGGGGGCGCGAGGGGGCTGGATCGGGGTTGCGGTGGGGATGGGGGATGTTTTGGGGGGAGTGGATGATGCCGTACGAGTATACTGTAGTGCTAAACTGTGGTATGACTACGGTGATGGTGGAGGGTGGCGGGGTATAGTTGCGTGGCTCTATAGCATTATGGAAATAATGTTTAGAGAGTGTTTATCTCACGTTTGACGGCGTCTTGCATGTGTCTGTACTGTAGATACTGTAGGTACTACTGAGCGAGTGTATCATCCGGAGAGAGTGATACCCGCTGTGAGAGCATGTTAGAGAGGACAGAGGACAGACCGAACTACTGCACTCTACCTACAGTATATACCCGCCAATACCACCTTCCCATCATGCAGACGACAGAACATAAGACGGCGGGAAGATCGAAGAGACGAAAGCAAGCGTGTGTACTCTACTCTACTCGCCCTAGAGCATGCAAACCCTCTAGAACTATGCAGGGCTTGTTCCATCTGCCGTCTAGAAACATATCATATAGTGCTCTACCACGTCTACCACCTAACATAGAGTGCTGTGCGGTCTGTCCGGCTGTCATATGATGATGCCCTCTAGTGCTGGATAGCAGGGGCAGAGGATATATATTATATTTCAATATATTTTCACGGCTGACAGGCAGGGAAGGGAGGGGGAGCTGATAAAAGCTGGTAATTTTGATGCTGAAGAAACTGCTGTTCACTAACTGACCCCTTGATGCACTTTTTAGAATGCCCCCTTCTTTTCATATGGAGAACTCCTTCATACTACTATTTCATACACTACTTCATACTACTACTACAAACTAGATAGAGTACTCACCATTCAAGGCAACCCCCTCCCTCCTCCCTCCTCCCCTCCCCTCCCTTCTACCCCCTCACCCTCCCTCCCTTCCCCCCCACACCCCTGACCTCCTGAACTAAACTTATCTAAAATCTTGTACTAGTACATCAGTTACACTACTAAACCCTACACACATCCAAGTACCCCTACTTAAATCTAGCAATATACATCTCAGCTTCCCCCTCTAGAAAAATGTCTCCTCCAGGTCTTGTCTAGGTCTTGTCCATGTACTTTATCTGTGCGCATGCACCTGAAATATACTTCTCCACCCCCAGGACTGCCTTGTACCGTGTTACATCTTTCGTCGAGGCTGTTCCGTATTACTTCACTGCTAAACACTGCCAAACACACTACTAAACACTCCTACCACACAAGTAGAAGATACTTCCTAGAACCTCAAACAATAGTGTACACCCACTCCCCTCCCCCCATACAACACCAACACCAACATTCCATTTCACATCCCCAAATTCACAATTCCCACCAACTAACTCGAGTATACCGTCCTGTAACTGTACTCCTACTCCTACTCCTACTCCTCTTACACTCTTACTCTTACTCTTACTCCCATTTCTACTTCCACCACTATACTCCCTCCTCCTCCTCCTCCTTCTTCTCCTCCCTCCTCTTCCTCCTCCTCCTCGTCTCTCTAAAACTTCTTCCCCTCACTTTCATCTCCACCGACTCTTGACATCTTGCCTCTTCTGTATCTATTAGAGTGGCAGATTTAATACCTCCCCTGCGTTTCGACCACCCCCACTCTTCATCCCTACTTGAATCGGGAGTCTAAGTAAGACCTACCAGTTCGCCATTCTTAAACCTAAACCTCAACCTTTCCACACCCCACCGAGACTTGAAGAAGAAGCAGGAAAACTGACTTGTGATCTCCGTCTCCAGCGCGCCTTCCTTCACACTTCTTGAACACCAGAGTCCAGCGTCTTGCCAATCCTCGTTTGGTGACACAGCTGCGCGCTGCCTTCAAGTTTGTTATATCCTCCCCCAAACTCGAGTATTGAGAGCCACGACTTCCGCGGCCCAATATCTCCTCACCGACACCGGTTCTTCAGTCGCACCACCAGGCTGCTTCTAAGCCGGAAGTGCTTCAGGACGACTAGAACCACTTCGCCCTTGCTGCTCAGAACCCTACACACATCATGAGTACTGCCATCGCAATGGCTCCGTCGCCCGCTCCCCACGACCGAAACGCATACGTGGATATCGCGCCGTCAAACTCTTCGCCGCGCGAGACACGCATCTCTGCACCTATCGCATCGAATCACCATGCGCCGAGATCAGAGAGCACGAGTCCCAGAGGCTCATCAGGCTCAAAAGGCTCGCCAACGAGGTAAGTCAAGAATACAAGCTACAACCGCAGTCTCTCCCTCAAAATCCAAGCATGCTAACATCCCCCCTCTCAGTCTCCGAAATGCCCCTCCCCCCAAGATCATCGTCAAGAAAGAGCCCTCGTCGCCTGGCCTCCCCACCTCGCGCCACCGACCGCGCAAGCTCGACCTCTCCAAGAACAACTCCAGCGCCGCAAACTCGAACCAAAAAGGCACCGCCCCCCTCACCTCGCGAGAAACCGGCGGCCTCGCCATCCAAGACGTCGGCCTTGCCTGCCTCTCCCCCGGCTTCGTGACGCAAGATCCCACAATGCGCGAGCAGCTCCAGCGCAGCATCTCCGTGCGCGAACAGCAGCGCCACATCATCGAGTCGCGGCTCCAACAGACCGCGCGACCGGGCGACGCGCCCCTCGATAGCGCGAAGGAGATGCCCGGACCCAGCGCATTCGGGGCTATGAAGACACCCGGCACATCGCGACGCAAGGCGCCTCCCGGACTTAGCATCGTGGCGCCCTCGCACGAGCAGTTCGCCAACGAGCGCGTCATCCAGTCCGCGCCGCTGAATCAGACGTTTACAGGGCGTCACCAACCGCATCCGCTGACGCGACACGTTCAGAATCAGCCGTCGAACCTCTCGAATACGTCGCATATCCACCACGTCCCCGCGAATCAGACCGCGAATCGCCTCCCTCCCATCTCAGACGTCTTTGCAGCCGAAAACCTGGGACAGCACCGCGACGCTGTGAACGGGCCGAAAACGAGCATATACCCACCTTCCTCCAACGCCGCCGCGTCGCATCACAACCGCCACACTGGCTTCCCCTCCCCCACACAGGCCCCGCAACAACCACCGCACTCCGCGCGCCCGCGTGAATACCGCTCCGCTGAGGAAGCGCAAGCCGAGCTCGCAGGCGGACGTCCAGAACTCATTCCTAAAATCGTGCATTATGGCGGCCACCAGCCTCCTACGCCGCCGAGTCCGCAGACGGGGAATGCGATGCGTAATGGTGCGGGGAGGAGGCGCGGGAGGGAGGAGTATGAGGAGGGACGGAGTCCGCCGCTTGGACAGGGGCCGGCGGCTGCGAGGAGGGTTGTGGGCGGTGCCGCGGGTGCGTTTGGGGAGGGGAGGGATAGTGAGGAGGCTGTTAGGATGAAGAAGGAGGAGTTTTTGAGGTTGTGTGATCGGGCTTGGGATTTGTTCCATTCGTAAGGGTGAGAAGGGGTGGTGGGATGGAGAGGGGTATGACGTACACGACGGGCTTGATGAGGCCGATTCACGAACTGGGATTGGGGATACTACTACTACTACTACTACTATTTGCTGTTGCTGGTGGGATGGGGGAATTAGGGGGATGGATGGGGGGGGTTATAATTTTGTTCGCACACCGGACAGGACCGGATCGGGGCTTCCTGGATTGAAATGGATTCGGATACCACCTTTTGCTTTTGCTTTTCTACACATTCTCCGCTACACTTGTTTGTTGTGCTTTCGCTGCTTTTGTTGTTGTTGCTGTTGCAGGTTGTCTGCTGTTTCGCTTCTTAATTTTCTTCTTCGTTTCGTCAGCCCTACTGCATGAGCGAGAGCGGATGCGCGAGCGCGGATAGCGATCGATGGTGGTGGTTGTGCGCCAACGGAGCTAGAGGTGATAGGGAAAGAAAGGAGAGAGAGATAGGTGTGTTGTGCTATATTACTAGGGATCGTCATTTTTTATATCCACGCTACGGCTGGATGGAGTGAGGAGTTAATCAGTCGATGGAAGGGCATTTTATTCTGGGCGCTGGACTGCCTTGGGTGTGGGTGTGTGGTGGTGGTGTGGACAGGGGAAGGGGGTGGGGCCGGGGAGGGGGGGGGTATGAGAAATTTAAATGTTTAAAGCTCTATCTACATGTTGTGCTGTGAAATTGTGAATGGTGTCTGTCTGCTGTGCATATAGTGGGTGAAGATGGAGGGGTCTTCCATACGGTGCCTAGAAAGCCTATGTATGTCCGCCTTTGACTCCAATATGAGAATGGGCCCCCCTCGCCCTTGCCCGGGTAGATGCACAGACAGGTGTGTACAGCTACGTTTTTTTCTCACATCCCACACATTCTCCCACACATTCTCTCCCGCATTCACAAGTTTATCACACATCACATTCGAAAGCAGACAAGTCAGTCAAAAAAAAAGTCTTTCAAAAATCCATATATTGGATATCGTCTTCCATTCTCTATCTATCCAACTCCATCCCTCCCTCCTTTCAAACCCCCTCCAAACCCGTCGACTGAGCAGCACGCAGAGTAACAAAAGAGACTCCACGAGCAATTAAGGCCTATATATATAAAATAAAAAAAATAGAAGAAAAGCCGCCAGACCGATCGGGTTTCCCTCCCATACTCCTCCTCCTCCTATCCGTCTTATTTTGTTTCCTTCCCTCTCCTTCCCATCCATCTCTCCTCGCGCGCAACAGAAAAAACAGGAAAACAAAGTAAAGCAAGGCACAGGTGTCATGACGTCGTTAATGCAATTCGGAACGCTCAGCCGGCCGACCAAAAAAAGACGAGTAAAAAACAAAAAGCAGACCCAACAGACCCCAGCAAAACCCCCATACAAAACCGAAGGTGGCCGGCCCATTTCGTTAGGCCACCCGTACATATACGATGCTGTTGCTCTCTCTAAACATGCGCGTGCGCCGCTGCCTCGCTGCCGCCGTTCGCTGTGTTTCTCTTTCGCTAACGCCTGGACAAAAAAACTCCTCTTTGAATAAAAACAATTGACGCCGGTGCATGATGGCGGGGTTATGGTATGCATCGCCAACTCCCTTTCCGAAAACGATTGATAAAAAAAGAAAATAAAGTTTGTGGAACTCGGGCAAGCGTTTTAAATAAGAACGGCCCGTCCGCTCCCGCGACTGCTTGCGACTTGGTATCGTGCGGTACTGTGTGTGTTGATTGGGGAATATAAAAGCGGTTAAGAATGTCTCTCTCTCTCTATAATAATAGAAAAGTAGAAGTAGAAGAAAAAGTAGTTTCGAAAGTCGGAAATTCGCACGTGTGCCGATCGAGGATGCTGATTGAAGCGCTGCAATCCATTATCGTTCCTCATTGCGTGGTCGTGCGTTCGTGCGTCGTCTTTTCTGCAGGGAAAAAAAAGGGTTCGCGCAGGGTTGCGGGATGCAGCTGTGCCCGAGCTCGTGCGTTCGGTGGAGAGGATGGGGATTGGGAACGTCGTGATGGTCATGCGCGCACCACCACGAAAACGAAAAGTTCGTTCTTATAAGAAAAGGAACACCCATCCTCATCTCGCGCGCACAAGCAAGTCTTTTTCCCAAGAGGGCGACGACGAAGATTAAATTCCCTCCTCGCCCGCCTTACACAGCTTCACCTCGCGACCCCACTCGGACTTCAACACCTGGCTCGCCGTGATGCGACGGCTCGGATTCGGGTCGAGGATGGAGTAGATGACATTTCGGCAGCGGGCCTGTCGATCAGTTAGTTTCTTTCTTCGCGACACGACAGAGGTAGCAGAAGTGCTAGGTGAAGGGCGCGGGCTACTCACGCGAGCCAAACTCTCAATCGGACCGTAGCCCTCCTCGTCGCGGCGTCCCTCGAGGTAGCGCTCGTAGAACTCGTCCTCGTCCTTGCGCGCGACGCGCCACAGGTGCCGGCCCGTTCGCATGGCCATGTATATCACGCCAGTCGCCCAGACGTCGACGGCGCGGGCGTCGAATTCCTTGTCGATGTACTCCTCGGGCGCGATGTAGGGCGCGCTGCCGCACAGGCCGGAGACCATGTGCGCGTCTGTCTCCCAGGCCATGCGGAAGCACTCGCCGTTGCCGAAGTCGGTGATCTTGAGCGCGCCGTGGGTGGTGAGGAGGAGGTTCTCGGGCTTAAGGTCGCGGTGGGCTACGCCCATCTCGTGCATGTACTCGACGCCGCGCATGAGCTGCTTGAAGTAGCAGTCTGCCTCGGCGACCTCGAGCTTGCCGGCCGCCAGGACGAGAGTGTACAGGTCGCCGCCGGCGCAGAACTCCATCACCTCGCAGTAGTCGCCCTTGGAGTCCTGGAGGAGGTCGAGGGTGTGGATGACGTTGGGGTGGCGGAGGGAGGAGGAGATGCAGAACTCGGAGGTGAGGCGTTTGCTGTACCGCTTCTCGCTCTCGTCGGGGCGGCGGCGGAACTCCTTGACGGCGAAGAGCTGCTCGTTGTCGCCCTCCTTGCGCTTGTGCGAGATGCGCACGATGCCGAAGGCGCCGCGGCCTACGATCTCCTGGCACTTGCCGTACTTCTCGACCAGCGTCGCTGTCGTGTTCGGGCCGCCCTTCTTGTCGGTCGACGCCAGGGCCTCGCGCTCGCGCTTCAGCTGGTCCACCCAGCTCGACATGAGCGATAATTGCTGCTCGCCCTCGTGTGCCTCCATCGGCTTCTTCTTGCCGATCAGCATGTCGCGCAGCATGTCGGACAGCTTCTCTTGGCGCTTGGCGCTCTTGAGGTGATGTTCATGGCCACCGGGTACGTCGGGGACGAGGATGTATCGCTGAGCCGGCCACTGTGGCTCTTTGGGTTTCTCTTTGGGTTTCGGCATCGTTGGGATCTTTTCCGACGAAGATTGTTGACGTGAAGGCGGGGCGGGGCGAGAGGTAGGCGCCGTCGATGGCTCTCCAGGCACGGGCGTTGTGGCCTTGGGGGGTGATTTTGTACCGCCACTTTCAGAGCCGGAGCCGGTTTTATTGGTGTCGCGCGCGGAGAACATGCGAGTGAGTCGCTTGGTCATGGATTGCTTCTCGTTCGCCGGCCTGTGACTGTGGTCGGAGTGTGGCGCAGCCCCATTGGTTGTATCGTGCGTACCTTGTCCACTGGTTGGTCGCGACCTTGGCGATGCTGCGCCTGCACCGCCATCAAAGGAGGATTTCCTTGAGATTGTGGGTGACGAGGTCGCTTTGTCAGCATCGCGATGCGGGAGGATAGCGGTCATGGTGGCTGGTGCGCGGGGGTTTTCTGGGCGCTTTGGCGGTAATATTTGTGAGGGCGTCGGCTATACCGTACTGTACTGTACTGTACTGGTAGGGTATTTCTTTAGGCGGGTTTTTCTTTGTGGAACGATAATTAATATGTGTCGCAGTAAACCGTCAGAATGTCGATAGATTGCATGTGCTACCTGATCGTGCGAATAGCAGTCGAAGGTTCGTTCGTCCAAGGGTCCAAGGTAGCAGCTGTGTAAGCAACTGAGAAAAATATAAAGTATAAGATATGAAAAAAAAAAGGGTTATTAAGAGGGCCGCCTCAGCGGTCGCGGGCCTTCACGGCCCTGGTAGGAGAAAGCTTTCAGCAAATAAAGCTGTGATGTCGATTTTTTTTTTGGAGATTGAATGACGACAATGATGATGAAGCGGGCGCGGGGTCTGCTTTGTAGTGAAGTCTTGGCCAAAACTTTTTTTTGTTTGCCCCGAGGTGGTGGTTTTCTGGCGGTGGATTCCGGGAGGTGGGTTGAGTGAGGGGGGTCCCAGGGCGATTAGAGTGGTGTCTTGGGAGTGACGATGGGACAAATGTCGTAGGGGTCCGAAGGGGTCGTCGAAGGCCGAACACTGAGCACTCTGGAGCTGCAATTCCTCGGTGGCGAGGCGATTGAGTCGAGAAAACCAGGTGTGAAGGTTATGGAAGAGTGGGAGAGAGGTGTTTGGTATAATATACGAAGTTGAAGAAGGGAAATTGAGCAGAAGGTAGAGAAGGTGGCGATGTGGACTGTGGTATGGGTGTGTTTGAATTGCTCAGGATTTGGCGGTTTGTTTGTAATTTTTGGTTGGGGGTGGTGGTTGGTGGTGGGTGGTGGTAAGTGGGTGTGGATTGGTGGGTGGTTGGTAGTTGGTAGTGGTGGTTTGGTAAGTAAAGTCGGTGGATGGTGCAGGGTAGATGGTAGTGGATGGTAGTGGATGGTAGTAGTTGAGTGGGGGTGAAGTTGAAGAAGAGAAGGGAGAGGCGAGGGGCGGGGGGTTGAGGTGAGGTATAGACACCAAAACGCCGCCGCCAGGAGATTTGAAGATACGTAGAATCGACGTAGAGAGCGGTGGAGCGAGGTAGAGAGAAGTCGACGTAGTGAGAAACAGTGGGTAATTCGGTAGGTGGTAGATTGGTGATCCGTAGGCGGTAATGGTAATTGTTGACGGATAACGGGGGTGTAGAGAGTAGGCGAAAGGTGAGAAAGAGAAGAAGGTACGCGTAGAGTACTTTCTAGTCGGTGGTGGTATATTATAAAAAGAGGGCGGTTTAAGGGGCGGAGTTTGAGGTTCGAGTAAGGGCGAGTTAAGGGCGAGTAAGGGCCAGGGCAAGGCAAGATAAAGACCAAAGATCCAGAGACCCAGAGATCCAGAGATTTAGAGACCCAGAGACCAGAGATCCAGAGACCCGTAGTTTGTAGTTTTAAGAGATACACTATAAGAAACTGCGTGTATGGGTGTATGCGTATATGCGTATATGCGTATATGCGTAGTACTCAAGTATGAGGTACTCGGCCTAACGTGAACAAAGCCCGTGATGAGAAGGTATCGAGTCGAAAGGTCCAGGGGGGGCCAAGGGGGGGTTGCTTTAGATTTCCAAGGTCGATCGATTTGAACGAACCAGGTGTAAGGTAAATAGGTGCAAGTTAAAAAAGAGCAAGTAAGTAGGTAAGTACCCTTTAGCTGTCCGGGACGCGCAAATGGTACTTTCGTCCGATATGAGGGATTTAATTTTTCTGACAGCCGGCGGTGGTGGAAAGTTGTTGGTGGGCCGGATGGATGTATAAGTTGTAATGGCTTATGGCTATACTGGCTACTGGCAAATTCGGAGTAGCAAGAGACCACCGACGCTATAATGAGAGAGCCGGATCGGGGAGCGGGAGGAGAGGGATGTATCGATGTTCCGTCATTTCAGTGCGAAAGAGGGGGAAAACGAGAGGAGGGTAAAGAGATTCGGTGATGTTCTGGTTGGTTGTGATAGTGATGGTTGTGGAAATATAAGAAGTAGATTGCAAAAAATGCTTGGAAGTAAGAGTGAGAAAAAAAGGGGGCGTGTCGTCCTAATTTATATCCTTTTTTATTTCACAGTTTCTCGGTGGGAGTGGGCAAAGAGATAGATACCAAGGTTACTTTTCCGCTTCTATTTTTTTTTCTCACTTTTGTGTTGGCTGGTGTGTGGTGTTCGTTGTTGTACAGTCTTGGTACGTAGACTGTGGTCCAGTCCAGCCCAGCATATATGTCCCCGGTCCAGCATGTACAGTTACAGTAGTTACAGATGAAAATACAGATACACCAACAGAAGCAGCAGAGTACTCGCAGCAGCAGCAGCAGTAGTCAGAGTCGTAGTGTTGGTTTAGTTTCTTATGCAACAGAAAACTGTATGTAACCAGACAGACCAGAATCACCAACAAGTCAAAAAAAAAAAAGGGGTCTCAGCTTTCGACTTTTTTGCCGGTGTACCTTTAATACCGCAGCGCATGTATGCAAGGTAAAGAAAGGTGCAGATGCCGATGTTACGGTCTTTGAATCATCGCCGCCAAGCCCCAAGTCTTTGACTCTCCTGCCTCACTCTCCTCTCAGCAAACACTCGTAACTGTACAACACTCTGTATGACGAACACACTCCTCGCCGACCACTCGCCGAGCTGAGTACAGTCAGTCAGTCAGTAGAATGTGGGCCACCAGATGCCACAAGGAGCACTCATCTCCCCTCCGCCGAGCCCAGCCAGAAAATAAAAAATTAGAAACAAAAAAATCCCAATCTCAGCGGTGGTGGTGGCCAAAATCCCCATCTATTATCAATATCTCTAATTATCCTCACGCCCATAGGCCCAGTTTCTAAGAAAACGACAATATTGGCCCTATTCCCACCACCCATCAAAGAGGATTTCTAATCCCTCCCCCCCACACAGCACTGAGGGCGAGCCACCCAAACCCCCCAACAAGGCACCTCCCAAGCCTACCAAGCCCTCCAAGCCCCCAGCGCAGAGCAAAAAACCACCCAGGGACACCTGGTCCAAGAGCCCTAAGCCCGCTAACACTCTGTTCTATGTCATCATCCCGCCTTAGCTTCGCCGAGGGGTCTTCCTAAAGGAGATACAGGGAAAGAAAGAGAGTACTACTACAAGGAAGGAGAAACATAACCGCACTCTAGGGAAGGGATAGATTGCAGCTCCCCCTTAGCCGGAGCTTTAGTTCGAGTTGCAAATGTCACGGTTCTCATACCCGGCTATCCCACCACAGCACCGCTGTACCGTGCTCTACAGTACAGTACAGGACAGTACAGCTACAAGCGGCGCATTCCATTTCTCCACCACCACCACACCAGCGAGCGGTGCATTTCACCGCTTGTGGAGTCCCTGGTACCGTCCACCTTTCTAGACCGTACATCATCCAAGAGCTACTCCAGCACTACTGCCCCAGTATTGATAAAATAGACCCACGTAGAAAATAAACGGGACTGCCGAGCACCACACACCGCGGTATTATTTCTTTGTTTACTCACGAGATAGGTCTTTGTGGCCCCCAGGACGCGTAAACACACAAGACAAGACTCATTCCTCGGTCTTGGCTGGTGGTGGCTGGTGGGCTGGCAAATAGATGCCGCTTCCCCATGTGGTAATTACCAGTGCGCGCGGAGCTCGAGGAACGATACTACATCCGTTGCCATTTGTAAGCAGGACAACGAGTCTTCAGCTCCATGCGTGTGAGGTTTTTGTGCACAGCGAAGACAGAATGATTCGGACCCGCCGAGGGAGGGATGCACTTACGTCATGGTAGCGATATCAGAATCTCCCGTATCGGCTTGCTGATCTGGTCTGGATGGCTGGCTGGATGGGCCGTCTGTATCACAGTATCACAGAAAAAAACGCGCTCATACTGACTGTAGCGATAGCGGTATTGGATTTCCTAAGGGTGGTGATAGCAAACGACGAAACGAAAGCAACCAAAACCAAACACCCACACCAACATCCCATCCCATCCCATCCTTCTTCCCACTCCAACACAAACGCCCAAATACCACAGAACGCAACGCACCGACATCCCTCCCACCTGCAACTCCCATCCACCCACCCACCCCCCCCCTACCGCCTCCAACCCGCACTAAACCATGCATATACCCCCCTCCATCGAAGCTCACGGTATGCACGATGAGCTTCCCCGTCCCCATCAACCAGCGCCCCTCTTCCTATTCCAGACAGACATCCCCCTACAGCCCTGTAGCTTCCACTTCCACCGCTGCACATGGCCCGGTCGCGCATACAGACCCCTCTGCCACGGGCGCTGTGCCACGTTATACAGGATAAGGTGCTTGCTTCACTGCGCAATACGTACAGACAGTGTAGATGAGTAGTACACATCACCACCACCGCACGGTTCGCCATGCCACGACAAGACATAGCATGACATGACATGGCATGACCAACCCTGCCTCCGCTCCGCAGACACATGCAACACCGCACGCACAGCGGCTTGCTACACCGCCTTATCAAAAAACGCAGCAGATAGTGACGGGTCGGAGGTGCTGAAAAATCCCTCATAGCGTGCTCAAACGGTGCAGGAGGACAGATAGTAGAGTACAGCACCAGCATCAACCAGCACTATACCGTCTNNGCAACCAACGCTTCTTCACGCTTCAACTATCTCGTAACCTACTTCCTCCCTCACCATCCATCCATCCATAGATATCAAACCCAACCACCAACCCCAACTCAATGCACAACAAACAGGGTTCCGAAGTTCCCCCCCCCCCCCCAAACCCCCCATCCACCCCCCCGTCCCCCGCGCCCCGCCCACCCCGCCAGCGCGCGGGCGGCCGACCCTCCCTTCCCTCCCGCCGCCACACCGCCGGGGCCAAATAACAAGGAAACAACCCTCCCCGAAACCGCTCCGGTATCAACCGACCCGCAGCACACACACCGGCATCGATCCCAAACCGCCGGCATGAAAGCAAGTTCCAGTAAGCTCCAAGGTGTGCCGATCCCCGCTTCCATGCTTCTGGAGCTATGACAATGCTGCAGCAAGAGCTTCAACGGCAGCAGCAGCAGCAAGGTGTAGAGGTGAGAAGAAAGCTCCCCCTGTCTGCCCGCTCCTAGCTCAAGCGCCGATCACACATGTCCAACGTCCAACGTCCAACACAGCTCGCGCTCGTGCCACATTACCCGCGCGCTCAGGGACCGCTCGCTACGCCTCGTGCGTCTCTCCTGGTGCCTGATTCGCCGGTTGCGCCGCGGAGAACGGTGTGGCGGATTTCGCGTCATCAGGAGCACCACCGGCACCATCAGCAACAGCAGCAGGAGCAGTTGTGGTAGTAGCAGGATCAGAAACAGCAGCTGAATCAAGATCAGCAGCACCAGGATCAGCAGCACCACTACCACCCGGCGCGGCCCTCCCGCCCGTCTTGGCTGAATCCCACGCGCTCACCCGTCTGTTGAGGTACACCAGCGTGCTCTCACTCACACCCCTTATCCGCGCGACTTCCTCGCGGTACGCTTTGTCGTAGATGTTGAACTCGGCTGCGGCGGGGGACTGGGCGATGCTGTCGCTGTCCGTGTCGGGGTGGTCAGCGTGGCCTGAGCCAACGCGGAGGTAGAGAGGTGCTTCGTCGAGGGGGTCGTGGGCCTGGCCGCGGCCGGAGGGGGAGGGTAGGGGGGAGGGAGTGGTGGTTGTGGTGGTAGTGAAGGTTGGCGGGGGGGAGGTGCGGGATTTGTTGTTGTTGTCATTGTTGTTGGCATGCGGGGCGGCGGAGTCTAGGGGGTTGGAGGTGGACGAGGTTTCGGTCGCCTGGCCCGGCTCGGATGTCACGGCGTCGGGTAGGTCGTGTTCGTCTGGAAAGCTCTTTGTGCTTGTGATAGTAGAGAAGTGGTCTTGACGTTTGGATTTCGTCCGTTGAGCCCCATGCTTCGCTTCGAAATCCGACTCGTGCATTTGTGCGGGCGGCTGAAACAGTTGTTTGTGTCCGCCGAAGAGGGTCCCTGCCCGCTCGGGGTGCTTCTTGTACAACAGGCTCTTGAACTTGTTGACCGCTTTCATCTGGGTAGGAGTTAGTGGTTGAAAATTTTCATGTTGCATATGGGAAGACGTACGACGATGAGGAGACCTCCGATGTTGGAGGTGATGGCATGATTCATCTCAATCTGTGTCGGAGGCTCGAGAAGGTCCGAAACATTCTCTTCCTTGGACAGGAGAGGGTCAGTGCCATCTTTTGTCACCCAAGGGTGTTCCTAAAGCCGTCAGTAAGTCCCACGTAAACCAGAAAAGAATCTTACCCTGAGCTCGTCCATAGTTATCCTCTTCTTTGCGTCCTTCTCGAGGATGCGATGAATCAGGTCGACAAAGTTCGGATCATCAACTTGTGTGCAATCGACCTCATCATTCTTGATGGCCTCGTACAACTCCAGAATGCCAGTCTTCTCGAATGGTATATGCCCAAAACGTAAGCAATATAACGAGATTCCCATCGACCAGATATCTGCTGCTCGACCCGAGACATCGCCATGCTTCACTACACAAAGCTCCGGAGGCAGAAATGCAGGAGACCCAGCTGATTTGGCTGTCATCATTTCCGGATCCTTCTCGAACATCTCCGAAACACCAAAATCCACAACCTTCAACACGTCGTCTGCCGTGAGGAGGAGGTTATCTGGCTTGATATCCCGGTGGGCAATTCCCTGCGCGTGAACTTTTGAATGTTAGTAATATTCGAGACATGTGAACCGCTGTAGACTTACGAAACTCGATGCCCAATATCATATCCCGGAACCAGTACCTGCAGCTCTCCCCGTCGTAAGGATCTGCCCTTTCTCCCAGCCCAACTTTCATTATGACCCCCTTTTTGCACATCTCCAGCACCATGTAAAGGGAATCTTCCTCAGGATCATCCAGAACCTCAATCAAGGACACGAGATTTGGGTGATGGAGCTGCTTCATGATGGCAATCTCTTCCTTGATCAGATGCAGTGAGCCTTCCGGTCCATCACCTCCAATGCCTGGCATGGGATTATGGTGAAGAGGGGAATTAAGACCGCTGCCTGTAGGCGACTTGCCAGAGCGGAATGCGGCATGGGGGCGGCGGAGAAAGTTGGATCTCGCACGCCTTCTTAACCTGGACTTTGAGAACTCCTTGACTGCCTGTAGACATTTAGTTTTGAGCATGAAACCGCAGACATCTGTTGAAACTAACATATTCGTTTCCATACTGGTCAGCAGCAAGGTGCACTGAGCCAAAAGACCCGCGCCCAATCTCCTCCCCAATAATATACTGGTTGATGTGGTGCTGGGATTTCCCATCATCTTCACTGTTTTTGTACTCTGACCGAGCGTTGGGTGTCTCCTGAAACGATGTTATTATAATCACAGATAAATGCGCGCTGGCCTACTTACCTTGACCGGCTGGTGCATAGAAGGAGTTCGTTGATGCTGCCTTAACGGGCTTTGGTACCCAGACATTGGCACCTTGCTATTATACCATCAGCATAAGAATATAATAATAATTATAGTAGACAAATGTACCTGCTATTACTTAAAAACCTGGGCTGCGCTTGCTGCGCCAGGGGGACCGGTTGCGCATATTCATCTTCCCCAGAGCATTGTGTTTGCTTATTCGCTGGCTCGACCTGATCTACGATATGAGCCCCGCCTTCTGAGGCTGAACGAGGCTCCATCTTGGCCTTCTACGCCAACGGGTTTTGAGAGAGGATATACAATATATACTCAGTAAGTTCTGAGACAGTAAATGCGTAGGACCGTCGTAGTCAACAACGCGACATGAGAGGCGACGCGGTTGCAGTGCTCAAGATCGAAAGCTGAAAACCCCCCATGCCGCCCTGGCTAACGCTACTGCCATGTGGGGGTTTGGGCTTCACATGGGATAATTTGGTTGATCAAAGTTACTCCGCTCCCGACTTCCGGCCAGGGTATTGTTCCGGGCGAAGCGAAAAGCTTGACCATGCTAGCGCGAGGGCCATGGAGGTGGCCCACTCTCCGCAGGGCCAACGACGATGTGGAGGGTACTGTTTGCGCCTTGTTGGCCCGTGATAATACCAATTGACCCATTACGAGGAGTCCATGGATCTTAGCCCGCATCCAGCTTTGAGGACTGCGGAATCATGGTAGTTTACTCCTTCTACATCTTCGATAGGCATAGTGAGTTCATATCCCTTTCGACGGCGGGCTCCTGGATACTGACTCAGTGGCAGCGGAGTGCATCTACAGCAAGCTCTGGGCGAGGCAAGACAACCCCAGCTCCATTGCTGGTCCGGGACATACGAAGGGAAGGCCCGTCTCAGACTCCAGCAGCATAAGCAACGATGTTACGGTAGACCTGGGTCCTGCCCGAGCTCGGCCAGCTCGGCTAAGCGCGAAAGACGATGCGAAACTTATCTTTGGAACAATATTCTCTTTGCGCAATATGGTTAGGAAGCTGGGAGGCGAAGATGACAGGTTAGAGCACCTGCAGCTGTACTGTCTCATTGGCTTTACTAATACGATTCCGTTCAGCTTCATATCGTACCGGACGGGGCAATATAAACTCCACTACTACGAAACGCCGACGAGTATCAAGTTTGTGATGCTCACCGATACACAAAGTCTCAATATGCGGAATGTTCTTCATCAAATATATGTGAACCTCTACGTGGAATTCGGTATTGCTATCCAGTCATAAGTTGTGGATTCATTACTAATACATACAGTGGTGAAAAACCCCCTCTCTCCGGTAGAGCACCCAGGAGGCGATGGAGTCGCGAACGAATTGTTTGAATTGGCATTAGATCAATTTGTAAAGGGCGTATTATAGAATATAACGCATACAAGTTTCACGTGTGCTTGGCCTTACAGTGAACAAAAATAGTGCTTGCTCTTTAAATGGCAACCGCTTTATTCTGTAATGTATGATCGTATATGTTTGGATGACTTCGTGATATATAATTACATGTTTACTAGTGATACCCCTTTCCTTTACTTATTTAGCAGATTCAAAAACCCCTCCACTAGACTCCGTCGCTTTACCCCAGGCACTTTCGAATGCGCTAGCCTCCCCAATATCGACAATGCTGCTTCCCAAAATACCAGACTCCGCCTGGTCACTTGCTCCATTTGACTCCTTTGCCTTTCCGTTCTTAACGGCACCCTCGTCACCCATTGGCGTTATTTCGTTCTCCCAGTTACTAGAATATACAACAGCCGCGAAGGCCTCGAGATCCCCCACCATCTCCATAGCTTGGAGGTAGTCGTTGGGAACGCCATTGCCAATTTGGTGAGCTTGGCGCGTGAGGGTTGCAAGGACGATTGGTAGCTTCATTGGCTTTGGGTCGAATATTTCTTGGATTCTTGGCTCTGAGTTAGGGTCGCTCGGTGGGGCAGGCACTTTGAATGCTTGCTGGGCGACCTTCTGGTCCACCAAGGTGGAAAATCCAGCATCGAGGAGAAGCGTGAGGACGTATGTAAATGGCGGGGAGTCAATGAGATCTGACGTTTCATCTAATAAGCGTCGAAGAGGGCTGGCATTTGAGGAAGCGAGGGTGGTAGATTCAGGCGATTCAGCTGACATTCCCGACTGTTGAAGGACGTAATCCTCTTGGTCCCGGGATGGCAGAAGATACTGGAGCCATCTGGTGGACTGGCGATCGGCCTCGGTGGCGCCCTCAACTCTCTTTCGGACTTCGAGGGTCAGCTCGGAGAACCGGCCTAGAGAGAGGTCATCCCTCGGGCTTAATGGGCCGAACACATCTTGAACTGCATCCTGGACTTTGAACATGACCTCTCTCCATCCTCGGTGTAGCAGCCACCAGGAGAACGTCAGATATCTCCTGTTGGTCTCGAAGTCATTGCCGTACGCCTGGTCTGTATTATCGTCGTCGTTGTTCTCAAGGTTGATAAATGAATCTTGGAGTCCGCCCGTAGCTAACGAGACGACGCTAGAGAGGTAACTGCGGCGTCCCAGCAAGTTAAGCTGGATGCGAGTGAGGAGTGTAAGAAGTGCCAATGTGTAAATGAGAGTGAAGGCTCTGGTGATAGCTTTAAGAAATAGTTAGTAACCAGTAAATCATCGAATTCCCAATAGTTCTTACCGCTGATTTTCAAGTCATTCCATAGTTGCAACTTCGACTTCCTTGATTTCTGTGCCGTCGGTGCTGGTTGGGCGCTATCTTGGGGAGCTTTCTCATCCGTTGTGGTGGGAGGAAGGGAGGCCTGGCTTGCATGGACTCCGCTCTCACTGAGTTGGCTGATATTACTTCTTCCGTCATCGTCTGTCACGGATGGTGGGGTTGAGCCCAGGTCCGATGGTCGGTCCTCCCTTGCCAATTTCGAGGCCTTCTGTTCCTGCAGGGCGAAAGTGATCCGCTCGGTTTCTAGCTCAGCCATAATATTATCCGTTGCTGTCGGGAGAAGTGCGAGTATGGTAAATGTACAGTCTTCTTGATTCTGTTGGAACCTCCTCCGAAGGCTAGCCACACGCGATCAGCTACTGTTCCTGCCGAAGGGGGGGACTTCCAGGGCATAAAACTCACTTCTCCTTTGCTATGCGATCACTGCTCATGCGCTCGCGCGCATCCGACAGCTTCCCCATTACATATTGCGCGGCCATATATCCAGCGCCCAAGACGCCGACCCCAATCGCGATTGGGGTTCGGTTTCGGCGAAACCATCGTCGTGTTGCGGATATCATGGCTCAAATCTGGGAGCCACCAGTGCGGCCCTTCTACATGAGAAACTGAAGAATAAAAAATAAGACACCTTCCGAATATAATATGAGTATAATGGCAGCCGAGGTATGATCACTTCGTTGACGACAGTCGTAGCATATTGGGGAACAGGTACACTTGCGAATCACGGTTGCTTTGGTTGTCCCTCGGCTCGCTTGGCTGTATTGCCATGGGGGAACACTTTAGTGGATCAGAAGCAGTAAGGCGTGGTCTGGACGGATTTAAGTTTATCCTTGGGTGGCTAGATGATTCCCCGTGACGGTCTGGGTGGTTTGAAGCTTGGACCATCCATGTCATTGTCTTACGGAGACCCGCAAATAGACGATGACATTACCCCTCCACTCGCGATATGGCCATGCAGCGATAGATAGGAACGGTGAGGAAGCTAGACGTCTGGGGAAGCTCCCGTCTCTAACATCCTTCGCCACATAGGAAACCCAAATTTAAGTCGATCAAAGACGGCGACTGCTTTGGTCTTCTTGTCATGGAGCAACGACGGCCGCCAGAGTACATTTTGGAAGTCTTCGCAGACCCATCGTCTGTGAAGGACGTTGTAAAAGGTATGTGGCGCTCCAGTACTTGCGCAAACACTCTACTTATCATCTGTCAGGCATTTTACACACTATCTTCTTCCACCGATTCTTCCCCTCTGTGCGACCCAGGACCCACGATGTCCTTGACCTGACGCTGCCGGTCGTGGGGGATGCGGAGCTGGAGACATTGATTGAGCAAAAGACCTCTTCTCTTATACGCCAGCTCGATACTACCTCGGACCTGGGGTCCAGAAGTTCGGGTGTTCGCGGCCAAATTGCCGTCCAGTTCTTCGAGAAGCGGCGGAGGAAGGCATGGTTCACCAAAGGGGAGGAAGAGGTGTGCTGGGAACAGTGGACCCTAGATGTCACTCTGGCCATCCCACGAACAGAGAGTGGTGAGTTTACTTCTTTCTTGTCAGAAGCAGGACTATGCTGACTATAAACCAGAGCGAGCAAAGGTTCGGAAGGCGATGGAGACGATGCTGCTGAAGACAGCCATGAAGATCGTGACTACGGTAAACCGAGAGAAAGACCATATCCCCCCGATCACCACGAGTGAGGCAAATCCGTTTCCATACCAAATAAGTACGAATCCAAAGGGTGACGGATGGGGAGCTAGGATCGGGATTTTCTAAAATATGAGGCGTGGGATGGCGTTCATGGGAATCAGAAGTTGGGCGTATGTTTTTGCGGGGAATATGGGAATATGGGAAATGAGCGACATAGAGTATGATACCCAGTTAAACAAATGCTATATCTCTGGCTGGGATATGACTGGTGCTGTATACTCATATGAGTAACACATGCGAACATGTGCCTGGTTGCATGGCGAGCTACCCCAGGATCATGCCGCCACGACTTCTCCCGAGCACTTGTTTTGTTGCCTGCCGAGAAAATAACAGAATAACAAATATGGCCTAGAAGCAATAGAAGGAAGTTGTTTGGACAGGCTCAGCCTTGCAACGAATATACAACTAATATACAACTAATAGTAATTATGGAAAAACAAAGTCAATGGAGTAGCTGGCTGCTTTTAGCCTGGTGCAGTTGTTTATAGCACGCCATCAAATTGCCCCCAATAAGAATGCCGGTGAATGTCGCGGGGTATATCGGGTGGGGGTTTTTGCCAGTTGGCTTTCGGAGTAATAGATTATGGGCGGCGAATCAAGCCTTCGTCTATATAATAACATGGCTGCCCTCGTGCTTCATATCTTCTTCTGGAGTATATTCTATAAATCTATATTCAGTTATATCGGCTGCGCTACTACGGAAAGGTCATAATTGTTTTACCCGGGTACTTTGATCTCAATTGGAGAATACCTGGCAGTACTTGTTCTCTTTGTCTAAGCCTTGTTCGTAGTTTTTATCACGTGCTTCGGCGAGCGAAAGGCTGAAGGGTTTTTGCAAACTATCTGTTATCTATTGGTCAGAGTATCAGAGTAGTAGATAAGAGTCAGCCTCGCCCAATTTTCCCCCGCCCCACAGCGATTATCGGCGTGCTACGTACTACGAGGTAAGCATTTTGCCTCTAATGGACCGGTAGCGTTCCTTGGGCTTGTTTCTCCCGCCAAAAGCTAGAAACTAACATTGTATTTGACCCTGCAGTCATATGGTCTCTGTGAAGGATGAGTCCGTCACTTCTCGAGAACGAGGACGGGTTGAGAACCGTCTCTCTGACCACATGTCACTCTCCAATTAAGAACAATAGTCGTGGGGGATGGATTGTCCAGAAATTTGGCGGGACCAGCGTCGGCAAGCTTCCATTCAACATCGCCGAAGACATTATACGGTAAGTTGGCATTGCGCATTCGACGACCACGACCTTTTCTAACTCTGGATTAATAGGGCAAATCTGAAAGGCAACCGCGTTGCTGTCGTATGTTCTGCTCGGAGCACAGGAAAAAAGGTCGAGGGCACCACAAGTCGGTGAGTCATTAACCACTGCCCTTCCAATGCAGTGTTTCTAACATATCGAAGCCTCCTAGAAGTGTACAGCGTTCTTGAATCGGTCGCCACTGTTAAAGACACAGAATCAGTTCATTACGACAGTCTTGTCCAGGAATATAAACGGCTCGTTCAAATCATCCAAAACGACCATGTGCATGCGGCCGAGACAAGCATCCGGGATCTTAAGATCAGGAATGCGCTCTCCACAGAGATCATAAGCGAATGCAAGGAAATACTCGACTACAGGCTTGCTGCGCAGAGATGGCACTTGGAGATTGACTCGAGGTCGAAAGACAGGATTGTCAGCTACGGCGAGAAATTGAGTTGCCGATTCATGACGGCTCTACTGCGTGACAGAGGCGTTGACGCCGAATATGTCGATTTATCAGATGTCATCAATTTCAAGTCGCCTGGAGGGATTAACCAGGAATTCTACGATTCGCTGGCGGAGGCTCTCACGGCGCGAGTACTAGCATGCGAAGACAGAGTCCCAGTCCTGACGGGGTTCTTCGGCACCGTGCCTGGTGGACTTATGGACGGCGAAATCGGCAGAGGCTATACCGATCTCTGCGCAGCATTGGTGGCTGTGGGGCTGAAGGCGGAAGAGCTTCAGGTGTGGAAAGAAGTCGACGGCATCTTCACCGCCGACCCCAATAAGGTGCCCACCGCGCGGCTGCTCACCACAATTACGCCTGCAGAAGCTGCAGAGTTGACATTCTACGGATCCGAGGTTATCCATCACCTTACTATGGACCAAGTTATCCACGCTCAGCCACCCATCAGAATCCGCATAAAGAATGTCAAGAACCCAAGAGGAAATGGCACAATCGTCCTCCCAGACCCCGTACTGGCGCCGGGTCAGCAGCTCATCCGCACAAGAAGTGTGAGCATTCCAGGCGCCAGGAAGACGCCAAAGAGGCCTACGGCTGTTACTATCAAGAACCAAATCGCTGTTATCAACGTACACTCGAATAAGCGATCTATCTCTCATGGATTCTTTGCAAAGGTCTTCTCCATACTGGACAAGCTACGACTTTCCGTCGATCTCATCTCAACGAGTGAGGTTCATGTCTCTATGGCTGTTCACTCGGTTTCCGAGGACGATTTACTGAGGGCGAGGAGAGCATTGGAGGACTGTGGTGAGGTCAGTATTTTGACCAAGATGGCGATTCTGAGTCTTGTCGGAGCCGAGATGAAGAATATGATCGGTGTAGCCGGGCGTATGTTCTCTACCCTGGGAGAGAACAACGTGAATATCGAAATGATATCGCAAGGTAAGCAAACACTGCAACCATCCATATCTCGACTGTGCTAATAATATCTTTAGGAGCTAGCGAGATAAATATATCCTGTGTGGTCGAGGCGTTCGAAGCAAATCGCGCGATGAACATCCTGCACACAAACCTTTTTACATTTTTAGAATAAGTCCTTGATTTGGTATGGGGAATGCATGCAATCTGAGGACAGGGCGTTGAAGGGCTGGGAGTATCGTTTTGTTACATAGTAGTGTATCTCTAAGAGGGAGCGATTGTGGAGAACTCCTGCCAAATCCATTGGTAATGCTCGACGTACTGTATTCGTACGAGCATTTACATTTAGCGAGCAAGTTATCTAAAGAATTTAAAGTCGGTAGATCATTATCTTATGTCCATGGATTCGTTTCCCTAATCTACTTTGAAGGAAGGGTGGCTGCAGCACAGCATGTTTTCTGTACGACACCCATATCCGTTAAGAGACAAACATTACCAATGCTAATATCGATAATTGGGAAAGGGCCGAATAACGCTGTGAGACAGACAAAATAACAATAGCCACCCATCCCGGCTTTGCTTGATAATCCATGATACTTCTTTCTTAATGTGTGTCGGGTTCTCACTGGACAAATGCGCCGCTATATATTGCCTCTTGGGGTTGAACAGACATGTCTCCTTGGCCAGCAACGTGCATTCCACGAATACGCCAGAATAGCACCATTATCTAACGGCTGCCTGCTTAAGCGTGGGATTCTGCCTGCCAGGGCTGAATGGACTGCCCGGGTAGTGCAACATAGGCGTCCTCAAAACCACCAACCCTGACGGGATACACAGATGGCTGATGTCCATGCGCAATGGCACAGGCCATTCGTCAGCCACTGACGCATTGTTTGCCATCTATCCAGATCATCTATATCTTTATCATTGGCGCTTGTAGCCGTTGTACGAGGGTGACATAGATTCCCATCTGGCTCTAGTCCGCCATCTTTCATTGAATGGCACTGAGACAGACTCGCTGGCTCCTCTGGCAATATGTCCGAATATTTGAAGCAGTCGATCCTTTAAAAACTATTCATCCAATCCACTCGCTTTTTCGAGCCAACTTTACGCTCCGGCTTTTCTGTGGATAGCTTATGCTACACGCACACTTGTGAGATGTATAACGCCCAACATTTAACCGCACATCTTCGTATCAATTGCCATGTATAACGTGCCGAGCCTACGTATGTATGACAGGAATATGTGCATGGTGCTCAGCCGTGTAATACGACGCACAGCGTTTCCTGGTAGACTTCATCCGGTAGCCTTCCATACTCTCATTACCGTCAGGTGCCTCTGACCCCTCTGTCTAGTTTGAAATATAGCCTTCGTACATCCATGCGTGTAGCTTCATCTTCTATCAACGCAGTTTGGCGCCCGTTTCATGTACTTTTTTTATTCGACGATGCCCCTGAGTGCTTCAAATTTGGTGACAATACTCTCACATAACCTCTCTTGCGGTCGTCATACCAAGTGTCTGGGAGAAGATGGGTTGGGTTTGTGCCCGATCATCCCAACTATAATATTTCTAACTTATCACAGGCCGAAAAAACCAATATGGCGGTAGCGAAGAGTGTAGTCGGCCGGCGATTTAGACTTGAGTTTTCGGGCCACAGGTTCGAACGAAAGGGAACAAGATTCCTCACGGAAGTAAGAGCCGGGCTCGCTACGTTCTTCGCCATGGCATACATAATCTCTGTGAATGCCGGTATAGTCTCGCAGACCGGAGGCACATGCGTCTGTACTTCAACGACGGATTCGCTTTGTAAGGATGATCCGCCATATTTGCAGTGCGTTCAGGAGATAAATCTCGACCTTGTCACCGGAACAGCGGCAATATCAGCAATCAGCAGCTTTGCTATGGGCCTTTTCGCGAACATGCCCATCGCTCTGGCACCTGGGATGGGCATTAACGCCTACTTTTCGTACCAAGTGGTTGGTTTCCACGGCGAAGGCTCTGTCTCCTACCAGTTGGCTCTGACAGCTGTATTTGTTGAAGGGTTAATATTTGTTGGGTTGACCTTGCTGGGAATTCGCCAATGGCTTGCGAGGTCATTGCCTGCGAGCTTGAAGATTGCTGGCGGAGCTGGAATTGGCCTGTATTTGGCACTGATTGGATTAACATATGAGGCTGGAATAGGGGCAATAACAGGAGGAACAGCGGATCCGCTACAACTCGCAGGCTGTGTCCCTAAACTGCGTGACGCTGTCACTGGTGTCTGTACTGGAGAGAAAATGCGAAATCCAACTATGTGGCTTGGTATCTTCTGTGGGGGATTATTTACGGCCTTTTTAATGATGTACCGAGTCAAGGGAGCTCTTTGCTTCGGAATCCTGCTCGTATCAATCATTTCTTGGCCACGAAACACCGCCGTGACAGCTTTTCCAGATACAGAACTGGGCAACTTGAGTTTCGACTATTTCAAGAAGGTTGTCTCATTTCGACCTCTCAAGCATATCTTAGCCGTGCAAGACTGGCACAACGGGGGGGGACAAACTAAAGACTTTATGGTGGCGTTAATGACTTTCCTCTATGTGGATATCTTGGATTGCACGGGAACCCTATATTCTATGGCTAGATTCTGTGGCGCAATTGACGAAGATACACAAGATTTCGAAGGATCCGCGGTGGCATATCTCGTTGATGCTTCGAGCATTTCGATAGGGTCACTATTGGGGATTCCGCCGGTGACCGCATACATCGAGTCTGGGGCTGGTGTATCTGAGGGAGGAGCTACCGGGATGACTGCCTGCATAACCGGACTTTGCTTTTTTATCTCCTTGTTTTTTGCACCTATTTTTGCCAGCATACCCTCGTGGGCAACAGGTTGTACTCTGATGCTTGTGGGGGCGATGATGACACGCGCTGCTGTTGATATAAACTGGCGATATATTGGGGACTCTGTGCCCGCCTTCTTGACAATGGCAATTATGCCATTTACTTATTCCATTGCTTATGGATTGATAGTGTTAGTCACGTCCATTTTCAAACTCCACGGCCTTTGATACTGACAAATGATAGCGGAATTATCAGCTATATCATACTTAACGGTTCTGCTTGGATATTAAGCTGGGTGACTAATGGCGGCATCGTTCCTTACGATTATGATCAGTCTGACTATTGGAGTCCAAGGCCTGTTGGTGGCATCCTTCCAGGTTGGCTCAAGCGGCTTGCACGGGGGAAACGGGACTTCTGGAGAGAGTATGACTACGATGACCAAATAGAGCAGGGCAACAGACACCATGATAGCTTCCCCACAAGCGACCAATACACGGTCTCCGAGTCACTCGAACGAAAGGCCAGTGCTTCCGGCGCTTCGGGGGTGGTAGAAACTGACCTCAGCACGCCCGCCATGGCTCGACTTCGTGATAGTATTACTATTGCCACGAAACCAGTAACTGGGTCATCCGTTTCTGAGAAGTATTGAGAGCTCGTAGGGGTAGAAGTAGATAAACGCACCTTGTAGTAATTCAATGGCCGTTATTTAGTGCCAGCCAGAACAATCTTCATATAATTTGACAAGGGACAGAGTCATTATGCATCGTATAGTAGCGCCCTAGCGTCAGTGAGGTCTTAATTGTATGGAATGACATTGTGAGAAAAGGATCTCGGAATAATAATGGGCCGGCGTGAAACAACCCAGCAGGGTGTATCGTTACCTTGCCCTGTAACATCGAGGTGAAGTTCCAGCCCCATGCATGGCGCTTATTGCTGTAAAGGCGATGGGACACCGCCTCAAGCCTCGTCAACGAACTAAAATTGCCATCGACTCATGGAAGTATAGCTATTTTGTTGTCCAAGTAATTTGCAGTCGTGCAAATTACTTGTGTAATGGCTTCTGTGGTCTATGTGTTTGCAGTGCCAATTCCGCTTCTTCCTTTTGTGCTCAGCCTCGTCCTGGTGCCTTTCATTGGTGCCTTTGTCAAGTTTATCTTGAGGCTTCGTAGTCAGAAACATGGCCAGGTAACAAAGGAGCTTAAGGATGGCCTTGATATCGTTTACGAAGGGTCTAAGGCCGAAATTGAGTGAGCTACAACCTTTCTATCCCTTTGAAGGCCGTGGTAGCTAATCAACTGCAGCATCGTCGCTGTTCATGGATTTGGAGCCAACCCAAATTACGCGTGGACCGCGGATGTGGGAAGCAAGGTTAGGTTTCGCTGGCTCGAACGTCTTCTTCCTAAAGAAGTACCAAACAGCCGCATTATGACATTCAGCTTCCAATCGAACTGGCTTTTAGATGCACCGAAGACACGGACGACTCTCTGTGCAACCGCCCTACTTGACGCTTTGCACAACAAACGGCAGGTACAGTAACTATCCTTGGCAGAATTTGAAGACTTCTAACACGGAATCTAGGAAACGAACAGTACAGAGCGGCCAATTATTTTCATGGGCCATAGTTTTGGAGGCAATTTGATCCAGCAGGTTTGAATAAGAGCGGCCTTAGGAAAGTGACTTGCTAACTACCAAGCAGGCGATCGTGAACGCTCACCTACATGAGGGGAGAGAAGATATTACAATGGCGACTGCTGGGGTGATATTTTTTGGCACTCCTCATAGAGGCAGCAAAGACGCATCCTGGGGAAGAATTATCGCAGATCTTGGTAGTTATTCAGGGTTTAACTCCTACGACGGCATTATCAAAGACCTGGAAGAAGAATCGACCCACCAAATCGATTTACTACACAGCTTCAGTGTTTGGCTAAGGAGGATGTCGGTTGAAACTGTTTGTTTCTTTGAGCTCAAAGAGACCGACTATGGTCGAAAAATCGGCTTGACCGGGATTCGACGTAAAATTGTCGTGACCGAAACCTCTGCCTGTATTGATGGTTATAGAAAGGTCTCTCTAGATGTTGACCACCTGCATCTAAACCAATTTAAGGGCTCAGATGATGCTTCCTACAAGAAGTTTCAACCAGAGATTAAGAGGATGGTCGATGGGGCCCCAGCGAAAATCTTGAGAAGGATGAATCCCCGCCAAATCGTTTACAATGATGAACAAATACGTTCGACTGCAAACTCTACGGAAAAGCTTAGATGCCTTCAAGCTCTTGTCGTTGTCGAGTCAGACGTTATATTAGAAAACCTTCGACGAACCAAGGGCGACAGGGTTGAAGGGACATGCGAATGGGTTCTGATAAATTCACAGTTCACTGAATGGCTTAACGCCGATAAGAGCCAACTGCTACGCATGACTGGCGGTCCCGGAATTGGTAAAACCATGATTGCAACCTTTTTAGTTGATGAACTGAAAGAAAGGGCGCAATACTCTGAATCGGATTTATTCGCTTTCTTCCTCTGCGACAACAAAGACGAAAGGCAGAGAACAGCAACTGCAGTATTGCGTAGCCTTCTTGTCCAGCTCTTACGCCAACAACCCTCATTTTTCTCATACATGCAGCCAGAATATGAGAAATACGGGGAAGACAAATTTAAGGGCGTATTCTGCCTAGATTTTGGCGCTCTTTGGATGGTCTTTGAGGCTATCTTGAGGGATCCGGCGGAACGATCGATCACTATCATAATCGACGCTCTTGATGAATGCGAAGAAGAGTCTAAATCGAATTTAGTCAAAGTGCTCCACGATTTCTTCGATCCAAACAGCCGCAATAACAAGGCGAAGTCTAACAAGGTGAAGTCGAATACCCTAGTTCAGACAGTTAAGATTATTATCGCCCACAGGCCGGAACCAAGCATAGAAAAGGGCTTCTTACACGGAACCCAGCCACTGAAAGTCGATACTGGCCTTATAAATTGCGACTTGTCGAAGTTCATTAGAGAGAAGACGGAGAAACTCCGAGACGACTTTGATCTCGATTCAGAAAAGGCAGATCAGATCCGCGGCGTCCTAGAAAGGAAAGCTGAAGGGACATTCCTATGGGTATCCCTTGTCCTTGGCGAAATGGACGAGCGCGACACCCAAGGCAACATTACCGGCTTGCTTGATAAACTGCCGTCGGGTCTTCCCGAGACTTATGAAAGAATCCTACGAAAGATTAAGCTGGCACATGGAAATGATGCAAGCTTTATACTACGCATTATTTTCATAGCCCGCCGCCCGCTCAAAGTCGATGAACTTGCTATAATATGTCTTCTTGGATTGGGTACATATGATAAAACTACTCTTCCGACAATTCAAGACTTAAATGAATGGAGACATGAATATCGTTGTTGCGGAGCATTTCTGAAAGTCGATGAAGAGAATGAGACTATCCATCTAGTACATCAATCGGCAAAAGACTTTCTGGAAGATCTCTCGAGGCACGATGACCTTGCAGGGTTCTATCCAGAAGCAGGTGCATCGAACTTCGATATGCTTCAGGTCTGCTGGAAATATATGAGTATAGAGAAAGCCGAGAAGGCTGCACTCAGCGAAGAGGTGATAGCACATGAAGCAGGGATGATATCCGACAAAGAGATGATATTAGCAGGAAAAAGGCATGACTTCCACTGTCGTAGATGGTTTGACTATGCGGATAGGGAATGGCGGGATCACGCACTGACGGCCTATCCTGGTTGGGTGGACCTACCTGGAATGGAGAAGAGTATACTCGATAAACTGCCATTCTTTCGTGATGAGTGGTTAGAGTCAGCAGCTAGGGAAGGCCAAGAGGCAGCGGTAGAACAACTTCTAGATAGAGGAGCTTCTATGCTGTCGGTAAATGGCATAGTTCTACGCACCCCGATATGGCATGCCGCTATAAATGGGCATGAGAAAGTCGTCGGGGTACTGCTTAATAAGGGGGCTAGAGTAGATTTGAAGGATATGTATAATAGAACACTGTTATCGGAGGCCACTAGGAGGCGGCACGAGAAAGTTGTTGACCTATTGCTTAGTAGGGGAGCTAATGTTGATTTAGCGGATATATATAACGAAACGCCGCTGATCTGTGCAGCTAGGTCAGGGGATGAGGTAATTGCTAAGCTCCTCATTAATAGCGGGGCTAATGTAAATGCGGAAGCTACGTCTGGTTTGACGCCGCTGATACTCGCTGCTCAGACGGGGGACGAAGCATTTGGGAGGCTGCTACTTGGCAGCGGAGCTGATGTCGATTATAAGTCTGGCAGTGGCTTAACGGCGCTATCAATGGCTACGTGGCATACTCACGGGGATTTTGCCAGGCTACTAGTTGATCACGGAGCTGAAGCCAGTCCGGAGGAACAAGAATGGCTAGATTCACTTTCGTCAGCCGCTGAACGGACATAAGAAGAAGCGTCGGCGTTGTCATTAGTTCCTCCTGTGAGAGGTAGGGAGATATGTTGCCACCAAGAGCTCTCTGGTGGAGTCGAACCACGATTCCATTGCTCTGGTTTTTGTGTTTTGGCACAAGGGATATTTCTAATGTACGGGGGGGTAGAAACTCCAAAATGGACATAAAGCAGATGAAAGCCTGTTATATTCTCTGTTCCAACATAGGAGCTATGCGAACGTCTATCCAGTTCATCTATCTACATCAACTAAAGCCCCACCCTACTTCTTCTTCAAGTTCGTCCACCTCTCCTTCAACGCATGCGCCGCCGCCTTTGGCCTCCTATCCCTCGTAAACACACCCTTCTTATTCCCATCCACGCGTCCCGTTCCCATGCTCGTCTGAAAGTCCGCGAAATTCCACACGTGCTCCCCAGCCATCGCCTTAATCGAGTCGAACACCCTATGGTACATCGTCAGCATCGCCACCTGGTACTCCTCGCTCCACGGCAGCCCGAGGACGGTGTGCAGCCCCGACACAGTGTCAGCGCCGTACTCGGTCATCACGATCGGCTTGTTGTATTTCTTGACCCAGCCCTGCAAATCGGTCGTGAGCGCGACCTCGGCATCGGCCAGCTCACCGGTCTCGGTGTACCATCCGTAGTAACGGTTGAGGCAGAGGACGTCGAAGAGGTCGGAGATCTTGTCAGTGACGTGGGTCGCGAAGAAGACGTTGGCGAAGGTGATAGGTCGGCTTGAGTCGAGCGAGCGAGCAAGCGCTGCCAGGGGCTCGAAGTAGGCCCTCGCGCCCTTGTCGTCGGACGCGGGCTCGTTGGCGATGGACCACATGACGACGCTGGCGTGGTTCTTGTCTCTGTGGAAGAGCTCGCGGATGGCCTGCGCGTGCGCGGCTTGGGTCTTGTTGTTAATGAGGTCCGGGCCAAAGGTCACGCTGCCCGGGGTGCCCAAACCGAAGTTAAGTCCCACGGCGGGGGTTTCGTCAATGACCACGATGCCGCGGCGGTCGGCGTACTCCATCATCTCCTCGGTGTAGGGGTAGTGGGAGGTGCGGAAGGAGTTAGCGCCGATCCAGTTCAGGAGCTGGAAGTCGTGGACCATGTAAGCTTGATCGTGGCCTTTGCCGCGGACGTTGGTGTCCTCGTGCTTGCCGAAGCCAGTAAAGTAGAAGGGCTTGCCGTTGATGAGGAATTGGGTGTTCTTGACCACGACGGTGCGAATGCCGGTCGCGAGGTTGTAGGTGTCCAGGGTCTTCTTAGAAGAGTCAACGATGCTGGCGCGGAAGTTGTAGAGGTATGCTGCTCCGGGTTGCCAGAGCTTCACCGAGGGGATATTGATGGTTCCGGTAGCCCCTGAGCCTTCGGCAACGGTCTTCCCGCTCTCGTCGATGACAGCGATTTGGACCTTTCTAGTTGTCCCCTTAGCAACGGTGATGTTGTAGTTGATCATGCCGGTGTTTCCCTTATAATCCGTGACAACAGTGATGTCCTGGATATGCTGCTTAGGCACAGAGTACAGCCAGACCGAGCGAGCCAAGCCCGCATAGTTGTAAAAGTCATGATAGTACTTCTGCGTTCTCTTTCCCGTCAACGCGCTGGTCATCACCTTTCCAGGCGGGAGAGTCTCAAACGTGAGAATGTTGTTGACCGCGATGGTAAGACGGAACTGCTGGCCCGCAGTCACAAGATCGGTCACATCAGCCTCGAATGGAGTGTAACCGCCCACATGATGAGCGACGAGACGGTCATTGACATAGATCTGGCCTTCGTGGGTAGCGGATTCGGCGCGCACAAAGTACTGCTCTCCTGACCAGCCCTTGGGGACAATCACATCCCGCTGGTAGTAGACCCATCCGACATGGTCGTGGATCGCGCGGTCGACGAAGATGTCGTTGTAGGAAGCTGGGACCGGGCATTCCAGGTCGGTGACCAATGGCCCAGTCCAAGGCTGGGCGGTGCTGTTGGCGCTGGTTGCAACGGAGAATTTCCACAGTCCATCTAGGTTAACGAGATCTCTGGACAGCGAACGCTGTGGCTTGAGCATAGGGAGGGCGTTAAGAACGACATCTCTGCTGGCGATCTGATTGTCATTTGTTGGAACCGCTAACGAAGACGGGATGATAGCCAGGAGCGAGAGCCTAGCGAGGAGTTTCATGATGCCTATATTGTTCTTTGCGACGAGATGCTTGTGTGAGGCTGTTCAATAATCATCTTAGAAATGAGAAACTATGGAATACATATACTCACCCAATCCAACATTGGCAATTGACTCTCACAGCCATTGATACCTAGTATTCTTGCGCCTCCTACCCAGAAACAAACAAACCATTCCCCTAACGTCCTAGCCTCTCCAAATCTAAACCCATCAAATGACGCTCCCTTTGCGGGGGAGGGTAAGGGAGGGCCTTTGCAAGGATACCACTTTGCGGGGAAGTGTCCCAGGATAGAGGTCAGCTCTCACCCTCACCAGCTCCAAAAACGCGGGGAAAGCTGTCAGTAAAGCTGTCAGTAAACACCCACATTCCGCTCCTTGCGGTGAAAGATCCTCGCCATGTCGTCAACAACCCTCCCAGACGCCAAAACTGCGGGGGAGTTAGTACCAAAAGCCGATCCTAGCAGGTTCGGGCCCTGGGCCATACCGTAAACTCAATTCTCACAAGACGCCAAGATTACGCGGAAGAGCTGTCAATAGCCGCCAGAAGTCCCACCCCACCCCCCCCCCAAACCTCCCTACTTTGCGGGGAAAGGGACACAGAATTGGCAGTTGGATTTATTAACAAAGTCGACTCACACCCTCACAACAGACGCCAATATTGCGGGGAGAGAGCAGCAGGCCTGTCAATAGACGCCTAGATTCTGCTCGTTGCGGGGGAGGGTCGTTAACTCTCACAGTCTGTCTCCAAAAAGGGCGGGGGAGCCGTCAATAGGACACCAAATTCCGATCCTCCTCGCAGACGCCAAGAATACGGGGGGGGGCTGTCAATAGCCATCAAAAGCCGCACCATGCCATGCCAGGGACGGCCTGGGCGTATCGTCAACTCTCCCTGCCGCCAAGACTGCCGCCAAGAACGCGGGGAGGCTGCCAATATTCACCGACCTCCCCAGAGTTTGCGGGGAAGGTCCACGATGGGGTATATTATCAGGGTCGACACTCACCCTCGAATACAGGGAGCTATCCTGTCAATCATCCCCCATGGGGGAATCGGCAAGACACTCGGCAGACTCGGCAGTTCTCCAATGGCATCGTGCACATCTTTAAGAGTTAAAAAAAACCCCAAGCCGGGTCGGGGGACGGAATCCGGGGAAGCTTGTGCTTGATTGATCCCCCTCTCGGATGCCAAGAATTCAGAAAGATTGATGGGAGATTAAACTAAACTCCAACAGGCGGATTATACACCAATCGGGAGGAGTAGGGAGGTGTTTGTTTATGGGGGCCGATGAAAAGCCGAGGGACGGGTGGTAATATAACTTCTTTCTTCCAAGGCACAAAGGCACATATAATATAGCTTGGGATTATTATCCTCTCTTTGTACTTTCACTGGCAGGGCAGTGGTGGTGGTGGGTTCTCTTCAACGGCGGAGAGAACAGCTGGGCTGTCGAGAGAACCTACTGTGCAGCGTGCAAGTGCAGTTGCTGTTCGATTATAGATAGTGCTCGGATTTAAGGCTCGGAAGTGAAGTGACAGCAAGGGGCCGTGCACGCGCGTTGGGGCCGGTTAGAACCGTGTGGCGGGTAACGGGGGAGTCGGGTGAGTCGGGTGACGGGTGAGAGGTGCCGAGGGAGGGCGGATAGGACGGATACCGGGATTGGGATTTTCTAAGGACCGGGAATAAAAGTAAATAACTGGATGAGTTTGGGTTTTTTGTGCATATATTTCGACTATTATATTTCCATTGTGTGGGTAAGGTAACTGCCTGGCTTAGTGGTAAAAAAAAAAAAAAAAAAAAAAGATGTAAAGGAAACTGAATAATGGAATATTATTTTTAAGATTATTTTATTAGAAAAATCACGAAATTTATTTTTGTAACAAGATATTATAACAATTTTTTTTTTATTCTTACTGATGCTTAAAAAAAATAAACGTCGCTTTTTATAGATATACCCCCCATAGGCACCATACATGCATCTTATACCTACATAGTACCAGAGTAAGCCGAAAGCAAGCAAAGCACTCAAGACCTCACCATAAACCTTTCCTCGTTCATCATTTTATCGCCACTCATGAGCACAAGAAGGAAAAAGCAACACTTGGCAAGTATGATAACTACAACCCCAAAAACGTAGGAATCTAGCACATCACATCACAGTACAGCACAACATATCACACAAGAAAGACCATCAGATTTATAAAATAGACTTAATTCATTCATTATCCCATTCATCGCCGCTATCCGCGTGCGGAAGGAAGGAAACTCATAAACCACCCCAAACAAAAACCTAGTATCATAATGACTCCAACAAACGAACCAGTTACTCAGCCAATCCTGTAGTAAGGACTCTGACAAAAAACCACCCCCCTAAAACCCAAAGGCCAAAAACATACCCGCATACATCCCACAAAGAAAAAATCTCAGAACAAAGATAGAGAGACAGATCCTCATACCCCGACAAACCCAGCGACCAAACAAAAGACAAAAACAAGTGTCCCGTCCAGTCCAATCCAGAAAAAAAGAAATGAGAAAAGGGGGACATTTTCGTATATCCAGACATTTATCATAAACAAGAAAAAACCCAACATAGCCCCTCAGCGCGGCGCAAGTGTGTGACTCCGACAGCAGTAGATGTGCAGTATAGCATCGACAAAAACAAACAAACAAAAATAATCCGTTCATAAAACCCTCATCACTCCCACAATCTCCACGGTCTTAAAACCGACTCGTAAAACTCCTCCTCACCCCACTCCTAACACCAACCCCTCCCTTCATCTGCTCCCCAACCCCACCACCACGACCCTTTGCCCCAATCTTCGCAAACCCTTGCAGGATATCCATCCCCGCATCCTCCGCGACGCCATCAGCCAGGAACTCCGCGCCGTAGTACTCCTCTTGCACTACACTAGCGCCAGCAGATACACCACCAGCGACAGAAGAAGAAGCACCACCAACAGAGCCAATATCAAAGCTCCCACCCAGACTGAAGATGGGACTCGCAAATTTACTCGGCGACGCGCCCCCCAACCCCAACGCCGCAGACGGGGAATGAAACACCCTCGGCACAAGCGAGGGGGTGAAATTCAGCTTCGGCGTCGACGTCACGCTCCTCCTCGAGAAGCTATTAACACCATTCGACGACAGATCCCCCAGCGCGCTAGGCGCGAGATCGAAGCGTCCCCTCTTCGCCGTGCGTTTCTCCGGCGACCCGTTCCCCGGCACCGCGAGAAAGTCTCCCGCAGTGGCATCGATGAACATCTCAAACTCGGTTTCCAGGTCCGGGAACAGCGGCTCGGCAAGGTTGAACGCTGGACTCCAGGGGAGGCAGTCGTCGGCGGCGTGAATGGAGTCACGCATTGGTGAGCCGACGAGCTGGCGCACGCGTTCGCGGTGGAGACGGAGGTTTGTGGTTGGAGAGACGGAAGGAGGTGGGCGGGATGGCGCGGTGAGCTTGACAGCTGGTGTGAGCGGGGGAAGCATAGCAGCGGAATCGTAAGTGAGCCCCCTACGAAGCGGGGACGAGGAAGGCGCAGCCCAGGCAATGGACTCGGCGCATGGAGTGTGGCGGGCGCGACGCGAGGTCTTTGACGGGCTATCGTAGGAAGAGCCGCGTAGGCGTGCAATTTCCTCCTCAGCGCGACCGCGCTTGACGGGGTGGCGGTCCGGGACAGGGTTGCGCAGGGCGGAGGAGTTGAGGGAGGAGAAGTAGCCACTGTCGTCCATGGAGGCGAAGTTGCGTTTGTGGGAGCGCTGGGCGGAGGAGCGGGCGAAGCGGACCACGGGTGGGGGGGTGTCGTCGCGGAGACGGACGCGTCGGGGGACCGGGGGGGAGGATTGCATGAGTGCGGGTGGGGAGGAGAGGATGGGTTGGGCAGCGCCGGCGTGTGCGTAGAGCTCGTGCTCTGGGGCTTCCTCGTCGGGCTGGTAGGTATCCGAGGCGGGGATGGTGGCGTCGGAGGAGAGCTCGTTGTCCATCTTTGTGGCAGGCTTGATAGACATGAACGAGTTTGTTGAAGGGGGAGCGAATTCGGAGGGTGCTGGCGTCGAGTTTCTGTACGACGACTGTGGGCGCTCCTGGATCATGGGAGGTGCCGGGAGCGAGACGGATGCGGACATAATAGGACCGCTCTCAATGATCGTTCCCTTCTTCGGCTGCTTGTCCTTGTTGAACTTCTCCTCCTCTCCTGGAGCAATAACCCAGTAGTTGCCTTTTCCGGGATCATCCTTGGGCCTTTCCTGCTTCACGAAGGCCTTGTTCAAGCTGAGGTTGTGGCGAATGCTGTTCTGCCATCCCGTCTCGGCAGCGCTGTAGTAAGAGTATGAATCCGAGATCCACTTGTAGATCTGGGCCAGGGTCAATCGCTTCCCTGGGGCTCCGAGGATGGCCATGCCGATGAGCGTGGCGTAGCTGTGGGATGGCTTTGTTCCGTCGTCTTTGACGGCACCGAATTGTTCTGCGGCAGGGCGTGTAGGCTCAGGCATCATTCTCTGCTTCTTTGACTGAATCATTGGCGCTTCCAGCAGGGCACGCTTCCTCTGGGTCTTCTGTCCGTATATGGCATCGTTTGCGTAGAAGTCATCCGCGTCATTATACTGGTGCTGGTAGTTCTCCTTTCCGGCCGGGTAGATATTCGACGCGGTGGTGAAGAGTGCCTTCTGTGGTCCAGACCCCTGTCCTCTAGCCTGCAGAGGCTGCTTCTTCTCCAGCGAGTCCGTACTGCGCATTGCTCCCCGCGGCGGCGGCATCGCGTGCATGTTGAGCTTATTGCTCATACCGCTCCTCGACGGCGAGCTGGACGAGTGCAGCGCGTTCTTGTGTGGTGATCCATTGTTGGCCTGGGCGGCGGGAGCGTTGAGGACGATATTGCGTCTCGAGGAGGCGTTCTTGATGGGACGTAGGGGGGAGGCGAGGCGCGGCAGTGTCGAGCCGGATGGGACGTAGCTTCGATCAGATTCGGGATCTTGGTAGATTTGCAGCGGCTGCTGCTGACGATGACGCGTCGACGACATCGCGACGAGCCGACAACGCGGCGTTGAGGTTGGATATCGAGGCGTCTAGGCAGACGAGGTATCGCTTCGGCGGTTCGGTACGCTACGCGTCGGGAAGGCTGCGGGCGTTGAGCGAGATCGGTTGTTTGTTGATGTTGTTGTTTGTTTGTATGTTTGGTGAGGTATGCTAGACGACGATAGTGAGTATCGATCTGTTGAATTTTGACGACGACGAGGTTGGATGGCGGATTGAGGTTGAAATTGGGCCAGACTTTGGGTAGCGAAGGATGGGAGAAAACGAGAAACAAGATTGTGCCTACCAAAGTACCTAGAGGCTACTCTAGCTGAGAAGAACCTTGGAACGGCTGCTGGAGCCCGGGTGTCAGAGGGGAGTGGAGACTGTTCGGCGGTGGAAAGTGGGCGTTTGGAGTGAGGTAGCAGGGGGATGAGGAGGGAGGAGCAAGGTAGTTGCAGCGTGTCGGTGGGCGCGAGTGGATTGCGTGTGAGCGTATAGTGGATACGGGCGCAGTGCTTGGAGGAAAGCCAAGGTCCAGTGGGAGGGATTGTGATTGCTGTGTGCCGAGATTACTCGTCAGACATGGGCTGAGTGAGCGTGGATTGGGTGGAGAAGGATGATCGAATGGGCGAGTGAGGATGAATTGAGGATGTCGCCGAAGATAGAGCGTGTTTCTCTCTGGGAGTACGTACTCGGGGGGGGGGGTAAAGGTACCTTTGTAAGGCGCGAGTGGGTTCCGCGCTTAGGACGTGATCGATCGCGAGGTGGAGGAGGGAGGAGTACGTAGAGAATGGAGTCTTTTGATGCTCGATTGAGTAGTTTTGTCTCTGGTGGACGGATTGGTGAGATGAGGGTAAGAAGCTGATGATGGTGATTGACAGATGACAGCTTGTAGTGGGTGTGTGTGTGTGTGTGTGCAATTGATGAAGCAAGAATGTTTGGTGTGTGTAATTGGTAGATTGGTGTATGATGGATGGATTGGTGATGTTGAAAGGAAGAAGAAGAAGAAAGTGGGAGGGTGAAGATGGGAAGGAGGGTAGAGGTGATGGAGGGGAGGGGGAGAAGTTTAGTTGAGTGGTGGTGAGTGGGTGGTGAGTGGGAGAAGCTTAGTTGTGTGGTGGTAAGTGGTGAATTGAGGGTGGTGAGTGGGTGAATTGAGGATTGATAGAAGGTTGTGTAATGTGTAATGTGTGCCAGGTGCAAGGTAGCAAGGTAGATAGCAAGGTGGGATGGGATGGGATGGAGGAGGAGGTATGTGTTTCTCGTAGTTGTTCTCGTACTAATTCTCGTGTTCACCGCGTTCACCGTGCACCGAGTTTCATCGAGAGCAGGAGGGGAAGAGAAGTAGAGGCGGGGAGAGCACGATGACGGCGGGGATAGTAAGAGTGAAGAGAGACAGAAGAGAGACACGTCAGAGGCTTGGTGGGAGTGGTGGTGGTGGTGGTGGTGGTAGTGGTGTGGCCGACTTCAATGCAGCCTGGAATGATAGGGTGGGAGGTGAGGTGAGATTGTACGGAGCAGCTGCCTGGAACAGACGGAGGAGGAAGGGGGAAGAGAGGAAGGTGAGGAAGGAAGGAGGGGGGAGACACGCATTACCGTCTCTATCCTATCCTATCTATCTTTCTCTCACCGTTCCTTATCGTCCATCTAGTCCTTCTCGTCCATCTACTCTACACCCGACTGTACGACTATAATCTGCCTGCTCTGCTACTCAACTACTCTACTACTCTACTGTCCTCCTAATTTTCTACTAGTCTACTGCCGTATAAACCACTCTACTACTAATACCCTCCTACTACCACCTCCCACCCTAACCCATCTCCCACCGAGACCAGCGGGGCACACCACAGTCAAACACACGATGTGACCACGCCTCTAACCTTCTTCTCCTCCTAATCTCACCTAATCTCACCTAACTCACCAAATCCCATACCATCCCACCCATCCATCCCATCCCACACTGCCGTTCTCCCCCTCCACTCCTTCCCCCCACCTAAAAATCTGCACACAACGGCCCCAAGCAGATCCTGTCTTAACGTATCCACTATCTACTATATCCACCTTAAGACTTCTTCACTTCATCCCTCCCATCCATCCGTTTTGCAATAGTAGAGTATCTAGTACGTACTACCATCAAACTCAGCACACTCATCCTCTTCCTTCGTCCCATGGTAACCCATTATCTAGCCTGGCCATTCTACTAACCCTTCTAACCATCCTAACCCTACCCTCCCACCACTACCACTCTATCGCAAACACACAGCCCCGCGGCGACCACCCTTCTCAGCGCCTACGCGCCCGCGACGCGTTTGGTAAACAAAGCCCTGACCTAAACGCGTCGCGAGTGGGTACGTACCTTCCACACCCTAACTCCCCATCACGTAAATTACGCGAGATGAGCGAATCGGGTAGAGCGTGGTGTGGGCACGTCGGAGGATGGAGAGTGTGCCTCAGTTAGTCAGGTTCTTACCTTGAATTTTAGTAGCACCCTGTTCCTGCCTCAGTGAATCCGCGTGTAGATACACCTCCGACGATGAGTATGTGTTTTGTGTGTGCTGTGTACTGCAAACGGACACACACACGGCTGGGAAAGGTCGGGTGATGGACCCCTTGGGTCTTACATGAGTGTTACTGAGATGAGGAAATATGCGTGATCAAGGGGGTGAGAGTGATATCGCCGATTCCACGAACTAAACTATCTTATTTCCACATAGTTTCCTCACCTAGCAATCCCGTCATCCTCGTCTTGTCTCACTGGTTTATACGGTTCTAGTTGAGGTTGGGCGTTGGCGTGGCGTAATTTTGTGCGGGAAGTGGGGTGGACACCTATCTTGGAGTTAAGGCTGGCTGGCTGGCTTGCTGGCTGGCTTAGGGGCTATAATTTGCATATCATACATAGTGGGAAAATGACATATTAAAGTCTTATAGTTTAAACCCTTTCATAACGATATACATATACTACTATACCATAACTATGTCCTTGTGCTCGTGCGTGCCCCGGAAACGGACAAGACGTTTAATTAACTAAGAAAAAAAACCCCCCACTTCTAACACTTCTCTAATTCCGGCAGATGGAAGAAACATTTCTCAACACCCCTTACCAGCCACGCCAGACCGAGTTCCTGGTTCCTTCCTGGTGATTGATGGATGCCACGATGGGATGAGGAGGCGAACTTGCATATGAGGTTTCTGGTGCCTGACATAACCATAACTCACTCCCCCTTTCTCCCGCAGCACAGTCTGCCCGCCCGCCCGCTCCCACCTTAGCCTCCTGCAAATGCACACGCACCTTGGACCTGCTTAAGATGAGATGAGCAACCACAGCGCATAGCACTGTGACTCAGATTCCCCAAGAACTATCGTATGCACGCACGCACTCTTAATTTGGGATTTTATGATATGAGGAATCTGATATAGTTATTTATACCTATACCGTAGTTTCTATAACCAACCACCACCCATCCCCCCCTATTAGTTACATATAGAACTCCACAACTGCCATAACTGCCATGAAACTAAACACAATAGTTACGTATAAAAACCAAACTCTCCTATTATCTACATATACACAACTCCCCCCATATAATAACTACAAAACATGAAAAAAAAGAAAATCTCTTCCATTCCATTTGCCCCCATACCCGCCCGTACGACCCCTTTCCATCAACCAAAAAAAACTTCTAAGTGTAAAAGCGCCCAAAGCCACTACCAGAGTGATTTTTGGGGCCGTGCTGCTGCTTTTTTGTCGAGTCCGGAAAGGGGGTGCGTAGGATGGCGATGGCAGGTTCATCTCGTTGCTCATGTACATTACCACCAACCCACCCACTCATCTACACGTATATCCATCCCAAACGCCGCGCTGTGCCTTTATACTGACCTTATCCCTCCCCCCATATCGCTGTGTCGTTTTTATACTGACTGTCCTCCCTCCCCTATTTACCACCCCTCAACCCCCCATCTACCATCATCCCCTCACAAACCCACCACCCCCAACCAAACACCCACCACCACTCCAACCACACCCCATCCCACCCCCCTCCTCCCCGCACCACTAAGATGATAAGCCGCCCCGGGGTAATTGCAAGTAATCTGCCCATCCTCACTACTACTCCCATTCGGCCTCCTTCCATAACTACTCGCGAACCCTCCATTCCCCGGTCCGGGACACTCAAACCCCATCGCCGCCGGACAGCTCTGGACGAGGTTATAACACATATCCAGACACGGCAGGATCTCCTTATACGGCCCCGGCTTCACGATCTCATCGATCGCCGGATTCCTGCTCGAGTTCAAGTAAAGAATTTCCTGGCTGGCAGCGAGGAAATTAGAGTCCTGAAGCATCGATGAGTTGGGAAACGGCTGCACCACGTTCCTCGGCTGTAACCAGGGGTCAGAACGGCTGTAATCCTGGCACCGCGGGATGGTGACGCTGCACAGCCAGGCTTTGTAGGCTGCGGCGCAGTGGTCGCAGTTGCGGACTAGACTGTATTGACCGGTGTTTGGGATTTCGCAGGGGATTTGCTGCAGGGCTTTGGCGAAGTTGGAGTACGCGGATGCGGCGGCGTTGTCGTAGAATTCCGCTAGCGAGGTGAGGGTGGGGAAGGTGGTGGGGTTGCCGGGGACGGCGTAGGAGACGTCGGAGCAGAAGGTGAGGTTGAAGAGGATTGCGCAGTTGCCGTCTGGTGGGGGTTAGTCGGGGTTCGGTAGAGAGGATAGGGGGGAAGGGGGATAAAGGGGAAATGGGAGATAGAGACAAAGGGCAGAGGGATGAAAATGGGAAAAAAGGACTACTAACCAGACTGCGTAGTAAAATTCATACTCTGCCAAACGCGCCCCCCACCCCCCGGCGCTCTCTCCGTCGCATTCCCGGGCAACGCCAAAATCCCATAATACTGCGAACTAGCACTCAGCCCCTGAAAGTAAAACTGCTGCTTCGGGTGCGTCCCCAGGGTGACATTCGTCATGATCGTCTTGACCATATCGGTGCGCAGCCCCTTCTGCGTGCCCGCGATCTGCGCATAGTTCTCGAGCCCGCAGTACGAGCGCGACACGCCCTGGATCGACATCTGGTTTTGCTGGTTGGCGAAGATCACGTAGGGGGGCGGGGAGAGCTGCATCCATTTCTGGTAGACGGGGCTGCTGGAGTTGTCGAGGGTGAGGTTTTTGGTGGCGAGGAGCGCGGAGCTGGAGTCGCTGTCGATGAAGAAGAGGTCGGCGGCGTCGCCGCTGTAGGAGTGGAAGGGGGCGTCGATGGAGACGCCGACTTCGACGTTGTAGACCCCTTCGTACTCGGTGGTGTTGGGGGCCTTGACGGCGATGTAGACGTCTTTGCTGGCGTCGAATGTGAGGTTTGCGAAGCCGAATTCGGCGGCCACTGTTAGTTGGCCGTCGGCGGGTTGGGAGGCTCCGAGCGCTGTCTGGTTGTCTCCCACGTACATTGTTAACTGAGGCGGAGGCCCTTGGGGGCCACTGGAGCCTTTCGCGTTGCTGGGCTGGAGGCAGGTATTCAGCGTGATATATACAGTCCTCGTTGCGTTCGCTCTCTTGTGTATCGAAGACTCCTCTCCATCCGCCGTATTCAATGCGCCCTGTCCACCCCCCTCACCCCCACCCTCCCATCTCGGACTTAATCCAACAGACGGTAGCCCCGTTGATCCGCTGCCAGCAGGAGCATGCGGACCCCAAACCGTCTCGTTCAGGAAGACGAAATACATCGTCTCCCCCTGGTTCAGATTGTACGGCCTCGCAATATTGTTGGGTATCTCATACGCCATCGGCAGCTGCCGCGCGTGCAAATCCTCCCCACCCCCCGTGAACTCCACCTGGTATATCATATCCTCGCCATCCTCCCCCTCCCCGCGCGCCGACACAAAGGGGTCCAGTAACCGCTCATGGTTGTGGTCGTCGGGTAGTATCGAATCGAGCTCGGCGGCATGGGCGAGGTTCCCCGCGAAGATTGTGAAGAAGAGGAGAGCGACCAGGCCCGTGGTAATCATGGATGGGAGGAGGCGGGGCTGGAGTAGTGGACTGGGCTTCGACATCGTGGTGTTGTAGCCATGCGCATGTGGCGCTGACGGCGAGGCTCCCCGCGCCAGATACGAGGGCGATAGATAAATATAACTGATGCCTTGTGTAGCTTTGGAGCGAGTGGCGGTTACGGTGGCGGGATGGTGGAAGCGATTGACTCGGGTATTAATATTGTAAGAGTTATGAAGATTATGTATTTCGTGGAGAAGGATCAAAAGAGTGTCGTCTCTAGCTGATCTGCAGCTGACAGTTTGATGACGCTCCTCCGTGCTTCCTCGTGTTTCGGACTCGTCTGTACTTCGCCAAGCCTTTTAAGAAATGGTCTGGAGCGCGACGACACCCGCCATGTGCCTCTGGTACACTAACATATTTTCCCCTAATTATTTTTAGCCGTCCAGGAACGGCGTTATTTTTCAACAGTTTAGATTATAATCACCTGGATAACTCAAAATCTGGTAAGGGGAACATAATCCATTGTGATGACCAAACAAAATATCTCATTCAGTTTGAAGTAAGTACATCAATGTCGATGACAGACATCCACAGCTCCCCTGGAGAATTAAAAATAACGCGGTAAGTCAACTGATAATCATCGCATCCAGCCCAACACAAACCAAACAATCACGCCTTTGCCCACCTAATCCACCATGGATTACCAAAAAAAAGCAATCCCATATACACATACACGCCGTGCCCCCACACAAGTCTACATCATAAATATCATCCCAGGATCATAATGGGGTCCCATCCGTGCCCAACCAGTGACCCCTTGTACCCTAGTTTGGAGCTTTGAAGAAAGCTTCGAGAAATGTACCAATTCCCAATCGCAACGTGAGGCCGTCAATAAGTGTCATGCTTTGGAAATTTTAAGCTGCCTGTGCGAGGTTGATCGTTCCATCCATATTAGGGGTTCCCATTTGAGCATCGCTGAAGTTGAACTTGCTCATGGAGAACTCGTCGTCTGGCGTTCGCATGCCAATTCCACTGTCGTCATGTCCAGAAACGACATTCATAGCTGCGCTGCTTGCCGTGTCCATCGGACCTGGAATCGTAATGCCGTGGTCATTAGAGCCATTCATATACTGCTGACGCTCAAAGTCGTCCATAGGCAGGCCATTATATACATTCGGGTTCGATTCGGCCGCTCGGTTCTGGTGAGACTGGACTATGTTCTCGTTCCGCCTGGTATTGGATGTCTTGTATTCCATGAAACCACCCTTCTCGGCCATGAAAGATATCATCTCGTCGATCCAGCATTTTGTGACCCACCAGGATCCAAAACTCTGGCCGGACTTGATAGTGAGATCTCTCATCACTGCTGTGCCGACGCGTTCAACACACCATATAATGTCCGCTGGGCTAGCGTACGAGAATCTGCCCGGAATCGACACCAAGAAATTGACCCATCGGTCGAGGACATTTTCTGTCGACGAATCTAAGTGGATGCTGGACTCTCTTTGGTTACCGCTTCGAGCTGACATATCGCCGTATGGTGTGACACTTTCAATGTCCCAAGCTACCGTAACTGGATCAAGGAGATCTCGTAGCTCTGTTAAGAGGAGCCTTGCCACATCATCCATTGCCCTCGTTGGAATGCATTCTGCAACCTTTCGGAGACGCACCATAGATATCCAATCTTGGTACATCTGATCCCGATTAGGAGGATGAGAAAGCATATTTGCCGCTGCATGGGCCGTGAGGTTGACTCTGCACATGCGATCTAACAAGCCAGCGAATAGGGTCGCAGGGGCGACCTTGGCATCGATGACGTGAGCAGGCTGGCCGTGGAAAGATGTCTGGATGTGAGAAACCAGGCGCTCTGAGATTGCATGCAAAGTATCTAGAATTTGTTGCGGTACAACCTCAAGAGTCAAATGGCCTAGAAGTCGGATCATCTTTTGGTACATGATGAAATCGCATTCTTCTATCCACGGCGCGATACTCTCGTGAGCAAAGAGTTTCTGTACCGGCATGGTGAGGGTGCCATGAAAGGAAGTGAATAGATAAAAGAAGGTCTTTTGTTTCACAAAGCGGATCGCGTCCACTAGAGAGGTGCAGTGGGAACGATATAACGCTGTCAACGCTGTTGCCGAATCCGGATCTGTCCCAGCTGGGATGAATGGTTCAATCTTTGGCAACGTGATGGGTTCATATTCATGCATCGAATTGTCCGCCGGTGGGACAAAGCACAGATGCTGGGTTATTTTGCCGTTGTATTCGAGATCCTGGACGTTGTGAAGGACTGACTGGTTATATAGACTACGTGATTGCACAAAGCTAGATGCAGGCTTATTCGTCTGCTCAAGGACAGGTGAGAAAGCCATGCCTGGAAATTCTTGTTTATCCACCGGAGTGTGTGACGGAAGACTGCAAATAATGTTAGCATCATAAGAATCCCCTAGCAAGTTATAAAACATACCTAGGTTCTTGCGCGAACCTCTTGGCTTCTGCCGTCTTCATGGGTTGGTATTTTTGCGTTGATGGATTCTCAATTAGGTTTGGCTGATCTTCCTTCAAGCTGAAGTTGACATAGTGATACTTGGATTCACCTCGGACACCAAGACGCCTTGTTTTAAGGCCAGGGAATAGAACTCGGACAAGCTTGCCGAAAGACGCTGGGTTGAGTACCGTGACGCGTTCCGTTGCACACCTTGAAACATAGTTTGCGTATACGCGACCTCTAGGTACTGACCCTTTTCCTTTGTCACAAACTTGGTTTATCCTGCAGACATTAGTGCAAGTTAAAGACTGTAGCTTCTATAGCACATACCAGATCATTGCAAACACCTGTCGCATCCTCTCTGACTGCGGGCCCCGTTCATTGCCATGCAGCTCTGTAGCTACTTCAGGTAGTTTGCGGTGCTTATTATTTTGAAATAGCTGACGCATCTCAAGTTCATTTGCTGCACTCGACTTCGAAGCCTTTTTGGGAGCTCCATTAGCACCAGCTAACGAATCGACGTCATCCTGCTCATCGCTACGGCCTTCAAGCATAGGACTATCATCCTCCATAAAACTTGTTCCATAGCCGTCTGTTGGTAGAGACCGCCGTGCATGTTCGGGCCTATACGAGCCGTCATGCGAGTATCCTAAGGTATGGTTGACCGCAGCACCCAGCGCGGGGTCGATGCCATAGTCCCGGGGGTCTCGGAGCTGCGAGGCGGACTGCATAACCATGTCTTCGGCAGTTACATGGCCGCCACCCGCGAATCTTTGTTGTTGCTCGTTCTCAAACCATTGTTTCTGGTATTCGGCGGGGTTACCGTCCGCTTGTTGATCGTGTAGCGAGTGGGTGGCGGCACTGTGTAGACTTGTTGTTGATCCCCGGGAAAGCTGGCGCTTTCTCCCCTTCATAGAGACAGCCGTGTTTGAGCGCGAGCGACTTTTCGTGGGCACCGTCTCCGTTTGTGGTTGGGATAAATCTGCTAAGCGCTTAGTATTTCGCGTTGTTGGGATGGTAAATAATGGCATGCGCGGTATGGATATTTCGCATTGCGCAAATGTAACGCGCAGCGGCAGTAACTACATACCCATTTGTTTGTATGTAAAAGATGTATTCGAGAGCCCAATGTTTTATTGTTATATAATATAATATCTCATTATCTGGAGCGGGGCTGGGGCTTTGTTGTTGATGATGTTTGGCGATTGTTTGCGGCCGATGACGGGATCCGTGTTCTGGTGTCCTTGGGGAATCACGTCTCGAACTTTCGCTTCTTCAGGATTTGCCCGAGTATTCAGTCTGGACGTAGTTGGCGTATGGTTGCTGCATCGAGGTTGTCGTCGATCAAATTGTTCGATTCTTTGCTTGTTGTTTACTCGCATCCTAGGTATTCTGGGTTAATGAGGCAACCTTTCGCTTATTGATCTCGGAACGGCGCTAAACTCGAAAGGAGCTTGACTATGACGCCTGGGGCAGAGTGTGTGGGCACATCACCACAACGTCGCTCAAAACCAACTTTCCACTTTCCATCAGACCTTTTCATCATCGCACTACCAACATTACAAGTTCCATCGCAAGCTCAGTTTTCGCTCAACATTCACACGTAACTCATTATTACAAACTGTCTATTTGACAAAATCCACTCTATCGACTCTATAGAGCTTATCAAGCTACAAGATGTCGTTCCAAGATAAAGCACAAGCTCACCTGAGCCAGGTCGACAAGGAGGTAAGTCTACGAATGCCTTTGTCGCAACAAGTTAGAGCTGGCACGCAACGGCCCCAAACTACACATACTTGTTAATCGTCAGGAATGTTCACTAATGATGTCTTTCAACTAGCTGTCGAAGTATCAGGTCTTCAACAACTTCGAGAAGCAGACATCCATCCCCAAGGTCTACGCCGTTCTTGGTGTTGTCGGCCTCTACTTCTTCTTCGTTTTCTTCAACTTTGGAGGTCAAATCCTTACCAACTTTGCTGGTTTCATCCTCCCCGGATACTATTCCCTTGAAGCTATCTTCTCTGCCGGCAAGGCCGATGATACCCAATGGCTCACTGTACGTCATGATCACGACCTTAATCTGTGTAAACAAACTTTGCTAACTCGCGCGCAGTACTGGGTTGTGTTCGGATTTTTGACGTAGAACACCCCGAATCCCTTTTTATTATATTCTGGCTAACTTATCTAACTATCACAGTGTGGTTGAGAGCTTGATCTCCGTTGTTTACTGGTTCCCTTTCTACTACACCTTCAAGCTCATCTTCACCCTCTGGCTTGCGCTCCCCCAGACTGGGTATGCCCGTTTCCCCAATTGTCAGAGCTCGAATCGTCACTAACACAGAAGCAGTGGTGCCCAGCTCATCTTCCGCTCGTTCTTCCAGCCCGTCTTCTCGCGCCACTTCCAGCAGTCGACTGCTTCCAACCTTCGCTCCAAGGTTGACTCAGCCACCTCGGACAAGACACTGTAAGCAGCTACCAGCATGCGCTGCATACATCCGCTCTTGCAGGTGGAGCTCGGCTCCGACAATCACACGAGAGTGGGGACAGTAAAATCAATGGCGATAAGAAGAACAGAGTATGCACGTGATACTCTAATGTGGAATGAGACACGCGGTGTGATGGGTATCGATATCATGGAATGACTTGACTTTATTTTCGTTTCTTTATACGGGAAGCGGTCGCTTGATGTGAATAGAAACGTTGCGCGAGGGTTTATGTTATGGGCTGAGTTACGTATCATTAGATGACCAGGAGGAAATTCGTTCACGATTGGCAATGATTTTAAGGACGGATTAATCGAACGGATGCTTTCAATCTGGTAGTTTAATGACAGTCGTCGTTGTTTTATATTTGCTCATGGTGATTTATGGTGTCAGCTCTTGCTAAAACCAGTCCTGCCTCTCCCTCTGCCGAATTTCACACTCGGTGGCACAAATCGGAGTGCGGAAATTGCTCCTGTAAGACCCTCAATCTCCGCATCTTCATCACCATCCTCCGGAACAGCGGCCTTTGCGTTGGCAAGGACAGGGCTTGCCACGTCCTGCCTGGTAGCACCATCGGTTTCAGTATTCGCCATCGTTGTTTCGGAGGCCTCGTCCGTGTTGTCCGTCTCCATGGTCCCTGACCTATTTCGGCCTCGGCTCTCATTGTAGATCTTCTGTTGCATAATTGAGCTCCTTCGTCTATGCCTGCCAGAACGGAGCATGGAACTTTTCCTGTCGATGCCATCATTGACGACGAAAAAGTCGTACTCCTTTGGAAACGAGTGTTTGTCGATTAAATGTAAACGACGCTTTTGAGGAGTAGAGCACTTCCTATCACAATCCTCGACGAAGCATGCGTATGTATGTTCACCCCGGTCCCTAAGAACCCCAACGAGGGGATCATGGTTCTCTGCCTGGTGGAGACTCAGGAAGTGTTTCGTGGGGAAATTTTTCCGACATTCGACGCAGCGGTTGACGTGTGATTTGCTGTAGTGGACTTCATAATCATCAAAGGAGTGAAATGAGAGGTCTGGTCGGTGTCCTGGTAAAGAGCATCTCATTACTTCGACAGTTGCTGCTCCGCTGTGCTCGGGGTCGAGATGTACTATCTTCACCGCTTCGTATGCATTTGGGTCTGTTGGATGCGGAGAAGCCCCAGAACTGTCTGTGGCATATACGGAATCGTTATTCTCGGAGAGTGGCGGAGGATCAGAGTCTTCTCGTGAGCGTTTGACCATCTTTAATATGTGATAGTGGGGTAGTTACTTGGTGGGCTTTATCCCCTCCTCAGCACTTGAGCCAGCTAGCTTCTTGACTTTCGGTCTGTGGAACGCTGTATGGTTAGGTTTGCTCGGGAATACAAATTACCTCTAGAGAAAGATAAATATATCTTGCGTGAGAGTTGCCAGGGTATCAGTATGTCGTTTATGTCGTTAATGTCTGAATGTTGATCAACAAATCGAGGTTATCGTTAATCATTTCAGCCTTGTGGGTTGCGTTTGGTAGGGTGGTCCCAGCGTTGGAACTAGTGCCGCTTTGTGCACTATATTTCGCCAAGCCTTAGTGGGACATGTGCGGCAACCTTGCGCGTTACTTTGCTTCCATCGATCTCGACGAAAAGTGAGATATACAAATGCGCCCGCGGCATTTCCACCACAACCAAAATTTCACTCACTGAGCAAAACGCTCTTGTCTCACCTGCCATCTGCGCTCATTCTTTTCAGCTGCTTTGATCGGACTGAGGACCACAACTTATCTCCTGCTAATGGCTTTTCCCGATTCAATCACTTTGTCCAGAGGCATCTGGGGCCGGCCATAGTCCGATCTCTCAAGATAACGATAACATGGCAGCCAATGCCGAGGTGCAATGGCAGTAAGTATATAGTGCATCCTATGTATTGCTTGCTTTAACTTGGATATTTGCTGACAATTTGACCAGTGCTGCGAAACAAATCCATCGAGAACTCCGAGCGAAACTGAAAGAGAGGGAAAGTTTGATAGGCGATATTGAGGATCTTATATCGGAGTATGGTGCCCCCTCTTATTCGTTCACGGACAGAAACTAAATAGTCCCCAAGGTTGCGCGTTGCATGCGAGACTACGATCTTCGCCGACTTCGAATACGCTACCGCCGAGGGTGTGGAAACTGCTCTTTGGGAAGCACATAGTTCGATCAACAAGCGATACCGAAAAATTGTCGCCAGGCTGAAAACCCCCGAACAGAAAAGAATTACAGTCGAGAGACGGAAATGGGAGAAGCGATATGCCGATTTTCTCAAGCTGAGCCAATACTACTATAAAGGCTACATCCAGCGGCTGGCATCCCACTTCGATGGCCTCGAGGAGCTGCGCATCATAGCGCACCGGCTTACACTGAGCACACTCTCAGCTGATCCTCCCGTGGAAGTCTCTGAAGATCTGAAGCACCTTATCCTCCTGTCATGCCACTCAACCCTTCTTCGACTCGGCGATTTATACCGATACCGCAATGATCTCAATACGAAAGATCGGAGCTGGGAGAAGGCCAACGCTCACTATGGGCTTGCGAATGACCTATATCCAGACTCAGGGAGAGCATTTAACCAAATGGCAGTTATCTCGCTGGCGGATGGTAATCATTTGGATGCCGTCTACTACCTGTATCGTGCGTTGGCAGTGAAGGAGCCCCATCCATTGGCGCAGTCAAACCTCGCGGTTGAATTTAAAAAGATTACCACAACATGGCTTGGACCGGCTCAAAAGAGAGATTCGCCGGTTGGTAACCCTGCTGCGGGTATGGTGCTATGGTTTGTCCGCCTTCATGCTCAGTTGTACAAAGGAGAAGATTTCCCCAACCACGATGAACTCGAGAACGAAGTATTGAGTCAAATGACCGTTCTTCTTAAAGAACAATCACTGGAAGATATTCTGGACAGAATTGTTATTATTAACATTGCGGCAGAGTATTTTGCTGGTGTGAGACTTGCAGGTAATGCAACCCCTACTACAGCTTTTGATATAAACTGACGAAAACTCAGAAGCGGAAAGTGATGAAGCCAGTGAAAGATGCGTCCAAGCATACTATTTCTACCTGAGGCTTAATGTCAGGATGCTGTTTATGCTTCTTCAATTACTGCAGCCAGAGCTTGATGATGCCAATCATGGCCATAATGCTCCGGATGTAACTGGAAAAGAAAAGCAAACCTCCGCCGAGTCCATTACAGCGGTGACTCGTCGAATCCTACCCGCACTGCGTCAATACAGCACATGGTTGGTGGCCACAGCACCTGTTATTAGCGCTCAAGTGGGAACCGCACCCATATGCATTCACATTAAGGAGATGTGGTCAATGTACTGCACCACCTTGAGTCTTCTTGTTGCAGTGTTCCCTGTGGCCGAATTACCCGATATTGATTACTTGCTGGAGGAAGACTCTGCTACGGTTGGATTTAAACCATTCCGGGACAGCACTCTTTGCAGGCTGTACACGGATAGTGAAGATAAGCTGAAGAAGCGGAGCACAGATCCAGGAGTTGAGCGCCATCATCCGAATGTAGAAATGATGGCGAGGATTCGAGAAATTCTAAGAGATGGCATGGTTCTCGCTACGAATACTGAGTATCCTATTTACGCGGTGGATGGTCAATTTCGCTTTTTTGAGGATGGACCTCCTCCGTCAGCACTAGAAGATGCAAGCCCAATGACACAACCGTCTGAATTAGAGACGCAAGCGAGTTCGAGGTTCAGCTATACCGGCGAACATCAACGTGTAATTGAGCTTAGCAGCGAGTTCAAAAGGCCTCCAAGCGTCGATCCGTCCGAATCTCACCAGAGCCTATCTACGGATATGTATCAAATGGTCGATGACCTAGTGACTCCATCCAAGATGATCACAGATGGCAATGTCAACGGAAGCGCTGAGACTTCTTATGGGATGCACAGCAATACCGCATTGGAGGTGTTTGCTTCTTTTCAAGGCATGAACCAAGAACCTTATCAGCCGACTCCTCCTAGAATATCGGGTTTCCCCGGATTCGCGCCTTCACCTTTCTCGCCCCGTCCCGGAGAATTGCAGGGCTCAGGACATGAATGGCCACCAGTTACTAGAGGCACGGGCAAAGAAAATTACGCTCCCATGACATCCTTCCAACACAGTAGTAACAACTCTACGCCACATAGCAATTGGGAGAGAACACCCTCGACCGCAAATACCAGCTTTCCACGCGGTGGACCGTCTTTCAATGCCGCTCAGCAATTGCAGCAGTCATTGGAAGCACAGCATCAGCCATCGGGCTTTTCCAACAGTAGTAGCATCTACCAGAACACCCCGGTTAATCATCTTGGTGTGAACGGCAACCAGACGCCATATAACCTTCCACGCAAGCTTGGACCAGGATATGCACCACGAAGCGAGTATGAGAAGCAAGTTATGCTTCAGAGTTCCGCTTGGAACGGCAGCCAGCCAGCAGCCTATGCTCGCAATGACCCAACGCCACCAAGTGGGCAAGGTAGCTGATCCATATGGCCGAAAGTGTCACCGATCGAGGGACATTCTATCTGTACCGAACTAGAGTACATACTCACGATGAACATAACGTCGACATGAGACAATAGTTCGCATGAACCATGCCATACATCTTCGGTAACGAGTCACTGCCAATATGCGTTCATAGAAATCCAAGAGTCAGATTGACATCTGTCTTATTCTATATAGCTGACTTTTTCTGTACCTGGCTATGCCTGATCGTGGAGGATCATAACTATTCATGGCATCATCATATGCGCTCTACGCCGAAGGCGCCCCCCGGTGTTGAAATCCATGGCCCGCCCTTCTTTAACGCCGCATTTACTGTGAAAGGAATGAATGGACTAATCTAGGCAGAACGAGTGTAGGTCTGCTTGGGGAATGGGTATCTGAGAGGTGCAGTGGTTAGCAAAGTTCATTACAATAGGGATATTGAGTGGCTCTCATAGCATAACAATGACAATCTGTTGCAACCCTGCGCTTGGTGCTGTAGACCGCAATGTGATGTAAGGAGTTAGGAGTATGGAGATGTGCACTTACGAAGGTCCAAGCTCTTGGATACCAAGGCGGGCCAACCACTGGCCCATGTCGACGCTCTCCTCGACAGACTTGTTCTGAACAAGACCAGCAACGAAGCCACCGGCGAAGGCATCACCGGCACCGTTGGTGTCGCAGATAGCCTTGGGGTCAATGGCGTGAACTGGGTAAGACTTGGTGCCCTTGCCCTGGGTAGCGACGATAGTTGGGAGGGTACCCTGGGTGATGATAGCAAGTCTCTCCCTCTTGGTGTTCTCCTTTGGCAAGTCGGCCAAGTGCTGGGCGATCTCAGCAATGTCAGTGGTCTTGAGACCGTGGCTCTCGGCGTAAGCCAAAGCCTCGCCCTCGTTACCGATGACAACATCCCAGTATGGGGCGCTCTTGTCAAGGGGCTCCTTGAAGAACTGGCAGATGAATGGGGCGGAGAGGGAGACGACGAAGGTCTTGTTGTCCTTGGCGGACTCCTCGGCGACGGCCTGGATGGCCTCGGGGCAAACGGTGAAGTGGTAACCGCCGACGTAGATGGTCTTGGCCTTCTCAACCAAGCTCCAGATCTCGGGCTGCTTCAAGTGGTCAATCTTGTAGTGGTTGGCAGCAGCAAGGTCGGTGCACATGCTGCGGTTGTGTCCGGTGATGATGACACCGCAACGTCCGGTTGGGTGCTCAGCATCGACGCGGTACTCAACACGGAGACCGGCCTGCCTGTTGGCCTCTTGGAGAGTAGCGGCGTACTTGTCGTTACCGACACAGCCAATGTAGACAACCGACTTCTCGGGGAGGATGTATTGTGCGCCACGGGCAGTGTTCTGGGCTGCGCCGCCAGCGATGAGCTTGGCATCGAAGTTGGTGAGGAGGTCCTCGTAGAGTCCGAGATGCTTCTCCTCGGCGAGAATAGCATCGTTCTCCTTCAGGCCATACTTGTCAAGGAGAGCTTGGTCTCCGGTAGCTTGGATGTCTAGTCTAATTAGCTTATCCTCAATCCATTGATACTTTTATCATAGAAGCAGTTTCATACCAAGGAGGGGGTTCTCCAAGCAGAGAAGGGAGTATTCGTTGGTGGCAGCCATTGTTGCGGTTGAGGTAATGAGGGGTTGGTTTTTTGGTGGTTGTTTATTGTTAAAGTGGGATGAAAGGGAAGGCGGGGGAGTTCTCGTTTATCGTTATCCCAAGCTGATTGAGACCAGGGGGGGTACACCGATCGCGGGTCGCACCCCGTGGGCACAAGCGCAGTCGGGAACATAATGCAATGTTAAGCTCCGAACTTCACCGATGCTATATGCTCCTCAAAGTAGGGGTAGCTAGCTGTTTGTCAATAAATCCCTACATCGAAGATCGCGATGTTGTTGCGATAATTCTATGTCACTCTGTGGGGGCTCCTTTGGCGCATAAAACTATTACAGCATTTCAAATCTCCAAACTCTCTGCATAACCCTGTGAAGAGAGTATCGATCGACAGGAAAGTTGAACGAGCAAGGGGTCAGCTATATGCGTTGCTCTTCTTATTTCTCAAAGCACCCGCAATATGTCTCATAAAGTGAGCCCAAACCAATCAAGTTTGGCCGAGGAAAACCCCTCACACAAGCCTTCGCACAAGCATGTCACACAAGATCAGTCATTTTGAAATCTTTATTTCGTCCTCGCTGTGCTCCATTGAAGGTACATAATGCTAAGCCAGCCTTGTCCGAAACTAAATGAAATCCCAACAGCCCAACGCTTAATCCTTGACCTTCTGGGTACCGCGGAGCAGACCAGTTCTGCGGGCAGCAATAAGACCGGCCTTTTGTCCCTGGACGGCGTATCTCGAAATGGTGGAAGCCTTTCCGATATGTTGATGGTTACCCTAAAATGTGTCAGCGTACAGCCTTGAGAAACCGGGGACCGTAGAAAACTTACACCTCCGTGAGGATGGTCGACGGGGTTCATGGCAACACCACGAGTCTTGGGCCAAGAGTTACGCTTGACAGCGAACTTGTGCTTAGCACGCGACGCCTCTGAAATGGGTATTAGCATGCTGACTATACTGGAAAAGCCAAGGGAAAAACGTACTCATGAGGGGCTTGTCGGTACGTCCACCACCAGCAACGATACCGATCATACCACGGACGCTGCTGAGAACGACCTTCTTGGATCCGGATGGGAGCTTGATGCGGGTCTTGCCCTCATCAGGGTTGTGTCCAATAACGGTAACGTAGTTTCCGGAAGTGCGTCCAAGAGCACCACGGTCACCGATCTTCTCCTCAACGTTGGAGATGACGGTACCCTCGGGGATGGAGCCGACTGGGAGAACGTTTCCGACGGTCAGAGCAGCGTGCTTGCCGGCGTAGATGAACTGGCCGGTGTACATGCCCTCGTTGGCGATGAAGGTCTCGGTCTGGAGCTTGAATCGGTATGGGTCGCGGAAAACGACCTTGGCAAGAGGCGCACCACGTCCGGGGTCGTGGATGATGTCCTTGACAATGCCGCGAATGTATCCGTGACGCTCAGCATAATCGAGGTTTCTGAATTGTGCCGGTGCCTTGTTCAGGCGGGTATTCGCCGTGAAAATGGAGCCGCGGCCCTTCCTCTGGTTGCGAATAACTCGTCCCACTTTGTGTATGTTAGCAAGTATTCCATGTCGTGTGAATGTAAGTGTCTCTTACTGTTGACGAGACTTGTTGGCGGTCGTCGTCGTTGTCGTTGGTGGTCGAGTCGATTGAGAAAAGGGAAGACCTTGAATATTTCAACATACAACAACGGTTGTGTGGGCGCGAACTTTCGAAGCGAAGGGCTAGCCAATGAGAGGTGGGTACGCTTAGGAGCGACTTCAGACCCACATGCGAGCGCCCTTAGATGACTAAGCACACCTTAAGTGACGACGAACGTAATTTTCAGACACCGATAGAGCCGCGATAATGATGCGATATGGCCGATTAGAGGCATGTTTATCCAGAATCTCTCATAACTCACCGAGAGCTCATTGAATGTCCACTTTATTTATTTATTCACAAGCCTTAAGCCGAAGAACACTGTGTGCTTGACTTGACACGTTCATGCTATTCCTGGTCACCTCTTGCTTCACATATCATCCAGGTTTCTTGGGCTCTCCCTGTGATCGCGATGCGCGATTGAGATACTGGGCATTGGCATTGGTGCCACGAAACCCTCAAAACCCAACTGCCTCATCGGCCAGTGGCAACTGTTTCCCTGCACCCTATGGCAGTAGCCACCGCGTTGATCCAGGCATAAGCGTCGTCTGTTGGGCTACGACGAAAATCAAAGCCAATTAAAGCTAAAGGCCGGCCCGGGCTAGAAACCCGCCGAGATTCAATACCCTGAGAGTCAAGTATACGGTCAACAGGAACAGCTTTGTGAGGATCGTTATAGAATATCTAACCAAAGAATATATAGTTTGTCGTCTTCGCCGCGGATGGAAACCAGCAATGATCCCCACATGGCCTCATTACGAAGTTTCCCACTCAGGAAACCTGACGTTTATTATTCAACCGCGATCTCGCTGTAACATCATATCGGGAGAGCTGCTTGATGTTGGGCTGGTCAGATCTACACCACGTGATGACGTTACCATGAAAGAGCGCAACTCCAATAGAAAATTATACAGCTGGAAATGAAACTGATTGCATCTGACTATCTTTCCAAAGCCAAATTGATGTTGAAAGTCGTGAAACAGTTTGGATAATGGTTCATTGTCCATTTCTAACTTGATTCACAGCCTTGTTTTCAGTAGGGACGATCAAGCTCCCGCGTTACGCCAACCCACCCTCGTCGTCGCCATAACCGCACGCGTTCGACCACGACTTCCTAACCACACCACAACATCAGCATCATGATGTCGGACGACTCTTCAGAGCTTTCGTCTGTACCTTCCGAGGATGAAAGCGATCTGCAGCTAAAGAAAAAGGGAGGAATACTGAAGTTCTTTTCCAAAGTCAATCCCAAAACCGAGAAGCCCAAAAAGGCAGACTCGTCCCCTCCGCCACCAGAGAGAGAGCCTTCACCACCGCACGAATATGTCTTAGCAGACAATCCTGACATTGCAGTATGTTTTCCCACTATAGTTCGCGGTTTACGCGTCGATATACACGTTATGTCGCGTAGAGTGTTGTCAGTGGACCTTGCTAACTATATTATCCCAGTTCATCGTCATGTTCCGATCGCGGTTCACGGAAGCCTTCCCCAAATCTCTCGCCAACTTCGGGCCTCAAGAGCTTGAGCGCGGCGTTGTAGATACAGTACCAGGGGAGCACGTTGAGCATTTCCTCTGCGCTCTCCTGGGCCTGCTCCTCAATCGCAAGCAAGATGTTAAGGCCGGCCACTACAACCGCGCACTCGAAGAAGCTGTACAGACACACAAATCACAATGGGCGAAAGATTGGGAGAGCAAGAACCCATTGCTTGGAGGGGCAACCTTTTCATCAATGGGTCCAACAGAGCGTCTTACACTTCTACGAACACTCGTCCTCTGGTCGTTATCTTCATCGGATGCTGTGAAAGGCATTATAACTGCATCCTATAAGCAAAGCAGACACGAGGATGATCTTAATCAACCCCTGTCAGTCCAACCTTGGGGTTCTGACAGCTATAAGAGACGATACTACCTAATCGAAGGGTTGGACGACACCGCTTTCCGAGTCTATCGCGAAAGCAACCCTGCGGGGCTGAAGCGGACCTGGTGGAGTGTCGCGGGTGATATCGAAGAGCTGAAACAGCTTGCTGAGAAGCTAGGAACTGCGGACAATGGGCAAAGGGCGAGAGGACTGAGTGCCAAGATGACTGCAGCAATCCCAAGATTCGAGGCCACAGAAGAGGTACGCTATTTAACGCATATTCCAGAGCGCGACTTCCGAAGCTTCGAGCTTTGCGCAAATTTTGAAAACTTCCATATGCTAACATTTCACTTCACAGAAACGCAAACGACGCGAATATCGTCAAATTCGCAAGCAACAATTCAAGCGGCCGGAGCCAAACTTTTCTATGTACGAAGGTCGAACACGTGGAAAACGAATCAAGTACACATATTCAGATGATGAAGATGATATATACTCGGATAGCACGACCAGGCGGTCTACTAGGAACACAGGCACGCACACGCCTGCTGAACCAGCTGGGCCGACCGTTACTCAAAGTGGCCGGCAAGTCCGTTCTCGTCTTGGAGGCGCGTATGGCGAAAGCATGACTGGTAGCAACCAAGGGCCTGGCGTTGCTGTTGGCGGATACGATGGAGGCAACGAATCGCTAGGAGAGGATGATAGTATAAACGGCCGCCCATCAAGACGCGCGGCAGCGGTAAGTAGAGACAGCAGCTCGCGAAAGGGAGGTCGGAATATTGAAGGGTATAATTCTGTTGATGATATGGACGATGAAGATGATGCGAGCGAGCAAGATTATGGAGATGACGAAGAGGAAGAAGATGCTGTCTCGCTGGCAAGCGAGGGGGAAGAAGATGACGACGATGAGGTTGTCGATGATGATGTTGACATGGTTGACGAACTTGATGAACTTGATGCCAAGAAGAGCCTGGTTGTGTCTTTACCCATCAAGACCCCAACACCTGAGAAGAAGCGAACAGTCCAGTTGATGCCCTTCCCGGCAAAGGATTCCATGGATCCAAATGCACCCGAACCTACCCATAAATCACCTGAGCTACGAGGGGGTGGCAACGGTGCCTCTGCCTCAACAACGACTCAGCAGGTTCCAGGCGCGCCCCAACCCGAGTCTGCTGCTGAAGTTACGAATGGGACAGCGACTACAAACGGCCAGAGAGATACGCCTAGTCACTTGTCGCCAACTTTGGCATATCGCGGGAGCCCTGAAAAGCCGCAGTCATTTCCGTACCCAATCAATGTTGGTCAAGGAGGGCAGTAGATTATTGGAGCATTAAAAAATTACGGCATTGTAACGGAATCGGACTGATTGTGGTTTATATGGCATAGACAGAGCGATGGTATTGAGCGCTGAAGAATGGAACTTCGTAGTTTATAGTGTTGGTATAGACCTCAATACAAGTAATGGAGATATATGACTATGCAATGACACAAGTGACGACATATATGAGACAATTTAGGCCTATTATTTATTATATTTGTGGCCGCTGTTGTGATGGTATTTTTATTTGCTTGGGCTATGTTATAATAAACCTCGAGATTTATAAATTCCAAACATCAAGCGAATCAAAATTGCCGAAAAATATTTAACCTCATATAATTCACATGACGTCGAACCACCACAACACATGACTATACGACCTAGAACAATTCGATATAAGTTTGAGTGGCATTTTACATTTAATATATTGCCGTAATAATATACACAGATCCATTGGACGTCATACGTTGGCCCAGGCCATGGCTGAATATGTGGTAGCTGGGGCAAATAGACACCCTGCCGCAGCAGACTGGCATGGCAAGGTCTTAGCTTATGGGGCAGACAGGAATATTGCGATATGGAGTCCACAGGTATGTCATTTTACATCTTCTTGTTGTCAGATATGGGGTCTCGATCTTTTCTATGCTGCAGTGCTGCGAATTCGCGGGAGTAATATTTACGTTATCTGAGCGGACTATCCCCAAACGCAATGCTACTGCTTTATATATCCCGAGGAGAACTGGCCCTACCGAGATATACGCAGAATGTTTTATAGGAATTTACTTACATAGAAATAGGGAGGTCACCATGGAGTGACAAGGTTACTTGTTGGCCACACCGATACGGTGAATGTCGTGAAGTTCATGGAAACCACGGCCGGCCTTCTACTTTTGTCAGGCTCTGTGGACAAAACGATCAGAGTATGGCGTGCAGCAGACAGCGGAGATGACTTCAAATGCATACAGATTCTGGAGCAGCACGAAGGTTCCATAAACTGCATTGCTGTTTCCCCCAACTCAAACATTGCTGCAAGCGGATCTGCCGATGCAACATTCAAGATCTGGGAGTTTGATGCTGAAACTCAAAACTTCGTGCTGGTACAGAGCATCAGCACTAAACCTCGATTCTTCTCGTTGGCACTCGCCCTAAGCCCACTGAATGGAGTACCTGGATCCTACATCCTAGCTGTTGCAGGCACGAGCCCAATAGTGCAGCTTTACGTTGCTGATCCAGCGCCAAAAGCAAGGCTAGAGTTTAAGCTGAAGGCAACATTAACAGGTCACGAGGGATGGATTAGGTCACTGGCTTTCACAAACGAGACTGATAAGCCCGAGAGCGATCTTCTCCTGTCATCTGCAAGCCAGGATAAGTACATAAGATTATGGCGCATCCATCAAGGCAAAGAGTTGCCAGCAGTGGCAGCGGCCGGCGCGGACCCTGCCGCTGGTGCATTTCTCCCAGGAAAGTCGCTTTCAAACAAGGCCCACAAGTTTGTGGCAGGGAGTGAGGACTATAGTGCGACATTTGAGGCTTTGCTACTGGGACACGAAGATTGGATCTATAGCACTGCTTGGAAGCGAAGAGAAAACACTTTGCAGCTCCTGTCTGCTTCTGCGGACAACTCATTGTCAATCTGGGAACAAGACCCGAGCTCAAGTGTCTGGGTGAGCGTTACCAGGCTAGGTGAGATCAGCGCGCAGAAGGGCTCAACGACAGCAACTGGTAGCACCGGTGGATTCTGGACAGGCCTTTGGTCGCCAAATGGGGATACGGTTGTCTGCTTAGGAAAGACCGGGAGTTGGAGGTTGTGGAATCGGAACCCGGAGAGCGATCAATGGATGCCCAATTTCGGCGTGGGAGGTCATATCCGCTCCGTCACTGGCGTCGCCTGGTCAAGACGTGGTGACTACCTCCTCTCGACTAGCTCGGACCAGACCACAAGGCTTCATGCGAAATGGATTCGTGGTGGGGGCGAACCGACGTGGCACGAAATGGCTAGGCCGCAGATTCACGGCTATGATTTGAACTGCATCGATAGCCTGGGAGAAAGCCAATTTGTTTCCGGGGCGGACGAGAAACTCCTGCGTGTCTTCAGCGAGCCTCGCGCCGTGGCGAAGCTCCTTCAAGACCTCTGTGGCATCGAAGGTGACAACGTGCAAGCTATGCCCGATGCCGCAAACATGCCCGTCCTGGGCCTCTCCAACAAAGCCATAGAAGCCATGGACGACGACCAGGAGATGGAAAAGCCATCAGAGCATGACCGAGAAGGACTTGATCCCGCGACTGCAGTGCACAAGTCCACGCTTGTTATGAATCACCCACCCCTCGAGGACCACTTGTCGCGGAACACGCTGTGGCCCGAGATCGAAAAGCTGTACGGACATGGTTATGAGATTTCTGCTCTTGCTGCTAGCCACGACGGATCTCTTGTCGCCACGGCCTGTAAAGCCAGTTCGCTGGACCATGCAGTTATCCGCCTCTTCGACACGAAGACATGGAACCAAGTCAGCCCTCCTCTCACGGCACACTCTCTGACTGTGGCGCGTCTCCGTTTCTCGGCGGATGATAAGCTGCTGCTCAGTGTGGGCCGTGATCGTCAATGGGCTATATTCGAGCGCGCGTCGGAAGGCGGAAACGAATATAAGCCATTGTACGCAGATCCAAAGGGGCATTCGAGGATGATTCTGGATGCGGCGTGGGCGCCTGGCCCAGAATACATATTCGCGACAGCGGGGCGAGACAAGCAGGTTAAGCTCTGGGCGAAGAGAGGGGAGGGCAGTGTCGAAGGTGGCTACGCGCACGTTACAAGTATCAAAGAAGATGGCCCAGTCACAGCCATAGACTTTGCAGGTGCACTTTTGCAAGATAACCGTTCATGGCTCGCAGTTGGCACTGAGGCTGGAAGGCTGGCTATATATTTAATAAGCCTAACGGACCTAACGGTAGTGAAGAAGGTCAATGTGAACGCAAGGTATGACATCCACCTAAGTAATATGAGCATGGAACTAATTGAAAGCAGTCTATGTCCTGCGAAGGCAATTACTCAACTCTCGTGGAAGCCCGTGAGCGAAACTACAGATATCAAGGAGGAGGAATTCGAATTGGCAGTGGCGAGCGAGGACTGTTCACTCAGAGTCTTGTCGTTGGGAAGGTTGTTATCGGCGTCGCCTTGATAGGCCCATAGAATAAAAATAGAGACTCAACGAAAGCCCCCAACTACGCATACACTGGAGGTCCTAATTTTCCCATGACCGTAATTGTTATGAAATTTTGAAATGTTCATCTGAGTTATCTGCAAGGGCAAATAGCCACAGAATGATCGGAATACCCCAGCCCGAGAAGAAAGTATCAACGCTGTTGCTATGCGCTAAATGGCCAATAATGGCTCTATGTTGAACTCCTGGCCCAGCCCGATGTTAAGCTCCCTGCCATACCCTATGTTGAACTCCATGTCATGCTCAGTGTTGAACTCTATACACTGCTTAATGTTGAAACTCCGAGTCCCGTTCGATGTTGAGCCTTCGAAGTCTGCTCGTATAATGCATCTTATGCAAGCCAATACCACCCCCTATACATTGCATCGTACCCGAAATATACGGCCAGCTTTATTTTGGCTTCTCTGACGGGTCTGTCGCCTACTCCTTATCTTTGTACTTCTCTGCTCCATATCCCCCCATGCCACTTTGCATGTAAGCCGTACCTTCGCTGCCTTGGTTTTTCCGAGGTCCCCTCGCCTTCAAATCATCCTTCAGCCATCTCAAGACTAGCTCTCCTAATCTGCTGTTCCCTGTATTCGCTGTCGTCCGCTCGATTTCGAACTTCTCGACTGGACCCCAGTCCTTGACCTTTCCACCGCTCATGTGCACTAGATGAGTAGGCCACTCCGCTAGGTTGTCCAAGATATGCGTGGCATACACGATCGTGCACTCTCTTATCTCCGTCTCCCTCTTGAGGAAGCCGAGGAAGTTGCTCCGAGTGAGCAGGTCCAGGTCGACTGTAATCTCGTCCAGAAGCAGAATGCGCCATGGCCGGATCAGGCCCATGGCAAGTTGAACACGGCGCCTCTCGCCATCAGAGACAGCATGCATGCGCCACTCTGTATCAAGATCCAGGACGCTAATCAACTCGTCGCGGCGATCCGGGTAATGGTCTCCGCCCACACTCTTGAGGAGCTCGTTGACACCAATGTCGGTGCGCACAATCGGGTTTAGGACCCATTCCAAGCCGAGGTAGGTGACGCCGTCGGTATGTTCTTTGAAGGGATCCAAGCCGCCGATTTTGACAGTGCCGGGCGGTGCAAGGCGCTTGCCAGAGAGGAGTCTGGTGTACGCGGTTAGCAACTACAATGCTAAGAAGTCTGGGCGGTGCACCACCTTAGCAAGGTGGTTTTACCACTCCCGTTATGTCCAATGAGCAAAGTCCGCGACCCTGGAGGCAGGTTCAGCGAGACGTGGTAGAGCCCAGTTGCGAAGTTTGGGAATGTGTAGGAAAGATGCGTTACAGATACAGAAGGAGGGTGGGAACCCATGGCGCTGATATCGGAACGAGTGTTAGTGCTTTAATATATTAGACCTTATATACGGCAAGATGAGATTTTCGAAAGCAAAGTATTGACTGTATCTGAAAAGGATTTATGGTTATGGTGGCTTGTTTATTTGGAGCATGGGAAACGACTGGTTGACAGACAGCCCCTCCATCGTCACGTTATCATGACAGCTCAACAACCAACATGCGGGGTAAGTTTTAGGGGGTGTTGAAGCTGCTCGGCAGAGTAAATTTCAGTAACTCGCCATGTCTAAATCGTGGATAACCCGGTAGCTATAGATTTATTATGTGGTATTTTACAATGTAACGCTCGAAGTGAATGACTTTGAACGACTTGATATAATAATTATCATTGTCGGGGGCAAATAATCTTTCTGCTCCTTCATGCTCTCACCATAAAATCACGTGACAGCTTCGGTGACGCCCTCGGTAACTTCCGATAGCTGGGGAGGTTGTCCAGTCAAAGTAACCATCAGAGCTCATCCAGAGCTCAATCATCGCCCCAATCGACACTCCAGGCATACCGACTTGAGAATGTCTTCAGATCTACCGCTTCAAATTGGAGAGACGTTACAAAGTCTCTCTATCAATCGCAATCCCTCCACGACCCATGATATCAACCCGAGCACCGCCGCTTCAGAAAAAGTACCCGTGACGGTCGAGGAGACAACTCTGGACGCCGAGTCGTATTCTTCGTCGCTTGCCGGCTCAGATATTGACGATGAAGAAGAATACTCCTATAATATTATCCGCCCAACACGCCGGCGGCAGTCACTCCCTCCGCTTCCGGATCTGCGATTCGAACAGAGCTATCTAGCTAGCATTGCGGACGCGGAGACATACCAGATGGTTGCATATATCACAATAAGAGACCAAGTATGTTGCTATAGCTTGAATATTCTGGGTTTACGCGAGAGACACTTGCTAATATACAGCAGGTAATCCTCCCTCTGCTTCAAGGCACGATGTGGACACTTGCTCTCCAAGGCTGGCGTCACTGGAACAGAGGCACAAAGCTCTCTGGCAAAAACGCTGGTGCACGGATTCGACGCTGGTGGTGGAGGGTCAACAACTGGCCACTAGACCAGAGTGCATCTTCAATTATAAGGTCGGCGAGCAAGGACAAGAAATTCGCCTTTAAAACCAAGGAGGTGAGAGGCGACCCGTTTTCGTGACAGGCAAGTCGCAGGGGCTGACTCCATAACCTTTCCAGTTCTATGAGATGCAACAGAGTTCTGGTGGAGATTGAACAAATATATATAATGGCAACATGGGTTGAAACGGTGGAGGAATATGGTCGCGACGGCTGCGATGGATTTACACCACTTTTTTCGCAACCATGATGGGATAGCAATCTGGCTGGAGTTTGGAGTTTGTGGAGCGTCAACGTATATTGGCGCCTGGGAGCATAGAGCACATCTTTCAGTGCCGCGAGTACTGATACTGGCCTGGAGTATTATTCTCCAGCGACGTCCAGGAGAACAAATACCCACCAACGGGACATATCCGGAAAGGAAAGAAGGGCTTGTATATAAACATATACTACTTCGTGTTACATTCTATAGACTCGAAGTAGACCATGTTGTACATTATAATCCATGCATTGAGTCTGAAACTCGTGTCTGGTCTGGTCCGCATATGCTTCATTTCAACATTATGGTACTGATAAGTAGTTTCGAAGACAATACTGGATATGGTATTCTAACTATGAGATAAATTCTTGTTTGGTTTTCCCGCTAGTTGATTTTGAACTGTGTTGTCCTTGTGGCTTTCCATGATCGACCTTGTCTGACCTTATGAATGAGGCTGAGAGAATGACCCCACTTCGATGCATCCACCCAAGCTATCGCTTGTGACTAAGCTTCCAATGGTAAAAGACAACTTGCAATTTCTGTCTTTCTTTCGAAAACATCAACAGCTCCAAAAGAATTTTCTTTTTGCTATAGGTTCCATCCAAGCTAACAACCATGTCAGCTGTGGACATGTTCTTTGCGGCGCCGCCAGTGACTAGGTATGCTCTACTTTCTTCTTGACACTGGAAAGGCAGAGCTAACCCAGGCTTCCACAGGACACTGACGGCGCTCACGTTTTTCATTTCCGTCGCCCACTATGCTGGTCTCGTACCAGGCATATTCAATTGGATATATTTCCATCATTCACACATATTCAAATTCCCACCTCAGTTGTGGCGGTTTGCGACATGCTTCATGCTCACTGGCGAGAGGTTTAGCATCCTGATGGACCCATACTACAGTGAGCATGGGCCAGGTTCACCATCCACCGAGCTTTACTAATATGTTATAAGTGTACATATATGGGAAGAAGTGCGAGACCGGCTCGTCCAAGTTCACGAAGCCAGGAGATTTTTTCTTCTATCTCGTTTTCGTGTGTCTAGCGCTCCTGGTAGGCTCACGCCTTTTCATTTACTACTGTCTCTTTTTCTGTCTACAAAACATTACCTTATCTATACTGCCCGCCCAGTCTAAATATAGCTGGTGACGGTTCCTGAAGACAAGGAAGATCGCCCCTTCGCCTCAGCAGTCCCGTCATTCGCAAAATATTTAGGGGCTGTTGGGGTGTTTGGCATGGTGGGATGTCCTTGAGAAAAACCCGGACGATTCACCAACGCGCTCCGGGTGGTTGTGGCTCCCTACATCTCTTTAAGAGAAAGAAAACTTTCCGTGCATAGTGCCCGTGCAAGGATGACGTTTTGTACTAAACTTTACTAACACTGGAAAGGGCGTCAATTATGCCATCTTTGGGAGCGCATATATTTTGACATCTGCGCTTTTCACTGCCTTCGCCTACACAGCGACGCAGGATGAGGGAGGGCAGACGAGAATATTTATTCTGGACGTCCCTACGCGTGCTCTCCCACTGGCGTTATGCTTCATGACCTTCGTGTCTGCGGGGAGCATGCACCCTGCATTGGTTCAGGCGACGGGAATTCTCGTGGCCCACCTCTATGACTTCCTCACGAGACTATACCCTACGTTTGGAGGAGGCGTAAACATTTTGACCACGCCGACCTTTGTTCGCCGTTGGTTCGAACCGAAGACCATCTCTGTAAGCCACAAGGCTCATGGCACGTCGTTTCAACCCGCCGCGCCGCGGGCGGCTGCTTCAGGATCCACGGCTCCTGGTGGGGTGCTGCCGGAATCGTGGAAGAGCCGTGGATCGGGCCACAGACTTGGCGGTGATTGAGTGGGATGGAACCACTTTGACTGTAATTTAAGATTAGCGGGAGTAAGATAGCAGAAGAATGAATTAAAACATGAATTACTACAATCGCTGGCCTGAATGCCTATTTGCATGTGAAGGCGTTTGGAAGCTGTGTCATACGCAAAAATAATTGTATTGATGCCAGCAATTTAAGCGGATGCAATTTCTCTCGTCCGCCTCTATTTTGAAGAACGATGATAATTATGGCCTTTATTTTACGTTTGCTGTAATCACTACTATCATGGATATATAGTTCCTCTCGGATTTTTGGGTGGTAAGTTCATCGTATGTTTCATTATATTACGACTAAAAATTACAAGTAATGCTTGCGCCCAGCGCCCAGAGCCATATATGCAGCTGGTAGCACACTACCACCCTAACTTCATGCCTTATCCAAGGCCCGGGCAGGCAAGTCATCAACGTCCATACCATCGCTGGTATCAACTCTACCTTCAGAGCTGTTACTTAAAGCAGGGATCAGCATAGGCATGCCGCTCTTTGCCTCCATCTCGACTGACTTCCCGTCTGAGAGTTGTGAAGTTTCGATACCACTCTCCTGCCCATCTTTCTCCATGACCACGTCTTGCCTTTGTTGGTTGGTTCCGAAGGGATCATCTGTACTACTCCAAGGTGCTTGATGCTGGTCGTGGGTCGTTGCGGATGCGCCTCCATCTATTTTGAACTGAGGGGCTGGGTTCAACCCCCCTAAGAGAACTCGGTTTCCATCCTCAGCTGAAGAATCCTCGGAACCCGAGTTGAACTTTCGTTTCGGCGGCGACCGAGGCGAGGTGATATCCGTTGAGTTATCAATCAGCTCGGGATTCGTTGAAAACTCCGCACGGAACGCCAGGTTGTCGGCGCGAACAAAGTTCTACGTCAGTTAGCTGGTGATAATTATTAATGGGAAGGGTGTATCTGACTTCAAGAGGCTCTGGCAACGGGCGGCGGGGTTCAGCAAGTGCTGCTTCGCTAGCGTACACGATTATGCAGCATTTAATCTCTTTGCTGGCTGCAAATAGTACTTCGGTTTGTGCGACTTTCTATTAGGCAGTATGGTCAGCCATGAGCACGTTTTATGATCGCAGTGGAAGCTTCTTACAACAACGTTCACCTGCCGAGAACCCGACGGCGAGTACTCAATCTTCCACCATTGATCGGCATCCTTCCCAGTTCCGTCTGCATCTAGATCCATTTCAATGAGATCAGGCTCCGCTCTCCTCCGTACATAGGTAATGTGATTCGAAATGGAGACTCCGCACAGCGTATATTTCTGTATTGGCGGCTGACCAGCCTCAGTGGCAGGTTTGGTGTAGAGTTTGGATAGTTCTCGGAGGCTCTCCCGAGCTTTCTCCTTTTCATCAGCAAGTGCTATTTTCAATGTTAGCAAAATATTGAGCTGCAGTGCATCTTAACCGACCTGTTAATTTCTTGTCAATGCTTTCCAGCACGTTCTGAAGTTCCGCAGAGATGTCCAGTCGTTGAGTCCGTCTTGTTTCAGAACTCAGCTCCGTCTCGAACGAGTCCGAATCAGTACCGTTCAAAGTGTTTGGCGGTAGTAAATCTTTGTCATGCCTCATTGAAGCACCGAGCAAGTCTTTAACTTTGACCGTCTTTAGCATTGGGAACGTGTAGTGCGTAAGCTTATTCTCCAGAGCACATATTTTTTTCATACGGTCTCGGATAGCAGCTTTCCTTTTCGACATCTCAAGAGAAGCCTCGACGTTACTCTCCATGTAGCGATCTGGATACCAAGTAGCTGGTACCTTTATGCCTTTACCACCTTCGTTACCTGTTATACGGAAGGCAATCACTTCTCCCAATTCTTTGAGAAACGCCCTTGTATTTGTCTCCAGACCTGACATCATCCAAAGGGCATAGTCAGCAAGATCGTAAAGGGTCTCCACGTCCTCCACTATACTACTATGCGGTATGTCGAGGTCCAACATCGCAAAATGTCTTGACTGCAGAGCTGATTCGCCTAAACCTGGCTGTACCGCCTCGGAGAAGAGAGACGAGACTGGTACCCGTTCATCGGGCTTGGAATATATTTGATTTAATGCCTCGAAGAATTTCTGCTCCGCGTCGATGGCCTGGGATTGTCTTAATGCAGCATTATTTACTAAAGGTTCTGCTGAGCCGTAGCTTCGATCCGATTTATCAAGAAAGGCCATCAACCGTTGAGTTTCTCGAATAAACTCGTCATAGTCTTGTGGAGTAGGCAAGCCCCAGTCCACATCGTTGGATTCGGGTATGGCTGAATCTGGTAGCTCGATGGCTTTGCCTGCCCACCACCCAGGATCGTTTCCATAATTAGGTATTAGGTTGGTCCGGTCCAGAAGGATCTCTCGAATCAGAGGAATCTCATGATATATTGTCAACATCTCTGCCAAGCGGTTGTCTTCTGCACTGGGCTTTAAAAAAGCCGGCATACTATCCTCCCTCTTCCGATCGATAGCATCTGGATCTGGAAAAAAATCTTGGACGGAACTGTTTCCCCGGACCATGCCCCATTGATTTTCGTCATATGTGGGCTTGTTCGCTGGACCGAATTGCACTGGCCCTTGTGTGACTCCGTATTGTTGAGGGGGGATCCCGGCTTCTTGTGCTGATTGTGCCAACGCTCTTTGTAGGTCGATATCAACGATTTCGTCTTGAGCTAGAGTGGCTCGGGGATCAGCTGGTACGGCTGGTTAGCATATAGCTTGCGCATGCATTCGGTGGCAGCCTACCTGCGGCGTGTTCTTTATCTAACGATATAATTCTGCCAAGAGGCGACGTGTTGCTTGATCGTGACGGAGGCCTCGTGGGTGCACCGTAAAAGCTTCCACCGCCTGGGTCATCAGCTCCCTGGACCTGGAAAGCTGCAGAAATGTGTTAGAAGATCAGGCGACACGATAGTAGCACACGGGTTCGGGTTGCGAATGATATAGTTTGTGTACGCACATATTCCAGTATTGTTGTTCGGTGCCCCATCCCGATCACCGTTGAACGCGCCTTCCTCCCAGTTATACTATAATCCAAAAGTCAAATCTTCGGCTCCGGAACATTCAATATCTCGTAGATTCTCACCTTTGTGCTGTTGGGGTTATCGAAGAGCTCATTTAAGGCGAGGTTCAAATCATTATTGTTACCCTATGATATTAGCGCAAACACCCCTAGAACCCATAAAGTCTCTAGCTCACCTTTAGTCTTCGAATAGCTTCATCTCTCGATATGCTGGCCATCATAACCATCTGCTCGATGTCCTCGTCGGGAGGCTGAGCCGCCATGGCTGCAAGGCTGGCCGCGCACGAGTGAGCTGAGTCGGTTCCTTGCAAATCGAAGCATTTATTGAGAGACTCTGCATCGAGATATCGCGTTCCAGAGATCGTTTCCCGGAGATCGTGCGTGGCAAGGAGGCGCTGGGTGGCTATAGCCTGTGGCCAGAGCTTAAGGTCCGGATTTGAGCTGCTGGTATGGTGCTATTTAAGGTGCGGGTTCATATATGGATAGCGATTACGGCAACAACCTTACAAACAGCCAACATCCCTGTGAGCTTCCGTGCCGATTTAGCGCGCTTCTGGAAGTTGCCGCATATGGACGACGACGACACATTGATGGCTTTTAACTACGGAGGACAAGTGTTGGACTTCTGTTTAGCATCGATTAATTCTATTCACAGTACTTTCATGACATCGTATCTGGAACACAAGGGATATATCATTCATGACTTGTTTATTCACAGATATGCTCTTCGCATTTAACTCGCATTTGTGCCAGCCCATCCAGGATCTTAAGCGGTCCGCGAACTGCCAGCCAGTCCATGATCAAGCCCAGATTCCTATAACCGGTTGGGCCGAAACACATTAAATTCAGAATCAACTCGCATTTAACTCGCTGTCTTGACCATCAGAAGATCTTTCTCATTTTTTTTGTCATTTCTCAGTACCATCATCAATCATTTCATTTCATTCATCCGTCTTCTCTCTTAAATAGAAAACGCCTTTCGAAGTCATAGCATAGCCCTTCCGCCCGTGGACTAAATTGAAACATCATAGTAAATGATGCTTGATGTCCGCGAATTGTAAAGGAAAGCATTCCGACGCTCACCCCTCCTATTCGCGAGAAGACCTTTCAAATGGTCCTCAATTTGCTGGATATATCGCTTCTCTGCGGGTCCAACACTCTGGGCCAATTGCTTCCACTTGTCCGGATCCGAAAGAGGCGTCTCTTTGATCTTGAAGAGAACATCGTCCGTAGTCTCGATAGCTAGAACTTGGCCATCCAGGAACCCTTCCACAAGCTTGGCAGCAGCTACTTGGGCTTGGTTTTGGATGCTGTTTTTAAGGGCGGCCTTCTTAGCTTTCGTCCCAGTGGTAAGGATATGAACCTGCTGCTTCAAATGAGGAGCCATAGGACCGTCATTGTTACTGGTGCGGCGCGCCATCTTGTTGAGATTCTGTCCCTCGCGATGATCGCGATCGCGTATTTGGCCTCGAAGCCAAGAGACTACTTGACTCTCCGCCATGTCCACATCCTCGACGTCCTTTCGTCCCATGGTCTTGATTTTGACCATGGAGTCCTGCTTGATTGTAACAATCCAGAAGTGATCATAGTCCTTATACTTCGACATCAAATCTTCCGGTGACCGAGCATCACCCGCAAGTTCTGCGCTGATCTGGTTGCGCCACAGCTCATTCATGAGGCTGACTCCCTCAGAGCGTAATACGTGACCATCAAAGCTGCCCACCAAGACGTCGCACTATAGCCAGGAGATTAGTACTTCTGTGCATGGAATGTAATTTACATGCTCTGGAATTCGACTTACTCGTTTACCCGTCCAGATACCACGCAATTCAATTGCAGGCTTTTTGGACTGTTTTTTGATAGATTTCTGGTGGTATGAGAACATAGATTGAGCCAAATTCTCCCAGGCAAAATTGAATCCTACAGCATGGCAGACCTCAGGCTGCCGAGCCGTCTTAGGTAGGAACTCACGCACTAGACTGTCATAGCGGCCGCCAGCTGCAAAGACTTCCTTTTTGTCTCTGTCATAAAGACAGGAGAAAAGCATGCCACCCTTGTAAAATCTCTCGCGAATGCTACCCAAGGGGGTAATGAAAATCTTGCTTGTCACGCCAAATCGCTGTATATACTTGACGACATCTTTGAGATGGGCGATAGCTGGAGAAGCTCTGTTGAAGGCCTCAGTGCCGTCCAGGAGAGTCTTTAGTTTCTGGAATACTCTGTCAGGCGAGTCTCGGAAGTCAAACGACGAAAGCTCATCGATGCTTGCTGCGGAAAGACCGTTGGAGCGGAGATCAGTCTTGATTCTCGACCATGTCCACTGGGAAACGTGAAGTTTGCTCAACGTCTCTGTTGCGCTTAATCGGCAACCAGCATCGACTCCGCAGTGATCGAAGATAAGGTTCAGGATATCTGAGTGGTTGAGCTGAAAGCACATTGGCACAGTGGCCATGCAAGGGAACGACGCGATGATCTCATCTAGGACCTTGATAACTTCCGCCTCTTTAAGCGCCAGGTCGAGTGAGTCGGATACAATATCGAAATTGACTTCTCCGAAAGACAATGGCTGGCCTCCGCTTTTGTCGCGAAAAACGTCCCCGAAGGCGTAAGAGTTCTGCATTCTAGGCGGGTTCTTGGCGATGGAACGGGCGAAGGGCAGTGTTAGATCGTATCGCAACTGGACCAAGGTGCCACCAGGTTCAAGGAGCTGGACAGCATCCGACGCATAGTAAGACGAGCGTGGGAACATAATTGGCCTCGGGACCTCCAGAGCTCCGTGAAGTCTGAAAACGGAGATGAGCTGCTCCTTAACATGGGTTCGCATGATGCTGTCGGCAGGCGCAGGAGGTTTCTTATTGCTCATATCCCATGCCAAGTCTTTCGCCTGATCAGTTGGGCGAGAATAGAGAGCAGCCATCATCTTAGGATAGTACGGAGACTTGGGATCTTGAAGACTTGCCAATGCTAACTGGATTGCTTCACTGCCCATCTGTACCGGGAGTTTTCCGCTGTCAAGTAGAGAAGAGCTGCTGGGTCGCACCTCAGGATCGTGGTTCAAAAGAGAGAGGATTATATCCCCAAAGTGACCCTTCTTGTCGGCCTGGAAATCGCTGGGCAGTATGGTCTTTGGGTTTCGGAGCTCTTTCAGCACTTCAGCACGCTCCATGCCAACAATAGGATGATAGCACATCTCGAATAAGATAATCCCGAGAGAGTATAGATCGACCTTACTCGTGTAATCCGCGCCGAGCATTACTTCGGGAGCTACATAACTAGCTGTCCCGATATTGGTCGTCATATCATGAGTGCCCTGGGTAGAAGATAGCGTCTCTGGTATGGTATATTGACCTGATGTAGCCAGACCAAAATCTCCCAGTCTGATGTTCGAAGCCCCGTCGATAAACACATTCTCAGGTTTAAGATCGCGGTGTACCACATTGTTGCCGTGAAGGTACTTTAGAGCCTCAAGTAGCTGCCGAAGGAGGCGCCAAATTTCATCAACGTTGTCCAGAAGTGAGCCTCGCTTGATTACATCTCGAAGGGTTTTGCCTTCACAATATTCCATCTGAATATAAAGAACTGTAATCCCAGCTGGTCGTGAGTCGGAGCGTGTACGGGTCAGAGCTAGTTGGCGCCTATTCCTATGCTGGATTGCTGGGACACTCAATGAAGACGCTTCATCCTCGTCATCTATAATTGCTTCCTCGTTGTCGTCATCGTCGTCGGAGGCTGTATCAGCGTCATCGTCGTCATCAAATTCAATGTAGCGGGACGAGCTTATGAAATCAAGACCTCCGGTGCTCGTTCCAAACTCAATCCTCAAACCATTGTCTCCAGGAGAGGCGCCTGTTGTTCCATCTGCAGTTGAAGAGTCAAGCTCTGTGTCGGCGTCTGCGTCTCCAGTGTCTGGAATGATTTCAGTCCAGGAATTATGGTACTGGACGATATAGGGATGGCGAAGAGCAGATAGGAATTGAACTTCCTTGATAATCTCTTCTAAACTGGATGAAGACTTCTGAGTTATCTTCTTCACAGCATAGAACTGCCCGTCAAGCTTTTTGCGAGCTTTGAGAACCTCGCCAAAGCCGCCTTTCCCAAGTCTTCCTTCTTGAATGAAGTCCTCGTGGTATCTGCTGAAGTGAAGGGGACGGTGATCTACCTTCGAACCACGCCTCGCCGACAACGAGGTCAGGGCTATGGATGATCCTGATTTGGGCAGCGGCATCGATACTTCGTCATCCGTTCCCTCAGTTGTTGTTAGGAATGTTGACATCTTGAGATCGCTGGCACGGGGGCGTTTCCTAGGGTCAGGCGAGAACAGTTTGCGGATCATGTCCTCTAGCGATCTCGAAACAACTTGTTCTTCTGGAATTCTTTGTGGTGCAGAAAATTCTCTCAAAACACCGAGTCCCCAGATCATCTGCAAAAAGATGATACCGAAGTCCCATATATCCGTCTTGTCGGTGTACTGAGGTCTCTCAGAGTTGACGTTCTCTGGTTGGACCCAATAAACCGATCTAGCAAGCTCGAGTTTCCCGGGAGACGTCGCGTTTTTCAACGTGTGCAAGCGGTGCTGAAACCCTACGTCTGCGATCTTAGGCGTTACAACTCCCAAAGGGGATCTTACAAGCAGAACATTCGAGGCATGGAGGTCTCGATGAGTGATTCCTTGAGAGTGGAGATAAGTTAACGCGTCAAGCAGTGCCATGGCCCAGGACTTAACTCTCTCCGCCATGAGACTCCCTGAGATATCGAGGCATTCTTCAAGCGATCCTTTGTTTCCATATTCGGTCAGAATACTAAGAGTCCATAGGCCATCCGAAGCTGCATTTGTATCGCTCTCCTTTGTCAGTTTATAGGCATAAATGCGCAAGATGTTATCCCGATCGATTTTCATCAGAGTGGAGATCTCTCTCTCTAGTCCCGCCAGTTGGGCTCTGAATTCGGTTTTCTTGTTGTTCTCGCTACTCCGAATAGTTGTCTTCTTCAACACCAACAACTGAATAGGATCACCTTTGAGGACCGGGCGTGCTGTGAAGCATTCCGATACAGGACCTTGGCGGATCCTGTAATAGCTGGTAACTGCTTGGAAAGTTCTCTCATTATCAAAGTCGTCAATAAGCTTGATGGGCTCGTCAAACGCCACAACCGCTCTCATTTCCTCGAGATCTTCATCAACAATCTGGTCTTCATACGCAACTGGAGCTTTGCTCTTTCTCCGTGAGTCTTTGGTATTCTTTTCATATCTTGCAACCAGAACTTGAGCATCGGCAGTTAACCTCTCTTCTTCAGCGATCTGGGCCGCTCTCTCGCGAGCAGCTTGCTCCTCTTCCTCCTTTGCAGCTTTAAGAGCAACAGCAGTCTCGTGCATGGCTCTCTCCTCTTCCAAGCTTGGAATTTCTCGTCCAGCAGCCTCTGCTTCTGCCGCACCATCAAGAATTTCCTTCAGAGCTTCGCCGATCTCATGGATCATGGGCTCCATAGGTCGCTCAACAGCCATCTCAGCTGCCTTTGTCTCGACCACTTTTTGAAGTTTAAACTTGGTCCCCTCCCGAAGACTGCGAGGGAACTTGAGAGTGAGGACCGGGGCCGACTTGGGATATGTGGCCGTGAATACCACATGGAGAACCACGGATAGGTTTTCAGTCGCAGAGGTAACCCGAATGTTGAAGGTCGGTTCTAATTTCTTGGCCAGGTGAGCAAGTGGCTTCCGATCTGAGGAGGGGTATTATCTTACCTTCCATGCACCTGGCTTGGTATCTTCACGTTCAAAGTCATCGCCATAGATGGCTCCGAGCACAAGCAGCTCGTCTTCCTGGATTTGGTTATATTCGGATTCTGGAGCAGGCTTGTTGGCTTCGTTGTCTTTCAAGCTTGGGAAGCTCGTGTTGTTCAGTTTGGTTGTCTGCTTGGGTTTCGATCCACCCCATGGATATGTTGGAGCCATCTTATCATATCATGTAAGATGGTTGAGGCTATGCGAAAGAGGAGACAAGAGCAGCAAAAGCTGCCGTGTCTCAGAAGCTAGGTGCGGGCATTGTTTGTCAAGTTGTTGCTGTGTTCTATCGAGGGCAAATGTGCAAAGTTGTTGCTCGGCGACCTGACCGCGACTTTACAATCGAGGAGCAAGGCTGACATCCCCGGATATACATTACGCCGCGCCCTCATTTCAGCCTTTTCCGACCGATGCATGTGCTAATTGAAGATCTATGTTTCAAATCCTATGCTACACTTTGTTTCGGATGTTTCTGTCACCCCCGGAACCATGTTCCTTGTGATAAGCATGGTGGCACCCGACTGACCGATACCTGTAGGTCTTGTCTAGAGAAATTTATGTTGGGATTGACGCGCCACAGAAACAGCTGTGGCAGACTGAACCACAGAAACATATGGGAGACAAACATCATAGAGACATCTATGGGGGATTAATACGATAGAAGCACCTATAGGAGAGGAAATTCACACTATAGAAATACCTATAGGGGATTAATAATATAGAACTGCTTATAGGAGATAGACACCGCAGGAACACCTGTATGAGACTAACACTACGGAAATACCTGCGGGAGACTAACACCACAGAAACCCCTATACATGATTCACACTAGAGAAACCCCTATGGGTGGGGGACATTGTAAAACTTGTAGGTGATTGACGCTACAGAAACCCCCATACGTGATTGACACTATGGAAGCACTTATGGGAGATTGGCACCGGAGAAACCCATATGTATAAATATTATTGTTAAATTAAAGCTTAGACAGAAGCTAAAATGAAGAGAGAAACAAATTGCTTTTGTGGTATATCTAGACATCCATGCGCCATCGCCCTGTTATATATTTGCCTGTTCCTTGTGTCATGATGCCCATTTTGAAAAATCCAGCGCCCCAACCATATTTTCGTCGTCTCCATGTCGCGGCTCGTTATCAGACTCAGCGGTGGACGGTGGTCTCGCTGGTCGATCATGATCGTTGATATTAGTTAAGAAGTTTGCCACTGATGTTCTCCGAAGAGTTGTAAAACTGTCTCTGACACTTCTTGAACTATCGGTTGTCGACGGTGCCTGTCCCTGAGGTGCAGTGCCAGGAGGCGACGTTGTTGAGGTGCTGGCGTTTTTGTACTTATCTCTTAATCGTTGTATTTCCCGATACCGGCTGCGCCATGATGAGATATACTCGCCACCATGCCTGTTGGCCCACACGAGGCAAAATACGGAAGCATTAAGTGCAAGCAAACGTATAAAGTCGGGGAGCGCTTTGAGCCTCAGGATCTTAGTTTCAGATGCGGGAGAGACTTCCGGGAATCCTTCCTTGCTCAAGACCTGAACTTTGTAGAACGAGGTGTTAGGGTCGACGCTGCTCCGATCACGGGTGGCAACAAACGAGGGTCGTGATTCTGGGGTGATAACGATGTTGACATAATTAAATTCCGACGGGAAAGTATTGAAATCGAATGGGTTGCCAGAATTGTTAAAGATTATATTGACGAAGTCATTGCCGATGTGGCGCTTTTTACCAATACACTGAGGATCGTGCTCGAGATTGGTAGGCATCATTGTCGTAATATGGAACACCAACTCGGTTACACGGTCTCGCCAGCAAATTGTGAACTCTCCGTCTGTGTTGTTATTTCTGTCCAATCCTTGTGTATTAAAGGTCGCCTGCTGGAGCTTCGTCAGGGTGCCTAGACCGGCTAGGAGGGCCATATAATCAGTGCTGCCGCTGATGTTCGGCAATATCTCTTTCTCGGTTTTCTGTCCCGGGCCAATATAAACGATGCCCACCTTGTGACCGTCAACTGTAGAAGTGCGATCGAGACTCGAGATGGCACGTTTGATCATGTCGTCATCTGGCAGGTGTATGGGTTGCATGGAACTAGAAGTAGGTGCAAATAGTTGCACAGGGAGATTGCTTGGGAGGAAGCAGTTCTTGTTCGGACGACTTGGGTCTCGTACACCATCAGTTGGGCTCAATATTTGATGAGCTCGCGGTGCTTCGTAGTTTTGGTGAATCATATAGTGTGAGGTGGCAGATGCCTGTCTCTTTGTGATTTGAGCCCAGCCACTTCTTGTAGCTTGTTCGACAGTAATGACACTCTGACCCACAATCCAGCGGGATTTGAGGACCTCATCGTGATTCTTTGATGAAAATCCAGGGTCTCCTTTTGATTCGTCGACATCTGCATACGCTGTCCTGCGCATAAAGTCCAGGGTCACCTCCGCTTGCTCATCTAGCCGCTGTTTGCCAGAATCGTCTGTCCATACAAGATTTTTTGTTATCCAACTAACATGGCTTCCACGGTCTGAGACACGCAGAGACAAAAACCAGTAGGTAATGACGTGATATGCCAAAGTAAACACATATTGAGGTAGATCATTAGAAGAGTTGGTAGCACTGCTGTCCCCTTTGGTACCATCCCCTGATGCGGTTGATGGATCCAAAGCAGAACTCGCTGGACGGCTTGAAACTGTGCTGTTCCTATTCGACATTGACTTGGAATTTTGATCCCGTACATATTGAAGGTAACGAAAGCATATCCCGAACACGGTGCGATATTCCTCGTCCCTGAAATTTGAGTAAAGATTGGGTAACCGCGCAAGGCAAGCTAAGAATTCAAGGATATGGACAGCAACATGGGACTGCGTGATAATCTGAGACATTTTGACCAAAATGCTTCCCAAGACAAGCTTCATCGAAGCAGGAAGTTCGTGGCAGCAGATTGACAATGCATGGATGCAGAACTTCGCTGCTCGTTCCCAAGCACCAACACCATGTATGAGCGACTTAACAAGCTCGTCCTCCTCGCTACGTGAGAAATGCTGGTGATAGCTCATAACCATAGTAAGCGCTTGGAGCACGCAGATGGCAGTATCGGATTTTCGCAGCCCCGAAGACACAGGAGGCTCATAAAAACTCCCGTTCTTGATTTGTTCGCAGAGAAGGCTTCGAAGATGTTTCACCTGAGGAACAGATCCCTTAAAAAGTGCATGGTTGGCTAATTGTGAAGGTAAGTGGACCAGGATATAGCTGTACAGTTCCCAGTCGCATCCTTGCTGTAAAAGTCCAATGACAATTTCAAGCCATATATTGATTTTGAGGGTTTTCCGCTCCATCACATTGTGGGCGGTATTGTCGTCTAGATCTGTTTTGTTTGCATGATCATAGTCAATTGACACTAGTATAGGGCTTGCCTTGTCTGACAGCTGTTCCGGGAGGGCTGCAGGGTCTGGGGTCATCCACATCTGATGGTTGCGCTGAAGGGTGCGGCTCACACCACTGGTATTCCTTGCGGCGGAGGCAGTTGTGTACGACTGACCCGCAGAAGTACTTCGTATCCCGCGAGCATCCTCTGTTCGTGTTGACCGGCTTTGCTGAGCTTCATCAGCTGCTTGCTTCTTGGCTAATGACGCGGGCGTGCGATAGAGTAGCGTTGCTAAAGCTTCCGACTCTGTGAATGGTGTAAGGAAGATCCGGTTTGCCCAATCAGCACGGAGGCGGAGAAGCATCCTCAAGGCGGAAAGGCGGGCTTCCGTATCACAGGAACTGGATCGAACGACCCAAAGAATTTCATCGAAGGCTCGAAGGCATTTTGTTGTAGAGCTATCCATTGTTCTCATGAATATTTGAATGATCCCTCTTGTGATAATACCGGATGGTGCCGACGGCGGAGCATGGTTCTCGAGTGCACCAGATGACCGACTAGACTGTATAGACGGGCGAGAAGCCTGCGGGAAGAGAGGGGAATTTAATCGATCGTTGCTGACACACTGGTGTAATTGCTTGATGATGAACTCAAATTCATCTTGTTCTGCAGTATCGCAAACTGTGACTGCAAAAGCCACAATATCATGAACGACGGCGAGATCATTCTCGTCTGCTAAGCCACTGAGAATGTCGGCGACCAAATTTTGCTTCCTGTCCGTGTCATTATATTCCTCCATCATTTCGACTAGGTCATAGACATCGGTGACTGCCTGGAGAGCTTGTAGTCGTGTCTCGGTCTGCCGATTTCTGTTCAGGAAGAAAGCGTCTAGTAATATTTTGATATTGAGCTCCCAGTTGCTATCCGAAGGGTAGCAGAATCGAAAGTCGATGTAATACCGAATTACCAACTTAGCACATGAATCGGGTATGTGGACTGATACCCTCGAGAAGAACAAAATGCAACTCTCCCGTTGCATGAAGTCGTCGGGCTCCATTGATAGGAGAAGGTGCTCGACCCTGGTTATTAGCTCATAAAATGTTTGAGCAATGCCAGTCGTGATATGAGTGGAGCTATCGGTCGTCGACGACGCAGACGAAGACGAGTTGAATTGCTGCGTGGCCTTGTTTATAACCTTGCCGTCTGATGTTTCCAATGCACGAACAGCGCATTTAGACACTATGTCGAACAGTTTGGTCCAGTCTTCCTCCAATATACTCGAATTTAATGAAGCCTCGTCCTCGCCAAATAGAGATAAAATAAGATGCATTATGTCTTGATCTACCTTGGGTTGGTCAACAGCCAACGACATGGAGAGCGCATCCATGAGAAGGCCAAACGGCACAGGCGGATAACCTCCTTCTCCGCATTTGGCTATGATTCTCTCTAGGACGGAGAGTGACCCGCGAACCTCTCGGACAACCGCCTGCGATTTTTTTTGGTTCGTGTCCGGACGGCGAAGGACGTCGAGAAGGATCCAAATTGTGGTATGGCCATTGTGAGACCTGCATAGATTCCCAATCGTATGCCATGCGTCCCGCCTGATATCTCGAACCATAAAGTGTACAGAGCAGAGCACCGACACAAAATCCTTCAGTTTATCGCTTGGGATTGCGCCGTATGTTACAATTGCATCCAGCATTCGCACACAAGCGCGAATTTCGTTTGGAAATGTCGCATGGACCGCGATGTAGATTATCTCGTCGATGAGAGCTCCGGTTTCTTCATCATCTGAGACATTGAAGCTGAATTTGATGACATTGACAATCAAATTGAAAAGCTGGTGGATATTCGTCTCCTCGCCCAAAGGCACCTTGGTTTGAGTGGATTTGTTGGACGATTGCCTTGGTAATTTGCGTGCACGTTCGAATGCTTCGAAGGACATCCGTAGCCACCGAGTAAGGAGTGGGATTGCATCATAATGAAACCCCGAGAGGTCTTTCCCATTATTTGCCAGCTCAGTCACAGCAGCAAGCTGCAGATGGTAATCATCTGGGTGTAGCGGTGCCGTTAATGTGTTGAAATACTCCTTCCTCTCCAAATCTGTCGCAGAACTATGCTTTACACATGCTGTTAAGAGTTCAAACCCAGTGCGGCGAACGTCGGCGGGGTTTTCAGGAGATATGAGGTCCTTCGCTGCGTACCATATGCTGGTAACACCGCTCAGAGGATAGTCCGAGACGGCAAGTCGGAGAGCATCTGCCGCCGCAAGCCTATCCGCAAAAGAGTTGTCTGGCTTCAGCTTCTCATACAAGTCCTCATACTCCGACGGGCCGCCATAGATGGCCCCCCTCGATGTATCCGGCCCATTCAACTGTTGCGCAAGCTGAACTGTCGCAACCGGTATCGAAGAGGGGGAGTAGGGCGACGACGGAAGGCCTCTGTTCGTCTTCTGCCCAGTCAAGGTTTTGAAGACTCCTGCAAGACCCGTACTCTTCGGTTCTGGAGTCTGCGCTACGTGCCCGGAGGGTGGAGGCATAAGATCCTGCTATCGGACTTCCGGCGAGACGGTGATATCTGTAATGGTTGAAGGTCAGCCACAAGCTCTTTAGCTTGAGCGCATCCGCCTTCGTCCCAGCGACTGGTGCGTGCCGCTGGCAATGTAGCTTGACTTGGGCGACGACTAGTGCTGCGTACATACACTCGTACATACACTCGCCAGGCAAGGCTCAACCAAATAACGCGAAAGGACGGGCTGTCGGGACTTACCACAGAATGGCCGAGACACATGAGTGCGCGTCAGAATTGGTAGGTATGAAGCTTTTATAAGCACGACATTGATGTTGAAAAGATAAGGATGCGAAGCGGGGATAAGAGGCCAGTCCTGGTCTCATTTCACAAGGGTCGGCAAAAGAGCTTATCTACTGTGTACTCTATAGATAAGGTAAGGTCACTTTGAAGGGAATAAGGAAACATGACGATCTCAAAGAAGAAGCTATAAAAATAGTACAGTAAAAGGGGTTATACCTTGTCGACGATCATAAAATTATGCCAATTCAAAACCGCACTCTCTCACCCCGACTAGACATGGTTCCAATTTGAAAGCTATTTTCTTAGTAGCTGTGTAACCCTGACGATGCACGATCATCGACCAAAATGTCGAGATCTCTCAATATGTGGCTTAGTCATCCAACCGGAAAAATTAGTTTATCCGACGTTGCTGCCCGCACTCTGGTTGCCGCTGTTTGTGTTTAGTTTCGAGAGAAGCGGAAGCATACAAATATAACAACTGTGCTTGTTGAACTATTCCCAGCCCATTCAACAACGTATATTCCTGAATATACTTAACATGGATGCTGAACTTCAGACAGTTGCGCAGCTTCTCCAAGCTACTTTGGATCCGCGCCAGCATAAACAAGGTGCATATGTCTATCTCTATCGCTGCCTATTATATGCTGACTATGACAAGCTGAGGCGGAGCTGTTGAAAATACAGCAGGAGAAGCCGGCATTTTCGTTATCACTCTTGCAGATAGTAGCTTCTGAGTCTTTCCCTTTGAACACCAGACTATCAAGTGCTTTGTGCTTCAAGAACTACATCCGTTTCAACTATGTGGTAAGTTCAGTGTCCCGTTTGCAAAAGGCCATTCTGACAATTCATTTCAGGACGAGGAAGGTCGATACAAGCTTCCTGAATCAACAGTAGTTACGATTAAAAGTGAGCTTATTGGACTTATGATAAGAGTGCCGTCATCCATACAAGCACAGCTTGGGGAAGCGATCAGTTTGATTGCGGATTCAGACTTCTGGCAGCGTTGGGATACGCTTGTCGATGTAAGTTTTGCCCACGCCCGCATATAAGTCGATTGATTCTAACTCCGACTAGGATCTTGTTTCTCGCCTGACACCTGATAACGCAAAGGTCAACAATGGAGTCTTGGAGGTTGCACACTCGATCTTCCGGCGCTGGCGGCCGCTTTTCCGCTCAGACGACCTCTTTGCGGAGATCAACCATGTTCTGGGGAAGTTCGCGGAACCGTTCTTACAACTACTTGTGGTATGACTTCAATCTCCAAATAAAATTTATAAGAGTGATAATCTAAGGCGATAATCTCATGACAGAGCACCGATAGGCAGATCGAGGCCAACAAAGACAATGCAGCTGCATTAAAGGAGAATTTTGCAACTATGAACCTTTTGGTGAAGCTTTTCTACGACCTGTCGTGCCAGGATCTCCCACCAGCTTTCGAGGACAACATCCAGTCTATTACCACGCTACTACAGAAATATCTCACTTACGATAACCCCCACCTACACACGGATGACGATACCGAAGCTGGGCCACTCGAGTTTGTGAAGACAGATATTTGCGAAGTTTTGGTGCTGTACGTCCAGAAGTACGAAGATGCTTTTGGAGAGCTCCTTCAACCATTCATTACCAGTGTGTGGAACCTTCTCACCACCATCGGCCAAGAAACGAAATACGACCTTGTTATCAGCAAAGGCCTGCACTTCTTAACTGCCGTTTGTGGGATAAAGAAACACGCAGAGAACTTCAACAACGAGGGTGTACTTGAACAAGTTGTTGAGAAAGCTATACTTCCTAGTGTAAGCCTAAGAGAATCCGATATTGAGCAATTCGAAGATGAGCCGATTGAGTACATTCGCAAAAATCTCGAGGGCTCAGATATTGACACGAGGAGGAGAGCAGCGACAGAATTCCTGAGGACTCTCCTGGGCCATTTTGAACCTCTCCTTACCAAGGTTGTTGGGAAATACGTCGAGCATTACTTTGCGAAGTATGCCCAAGACCCCAAAAATGAGTGGCGCTCTAAAGACGCCGCCATTTATTTATTCTCTGCTATTGCAGCGAGAGGAGCATCAACTTCTAGCCATGGAGTTAAGACAACGAATCAGCTGTTGAATGTAGTGGAGTTCTTCCAGAATAACATCGCAAGCGATCTCTTGAATTCCGAGGGTGTCGAGCCAATCCTGAAAGTGGATGCCATCAATTACCTTTATACCTTCAGAAGCCAGTTGACGCACGAACAGTGGCAGGCTGCATTCCCGCCTCTTGTCCAGAACCTGGCTTCCCCCAATTATGTCGTTTACACTTATGCTTCGATTGCTGTGGAGCGGGTGTTAAGCTTGGTGGATGACTCTGGAAAGCACGTATTTGGCAAAGATCAAGTTCAGCCATATGCGAAAGACCTTGTGGAGCACTTGTTCCATCTGATTGAGAAGGATGCGGCACCAGAAAAGATACAGGAGAATGAATTCTTGATGCGCTGTGTTATGAGAGTGTTGATCGTCATTAGAGAAGGCGTGATTCCAATCACAGACACCGTTCTTCAGCATCTCATCAACATTACTGAGATCATCAGCCGAAACCCCAGCAACCCGCGATTCTACTACTACCACTTTGAAGCTCTGGGCGCTTTAATCAGATATGGTGCTCCTTCGCAGCCAGAAAGGTTTGAGGAAGCATTGTACGCGCCATTTGCCGGAATCCTAACGAACGACGTTGAGGAATTCAAGCCATACGTATTCCAATTGTTTGCCGCACTTTTGGAATCGAGACCTTCGGAGGCTCTTTCTGAATACTACAAAGCCCTCATTACTCCAATTCTTATGCCGGATCTATGGGTATCCAAGGGAAACGTACCAGCTCTGTCTCGCCTCTTGTGCTCCATTATCCCTCGTGGCGCTCAGGATATTGTGGCCAACAACCAAGTCGAGGCGGTCCTTGGAGTATTCCAGAATCTTATAACTAAGAAAGCCAAACTTGAGTCATATGCATTCGACATTTTGGAGAGCGTTATTTCAACCTTCAACGGGTACGTTACTTTGCTTCTAAATTTTGAGGTTTGAAATTCTGCTAACATATAACCTTCCAGCCAAACCCTGGTCACATACTTCCCCGCCATTCTTCAACTCGTCTACTCGCGCCTATCAGCGCCGAATGTGACTGACGCATTCAAGCTTCGATTCGTGCGATTCTATCACCACGTCTCTGCTCTCAACGACCCCAAACATGGATTCGGCGCAGATTATTTCATCGCCGCATCCGACAGCATCCAAGGCGATGCATACGTCCCTCTCTACCTCACCATCATCCTCCCATTCACGCAGCAACTTGCCAAGCCGATTGACCGCAAGACAGCTGCCATCTCTCTCACAAAGACGCTCACCGATTCGGATAAGTTTGCCTCGAAATACATTAAAGGCTGGACTCTTACCGCAGGGACACTCATCAATCTTATGGTGAATGCGCCAATGCCAGTGGCGGATGACGCAGTTGTCGTGGAGCAGGATGTTGACGATCTGACCTTCGGCGTCGGCTTTACGCAGCTGAATACCTGTCGCCGCCAACCGAAGGACGCCTGGCCTGAGATGACGGATATCAAGACCTGGGTCGCGCAGTACTATCGTGCCGGCGGACAGCAGGGAAGCGGAGTCGATGCAGCAACGCTGGCCGGCTGGGTTAACGAGAGGTTGAACGATGAGCTGCGCACTGCCTTTACGGCCTGCCTCAGCTGAGCTAGCAGAATGGAGATGGCCGTAGGCGGCATTTTTCAGGAGTATAAAAGGATAGGGGAGGTGATGTCTGACGACATTTGGCGGGCTTATGGGGAAATCCGGCCAGGGGAGGGAAGGGGCACTACAAGTGTAGAAGGATGGATTTCGAGCTCGGTATTTAGTTAGAATTATGGCAACGATGATACCACGTGTTGTTCGAACCTGAGATATCTTTGATGCAACTCCGATTTCATTTTGAAGTGCCTCCCCGATGTTGTCGAGAGATATAGTGCTAGGGCTCGCACCTAATATTGTGCATGCAGACTGGACTGTGAGCTAAGATCAGATGCTACTTTGTCTTCTTAAATTGTCTCATTTCCCATCCATATCTATAAGTAACCCACAACACGTCCTATGTAACTAAATACAGTACAGTATATACTCCTACACCAGCAACCCCAGGGTATCTATCCAATACAACCCAATGCACCTCCTCAACCCTAGCTCGTGCTCACCCCCTCAGCCGCCAATATAGCCTCCTCTGTCTGTGTCCCTGCCTCCCTCTGCTTCTCCGCCGCCTGTCGCTGCAGCTCCTCCTTTCTCTCGGCCTTTTGTAACGCCAGAGCGGCCTCCTGGCTGCGATAGCTCGCGAGCCTCAGACTCGAAAGCACGACGAAAGCCATGAAGACGATAGCCAGAACGGCGCGGCGTGTCAGGATCCAGCGTACGCCCTCGACCTCGGACTTGGTGTCACTGTTGAGCGCGACCGTAATCTTGTAGCTGAGTTCCTGGATCTACGATGGGTTATTAAATGTACTGCCCGGGTGGGTGGGGGTGCGTGGATGAGTGGAAACACATACCTGGCTCTCCATATTCGAGTGCTCCATCCGCACCTCCATCTTGCGATCATTGAACATCTCCTTCAACTCATCCTTCAGCGTCGCCAAATCCTGCGTCATCTTCTGGTTTAGGATATCCGCCTCATTCTGCAGCATTGTGCGTCGCAGCCGCATCCCCTCCGCGCTCGCCTTGCGCGCATTCTGGATTTCGGTTCGCAGCTCCGAACACGCCGCTTGGAAGAGGTATGTCTCATTCTCCACGTCGCTCTTGCTCACCAGCCCGTCTTTGGCCATGTCCAGGTTGGCTGTGAGCAGTGCTCGCACGATCTTCATCGTCTCCACGCTCTGTGTGGAGGTGAAACCCCCTTCGGCGATCCGCTGTGTCAAAGTATAGGAGTCGAAATGATGCACGTATGGCGCGGGCGCGAGGTGCGGGAGGCTGCCGATGAGGCTCTCGAGCGGGGGATCCATGTGCAGGACTGAGTCTGTAGGAGCGGTGTCGCGATTGGCATTCGGATCTGGTGCGTCATCGGTGGTTTGCACAGGATTGTCCCTGTACTTGTCGGTCTCCACCTCCGCCTTCTCCTCCACTACCGGCGTCGGCGCTGCCGTCGCATCGCCCTTTTCCCTCGCTGCATCCGCAGCTGAGATACCCCCCTCCGCAATCGCATCGCCAGTATCATTCTCAGCAGCCCTCTCCGCCTGGCTCGTTACCCGTCCCTCACCCTCACTGCTCTCCTCGACCTTGTCCTCCCTCCCCTCCTTCTCCCCTTCAACAATCGGCTCAACACCTTTCCCCCTCCTCTCCGCGAACTTTGCCCCTCCCCCTGCCGTCCCCGCAAACCCCGCTCTCCTCTGCCTCCCCGAATGCGCGCATTGGCGCACAGCAGCGCCAGGCCCCGGACACTCGGCGCGGCGCACGGCGCGGAAGAGATGCGGGTATAGGAATGTGAGGCGCATGGTCGACATTGTGGGTGTGTCGGATGGGTTGCAGCTGCAACTTGCGCTCGTGCGTGTGTGCGGGCTGTGAGGTGGTGGATTGGATCTTGGAGCTGGTCAGCGAGTATGCAAGGAAGCTTTATGGTGGGACGGGTGGACGAGGCCGCCGGGGAAGGGGCAATGATGTTCCAGGTGTGGGGTAGACACGTGATGGGGATAACCCGCCCTCATTCTTTTAGGTATAGTGGAATTTGAAATAAGAATCCCCGATTACTTCAATACTTAGTTTCTAAAGTAGAAATGGTTGCTATTACATAATGAGACAATGAGGCTACGAACAGCAACCTTCACCCAGTTACCTAGAAGGCGATTATAGGCCTACGGCCTCTATTTATTCCTGACCCTGTGGCTAACTAACGGTAACGCTACCCGATTGGTTAGTATCGATAAATCCAATAAGCCTCATATAGCGCCCTACATGCATATTACACGGCTCCTCTCATTACTGGCTAGCCTTGCCTCGCAGCCGCCAACCCTTGAATTAAATACATCTGGCCTACAGTTAACATGTAGCTGGTTATATCGAGAACATGTATATCTTGAGATACCCGGAGCCATTCTCTATTGTCCCTGACCTCTAGTGCTGACCTACTTGCAGTGTAGGCTGTGCTGTTATCTCGTGTCAAAATTTATCATCTAGACTCTTGCCGTTACACTCATAACATGTCTAGCTCAGGTGATAAATACGATACAGTGGGCATCGAAGGAATCCGTGTAAGGAAGAGGTAGATCTTGTAGTAGAGCAGGTTATAGCAGTGCGGCCACAGTGCTGTACTTATACACTGCATTAAAACCAGGTGTACTCGTTGATACAAATTAGGGGAGTATGATACAAGGCCTCATTGCGGATGCCCATATCAAGGGTCTTGCGCGTGGCTTCACTGCCTAGAGCTGCCAGCTCATACTACGTGCATGTCGCATACAACTGACAGCATATGTCCGCCAGCCTTCTCGTTTAACGTCTGCCATTGCTCTTCATGCCGAGGCAGCTGATACTTATACACGTGTTGGTAAGTATCCAAATATCTCTCACGAGTAACACTATCGCCTCAAGGGAGAGAATGGCTGACTGGCTACAATGGATCAACAGTCGTTGCCGACGATCGCCTATCGGTTCATTTTACAGAGGGTGAGGAATTGTTCCCTGGCCCAATCGACGTCGTCTTCGCCATTGCCCTCCAAAAATCAAGCAAGTGACCGAGGGCACAGTCACTGTAAATATCACCACCCCTCTCAGTTTCTAGACGACAGTAGAGAACCATCTATGAGGATGAGTTACATGTTTAGTTTATGAGTCTTTAGCAACGACTTTAAATATCATATACTCTAACACTTCTACCTACAATCCCAAGACGCAATGAATACCCGCGATCACATTTTGAACAAACCGCTGGCTATCACTCAAACAGGAAAAGATCCAGAAGTAATGAGGATATCCCTCATAATAATCGGACCACACCTTCACGCCTGCGTTCCTCAAGGCGATCTCCATCACTTTTCCGTCGCCACAAAGGGGATCGAATTCGCACGTAGCGAGATAGGTCGGAGGGAAAGACGGCAAATTTTTACTCAAAGCAGGGAATTGAACAGGGTCGGCTGGGTCACTGTCGATAGCGTCTGCGAGATATCAGCATCCAATATATACCTAGGGAGATGTGGAAGCTCACGATAGAAAGTCTTCATCGTCTTCCTGTTTATGACAGGAGTGTCCTCAACATTGTCGTTGGTCGCAGTGTACGCGGAAACATATTCTTCTGGGATGTTTGAGGGGTGTAAGGTGGCTGGCACTAAAGCGACAATGCCAGAAATCTGGCTTCTTTTACCATCTGCTATTAACCTCTCGGCGATGCCGAAGGAGAGTGCTCCTCCTGCAGACCCTCCCAAAGCGAAGTATCTGGTCTGATCTCCTCCTAGTTCGCTCGCCGCATTCCACGCCTGTGCCATATCAATCGTCAGCATCTCCAACCCATAGGGACGACTATATAACAGTACTGACCCACTCCCATGCGGCGATGCAATCGTCTATCATGGTAGGCATTTTGTTCTTGGGTCCCAAACGATAATCGATTGAGACCACGATGCAGGGGGAGAACTGGGAAATGGCTCGGCATAAAGAATCCTCTGCCTCCAGATCCCCCAAGCACCACCCCCCTCCATGGCTGTAAAGGCAGACCGGCAACTTACCAGCTGCAGACGATCCTTCAGGTTTATAGACACGTACCATCGGGCCGTCTTTGACTTTATGATCCGCTGATTGCTTTTAGTCTTGGTTCATCCTTCATTATCCTGTGTTGCACGTACTAGCAGCCACCACTGAAGGATCTTGAGGCGGCAATTGACTTTTAGCCAAGGCTACAATAGTGTCATATTGCCCGACCATATCTTCGATGCTTCCGTTGAGTACTGGACGCATTCCCAGGGCTTTCTCAAACTTGCCATTGAGTATAAGTTAGCTCCTTCTCTATATAAAAGCAAAATCTGGTAAAACAGTACCTCGAGCCACTCGGGATTATATGTTGCCATTTTGATGTTGACTTTAAGTGAGATCTGAGTGGGTTGTAGTAAGGAGACAAGGTTGTATAATCGCCTAGGTGTTCTTCACTTCAACTTATACTTTAGCATACAGAACTGCAGGGCCAGATATGATTGTGTGCGATTCGCACATAAGTAATTTGGAGCTAGACTGTCTGTGCGACTAATTCATGAGCCTATCATGGTAGTGGGGGACCGATGGGCACCCAGAAGGCGGGGAAACACTACTCTCGTTCTCTATATCGGCTTTGGCGGGTACGCATCAGTCAGCCTACGGTAGCAAGATCAATAGCGTCGAATGTGTTCTACTACATGATTCCCTCAATATATTTGCGCAAGCTAGGGATATTCAAGCGTCGTACATTCACGGGTTCTTTTGCGTCTTAGAGTGTTCAATGTGACAAGATATTTGCATTCGCAGTTTGAAATTTCACAAGAAACTTAAAGGCCCTATTTTGGTATATATCGCACTCACAACGATTGCACCGGCAGCGAGTACCCACCCCATCGACATGAGACTCGAGGTCTGCTGAGTCTCTTCGATTATTCGGCCAATGTGCACTGGACCCTGGGACTGAAGTTGCGCTTTGTCACTCCCAGACACAACAAAGTCATCCCAATCAACTACCGATGTCCGCTCCTGGTATTCAACAACAGTTCCACACCAATTGTTCGTGACCAGTCCATCAGCTGTCTTATACCAGCTCTTACAGCTTGGGTTAGCAAATGTGCTGTTCTGTAGACGCTTTTGGATTTCGACATTATAGCTTTTGATACGCTGTGGGGCAGGGGCGATTGAAAGAGTGCCACCACTGGCACGTGCCTTCATGGTCGCTGAAATCAAAGTGTTGATATAGCGAGATTGTGCTTCTATCATAAGGATGATGGAATTGTGGCCTAGATTCGTGTTGGGCCCGTAGAGCATCCCAAAGTTGGGAAGCCCTTCCACCGCGATCCCCAGGTAAGCCATTGCTCCATCCTTCCAAATATCTTCGATAGATCGTCCATTGAGACCGGTGATTTTGATGGGATACATGAAATCGACTGTTCGGAAACCTGTCGCGAGGACTATCAAGTCGAACTCCTCAGCCTCGCCACCAGCCTTAATACCAGTAGAGCATACTTCCTCAATGGACCTTGTTTCAAGTCTGACGTTAGCCCTGTTTAAGGTTGGAAAGTAATCATCTGAGATGATAACCCTCTTGCAACCAGGCGGATAGTTGGGTGTTAATTGTTTCCTCAATGTAGCATTCTCTGGTATCTGTCGGTCCAACATTTCAAGTGACAGCTTTTTGAAGATGGAATTCATGGCCGAGTGTTCGTCGACGGCTGCATCGTAGAAGCTCTCACGATAATCCATGAGACCAGCGCGATAACGTTTACGAATTGTTGGGATATATTGATACATCCATTGCATCGTCCTGCTGATCGGCTTATCGTCTCGAGGAATCACCCAGTTTGGGGTTCTTTGGTAAACTGTGACATTCTTCGCAACCCCAGCAATTTCTGGTATGATTTGTGCGGCTGTGGCACCATTGCCGATGACCGCGATTCTCTTGTCCTTCAAATCAAACGAACGGTCCCACCGCGCTGAATGCATGGTTTTTCCTTGGAAAAGATCAAGGCCGTTGATGCTCGGATAAGCAGGCACATTAAGTTGACCCACTGCCGACACAAGAAAGTCACTTGTGATGGTGTAGGACGGGGAATATTCGGCCTCCTTCTCACTAGCAGTGCGAACAACGGTCGACCATTGTTTGAGAGACTCATCCCAGGTCGCCTCTTCCACGACCGCATTGAAACGAATATGCTCATAGAGGCCCCATGAATTAGCCACCCGGATAAGATATGCCAGGATCTCCTCTTGTGTTGGGTATTCTCGAGTCCATGAAGGATTTGGATCAAAGGAATAAGAGTACAAATGACTCCATACTAGAGTGAGTTAGAAAAGTTATAATCTTTAATGTGGGAGCATATGGTTTACTGTCACAGCAGCATCCCGGGTATCTGTTGTCGTTCCAAGTCCCCCCAATTTGGCCGCCCTTCTCCACGATTATAAAATCTCGGCTTTTGTTCCTCTTTATCATGTCGATGGCGGTACAAATGCCTAGGAGTGCGTTGTCAGCATCTGTATAACCGCCATCTCTTCTACATATTGTAGTTCAATGATCTCACGTACCTGAAGCTCCAGCACCGATAATTAGGAGGGGCGTTCTGTTCTGATTGCGTGAGGTAGCCATGATGATGATGAACGGAATACTGGTCGGGAGAGATACGAAAATCAAACTTCGAGTAATGAATTGTTTGAAGAGCTCTAATATTTATCGGGTAGCACCACGTAGTTTATGTAAAACTCAGTTGCTGTCGAACTCTTGTCGCATTAAAGGCGATCGACTCAGCTATTGTTCAGTTCAATATCGCCATGCTCCACACATCTCATGCCCCGCCAAACCCCTCACATTATTTAACGCTAGTTCGCCTGAGGGCATGAGTGCGACGTCGTACATTCCATATATTGAATATTCACAGTGGTCATTAAATGCATATTCTCACAATTGCTGGTTTACGGATTGATGGAGAGTTCCCGCGACTATCATGCGCGACTCGCACAAATAGCATCCACTACTCTTAGCCCCACTTAATACCCCGCGATCTGGTCTCCCCTGCAATCTCGTCGTGGACTGTCCTTGTGATCTTCATCCTAGACCTTTGCCTGCATGAAAAGTGCAATCTAGATGCGGAGATGGGGTCGCACCCGATGGTCGACGAAATGGATGGCGGTGATAAAAAGTACTGTGTCCGGCGCACCCCCCGCAGAATAAATGTATGACGGCACAACCATACGAACTTTTTACCCCCCTATTTACTCTACACTCACAAGTGTGATAACACAATCGCATTAGATACTATGACTATCTCTAACAATGTCGCGGACCACATAACAGAGGTAGATATCCTCATTGCTGGAGGTACGTCGGTCCATATCCATAATACTTTATCACCAATACGACTCTAATCGTCCTGGCCTATATCTAGGGGGAACTGCTGCTTGTGTCCTTGCTGGGCGTCTTGCCAAACTCGACCCCTCACTGTCCATTTTACTAGTTGAGGGTGGCAAAAACAATCATAATGACCTTACCGTCAATTGTCCGGCGCTCTTCCTTAAACACCTTGCACCAGACAGCAAGACCGCGATCTTTTACAAAGGAAACAAAAGCGATGCCTTGGCTGGCAGAGAGCCGATTGTACCAACCGGAGGCATACTTGGCGGTGGATCATCTATAAATTTTATGATGTAATCCTCCTCGTCTTATGAATCTTAACTTCTCTCACTGTTATAGGTACACGAGGGCCCAGGGCGTCGATTTTGATAGCTTCAAAACCGAGGGCTGGACGCAACAAGATCTGCTACCCTTATTGAAGAAGGTGGGCACCCATGAGAAAATAGTTTAGAAGTCTGACCTAATATATGATAGCTCGAGACATTTCATTCGGATGATCCTATCATTGATCGAAATCTTCATGGCTATGATGGCCCCATCCATGTATCAAGCGGAACTCATCGAGCCACTCGTGCAGAGAGAGAGTTTCTCGAAGTTGCCTCGACACAAGGTTGGCCAGAGATAGTCGACCTTCAGGATCTCCAACAAAATAATGGGTTCTCAAGCTGGCAGCGTTATGTTAGCCCTGACGGAAGTATATTACCCATTATATAAAGCTTCACTTATGGATTAAGGGCTAACACGCTTCAGAACGGCAAGATTCTGCACACAGATACATCCATGACTTGTTAGAACATGGAGACTACCCAAACCTTCACGTCCTCACGGAAACCCTGGTTAGCCGTGTCATCTTCGATGCCAAACGTGCAGTAGGTCTTGAGGTTGAGCCTAATATGGTTCACCGACCTCTCACCGGCCTCAGCAAACATCCCCGCACGCGCATTACAGCTAGGAAAACGGTTGTCATCGCTGCCGGTGCATTGGGCACCCCTCAGATCCTTGAACGATCCGGCGTTGGAGAGGAGAATCATCTTAAGAGTCTTGGGATTCCCGTCGTCGCTGATCTCCCTGGCGTGGGAGCGAACTACCAAGATCACCACCTTACCCTTTTGCCATATAAGACCAGTCTTGCGCCAGATGAGACCATCGACGCGCTCCTATCTGGCAGGCTGGATTTAGAAGCTGCGGTTAAGGAGAAGAATCCTATTCTAGGCTGGAATTCCGTCGACATCTCCTCGAAGCTACGACCGCGAGATGACGAAGTTGCAGCACTTGGGCCCGAGTTCCAAGCAGCATGGGACAGAGACTTCAAAGACTCACCATCGAGACCTTTAATGCTCATGGGCATTGTTTCTGCCTTTTTAGGGGACCCAAGTTCTGTTCCTGCTGGACAATACTCCACGGTCGGCTGCTATACAGGCTACCCATACTCTCGCGGCTCCATCCATATTAGTGGTGAATCGGTTTACGACCCTCCGTCATTTGAAACCGGATTTCTCAGTGACAAAGATGACCTTGACCTTAAGGCTCAGGTCTGGGCATATAAGCGCCAGCGAGAGATTTGTCGACGTCTCAGCACCTACCGTGGTGAACTACAGATTGGGCATCCCAAATTCTCGACCGGAAGTGCTGCAGCTTTGGTGTCTTTTGAGGATGGTGCGCAGCCTGAAAACCGTAGTATGGAGGACCGCTGTAAAATGCCCAATATCGAGTACTCGGCCGAAGACGACAAAGCCATTGCGCAGTACGTCCGCGAGAACCTGAACACCACCTGGCACTCGCTGGGTACCTGTGCGATGCGGCCCCTGCAAGGTGGCGGTGTCGTAGACAAGGATCTAAACGTTTATGGCGTGGAAGGCCTTAAGCTCTGTGATCTCTCGATCATTCCCGAGAATGTTGGTGCCAACACCAACAACACCGCACTCTTAGTTGGGGAAAAGGCCGCGGCTATTCTAGCTACAGAGTTGGGCCTCACCGATGGGGAAGGCGCGAAGGGGAACCGAACAACCCAGTTATAGTCGCATGCCATAGATCATGTAAATAAGGAGGGTCATCCTGGTTGGCGCCCTACATAAATGCTATGAATACTTTACAATAAGGTTCTAAAAGCGTTGGTCGCTCGCGAGTTTAGCCACTACAAACTCAAGCGTGGGGGTCTCAACGACTACATCTTGGAATTAAATAAAAACAAGCATATTTTATAACTGACTTGGAGCACCATAGTTTTAATATTTAATACTAGAACCCTCTGTCATAATGCAAAAGCAAGTCTCTTATAATTGTAGCAGCCGGTGCAAATTGGAACTTATGAGATTTGTGCTCCTGTCTTGCTGGAGGTACAGAGCTTAAGTAGGGAGCTCTGCAGTTCGTAACAGTAGCCTGTATTAGGGCCCGCGAAAGTTCGGAAATTAAGCTTCTTAAGGCCCCTAGCCGAGGGCCTAGCTGGAACTTGCTCCGCCCAAACTTTGGGCTCGAAGTGGCTGTTCATTGGGGAATTGAGGTCACAGGTGTGCTGGGTAGGCCTTAAGCCTTGAAATCTCTGTTGCTGTCTTGCCAACTTTATGCCAAACTCAAGATGCAGACCGTTTAGCAATTGAGGGCCCACGGCAACTTGTCTTAGCTTCCGTACACAAGGCATTTCTGAAGATATTAATTGAATGCTATCATTCTATACTATGGATACATCGAGGTTGATGAGTAGTACCCCGCTCTGGGGGCGCGTTTAGTGGCTGAAGAGTAACAAGTACTTCCAGCACCTAGCTGTATACGTCATATCATATTGAATCTAGCCAACCACGATGATCTCCCCGCTACCATATGCCCCGCTTCATGCATGTGCGAGTCGCACAGGTCGTGCGGAGTCTACACAATCCGGGGCCCCGCGTTTCCTATTCATAGATCTTCCGCCCCTAACGTCCAATGTCAGAAGACGCGGATAGAGCAACGAACACATCTTCCACTCACCTGGATGAGAACCCTGACACGCTATTACTGTATGTCAATTCAAGGTTCTTACAGTCGACCATCAATATATAATATATGCTAGCTATCATGCCGAAGACCCCGAAGACGCAGGCGCGTGCGACTACGGTGTTTGACGGCGATTCGAAATGCCAGGCTCCCGTGAAGCCCTGGAGCTCAGGGCGCGTCATGACCAAGGAGCAACGGGCGAGGAAACGGGCAGTGGACAGGCTGGCACAGCGAGGAAAACGGCGGGAGAGAGAGGCGCGAATCACACAGTTGGAGGCGGAACTCGCAGCAGCACGGTGCAGCCAGTCAGCTTACACGGCCCGTCCTAACCAGGGCGAGGAAGAGAGAGTCCACAATGCCCTCCAATTCGATACTGTGGTTGCAGATATGGACTTAGCACACATTATAGACCCCGCGGTCTGGTTCGAACCGCAAGCAGCCGGCTTGAATGCGAGCGAAGCCCGCGATCCTACTGAGCACGATCTCATTGAGCAGCTGTCGCCATCTGCCTTTATGCCAACAGCCCACATCACTCAAAACGCCCTCGCGGGAGCGATTCTGCCAAGTGAACATTATACGCCGCACACATTTGCCCTGCCATCGCCCAACAATTTGCTGCATACATCGCGGATTGACGACGCTCTCCGCCGACAATCCAGTTGCAGTTCGATGATCAATTCGTCATTCGGCATCGATATCTTTGCTAGCAATAGTGCCGCCGACCTGCAGTACCTCTCGCCATTGGAGGACGGATATGAAAGCCAGACTATAACTGAGGGCCCGATATTTAGCCCTCTGCCCGTCTTCTCAAATACAAATACTACGACCACACAGCCATACGAAAGTAGGAAAATAACAGCATCCTGCAACGTCGAGCTGAGTAGGGTGCTCCATCTACATAGGAGAGATGTTATCCTGCAGGAGCAAGCCAACGAGGATTTCCTTATTCGGGCGATTCTCTACGGCTGGGAGACCGTGGAGTGTCAGCATACAATATGTCCACTCCGGCGAACGCTGCGTCGAATTGACGATCTTATTTTCCGTGATACTAGCGATATCACGAGGCTAGTCATGCTGGCTACTATTTACAAGATGCTTATCGTGAGTAAAGCCTGGCGTTCTTATAATAATAGGGCATTGCCTAACTGAAAGGATGAAATAGTGTCGAGTCAAAGCCGAGTCATATCAAGAATTACCACAATGGTATAGACCTCGGTACAGTGCCCTCTAAATTTTCCTGATATCCGGTCACTAATAATAAATAGACCGACACAGAAACAATTCCCACACGACTATGTGATGGACTACTTCGCCTGGTTAGCTTTTGCCCTTCATCTCTTCCTGCGCTCTCTGCTTATAACTAAATCACAGGCCCGGTCTGCGCGAGCGGCTCGTGCTATCAGAACGGTACATCCTCACCGAGAGTTTCTGGCAGACTTTTGCTCATTCCTTCCGATTCCACTGGCCGTATGGTCTCGGGGAGGCATTTGCCACGGACAAGAAATCTGGCTATGTCCGATTCTCTGGCACATTCTGGAACCACCTCCTAGAAATCCGTCACTGGCGCATGGACGTTGGTTTTTTAGAGATGTTCCCTGAGTTCTACGATGATGTTACTCCAGTGGAGAAGATTTGCCCTCAGTTGGAGTTGCCCCGTCGGACTAGTTGTTGGAATACAGAACTGTGGGAAGATGAGAGGAATGGAGAGGGACAGAGTGGTGCGAGATCATCGCAGGGGTTGGATTAGTACATAAACCGTGGTTTAGAAGCTGTATAAGTTGGACTAAAATACCATATTAATTTATAATACCGACAGAATTATTTAAACCCTTTAACTCTCTTAAACTCCCATACTCTCCCGGCCGTTGAAGTCTCCAATACAGGCGCGTATTCCAGGACAGACTCAATAAATACCAACACCAACATGACACTTACCTTCCCCGCCTGTCCCTGTAGAACCAGCGTATCGTTCATCAGCCCGACCCCAAATGCCGACTGCTCCATTTTAACCTCCACCACAGGTGGCTAAACTCACTACGCGTCAGCCGATCTCCTTTAAAAACAAATACGTGAGGATATCCAGAAAACGGGAAACTGAAGAGAACCTACGCGGTCAACACGATGCGGGTTTCCTCTACACCACCGCTTTAGATAGGCTTCCATGCACTCTAAGCTGGGCGCATGGCTTCCCTGGATAACAACGCGGTTATCCATATCCTGGCTCACAAGGAGCCAGTAAGGGGGCCTCCTGAGCAGCTCTTCTGGGCGGGGAATGAGAGCAAGGTCTGGGAGCCGGTCACTGGCGCTTTCTTGGGCCGCGATGCTTTGACGTGGAAGAGCCGCAGGCGTGCGGTTTTGGGGTTCGATCGAGACGTCAGCCCATTCGGGGTCTTCGGATGCAATGGTTGAGACTGGAGCATCGAGAGATGATGAAGAGAGTGGCGCGAAGAGAGAGAGAAAGTCTGATGAGAGACCTGCGTGGATTGTGCCGGCTGGGGGTAGTACGGCTTTTGGGAGTCCGATGACGAAGAGCTGTTTGCCTGGAAGCCATGCCGTGGAGGGCCTTGTTCCTGTCGTCAATACCTGTTGAACTACTTAGTAACCGCCGCAGCTGCATCGCCTTCCCCACTTCTTGAATCGTTCTCTGCTCACAGAATAAAGAAAGAGCCCAACAGAAGAAGCATAAGAGAGCTAGGACTCACCTCAACAACAACCTTCACCACGGGATTCATCTCCTCCAACAACCTTTCCACGCCATCCTCATTCTCTTCGGCCTCTAGCCACGCAGTAAACACATCACACCACGAGACGATAACCCTTGCGATACCAGGGATGAATGTCGCGGGATCATCGTAGTACGGCTGTAACGCAGCCCAGAGAATTGGCCATTCCGGATCGAGAGAGATGGGGTATCCGATTGTCTTTCCCAGGCTGGCGGTGCGGATGGCAACGGCAGAAGTCGGGGAGGTGACAAGGTCACGGATGTTGCTGCGCAGACGCAGTGGCCTGAAAATAGCTGAGAGTTAGATTAACGAGCGGAAAAATAGACGAAGGGCCATACAGGGTAGCTGATGCCATTTTATCGGTTTTGGGAATAGGTGCGTAGTGGTGTATGGGCCGAGTTGCGGGCGGGGGGTCTTTGAGCTACGAGTGAGCGTTGTGTCTCCCTTGCATTCAGGACCAGAGGTTGCAGCGGGGAAGTCGGAAGCAATTAATACGAATTGACCCTTGTAGGTTCGTGAGTGATGGGTTCTGCCTTGGAGCTCAGCTCCTGTAGCCAAGGCTGAGCTTGTAAACGCCCCACGGCACGGCTATATTGCAGCATCAAGCCACGCTCGCCAAGGCCATACGTGTGATAACTGCGATTGCTAATAGGGTAATATTTTACTGTAGCTAACTGGTTCTGATGAAAACAGGCGGGGACGGGATTGAACAGGTTAGATTGATTTATATTCTATCCTGGTCGCGTTTGATGGCCTACTCTAGCTTATACTGTAATCTTAATATTCTACCAGAAGGTTATCCTATGCTCATTTCTCTACCTACAGAAACTAGCCTATTCTACGGCATAAATAGTGGTCATCTAAAAAGGCTATAGAGCAGAGCAACATATGTGACAGTTTATAGGATATCCATGAGCTTGCTAGCAGCATCATGGACATTTGTGCCAAAGTAGCTAGGGGTGGTCTAACCGATAGTTTTTAGTATCTGTTCAAACACATTTATGAGTGGGAACAGCTTACCTGAATGACCAAATCCCCATTGTCCAGGGTGATCTCGTTATAGCTCGACTGGCCAGTCGTCAACTTGTCGACGATTCTTAGCTTGAGAACTCCATTTGGCGCCGCCTCCTCTAGCCCCTCTCTCAGCATCTCGTCCTCGTGAAACTTCTGGTAAGTAAGTGCACTGACGAAACCTTCGAAGTAGCTTGTCGCGAAGTTGCCAAGGTTCGTCTCCCAATCGTCTCTCACGTCCTTTCCCCCTTTCAGGCCAGCAGCCAGCTGCTCCCAAGAAGGGTCAAACGCGAACTTCTCATTTTGCAGTGCCTTGCGCGCCTGCTCGAGGTAGGAACCAATCTTCTCGTCGTAGTTGGTCTTGATGGAGTTGCGTGCGGTATAGCTAAGTGGCGAGGCGCCCTCGGGTTGTGGGGCGGCAGAGAGAGTCTCAGCGAGCTTCTGGCCCGCTTGGTCGATGTTAGTACCGAGGCAGGTGGGGTTGAAGAGGAGGCGCAGTTTGCCCTCTTCGATGTCGGTGCCGCAGTAGCTGAACTTGGGTGATGCAACGAGGGTAATGGTGTGGGTTGGGGCGACGGTGTTAAGCTCGGTCTTGCCTTCCTCGCCGTGCTGGGAAAGGAAGTACTTCAACTGGTAAATGAACCCGTCGATGTAGCTGGCAATTCATTAATTCAGTCTCAAGGTGGGATTGAATTAGAAAATGCTAAGACTCACGCATAAATGCAGTCGCCGAGGGAACTGTGTCCGTAAGACCCCTCCTCTGCGTAGGGATAGATGGCGAGTGGGTTGACGTCGAACGTCCAGGCTTCCCCGAGCAGGGTTAGAAGCTGGGCTTCGAGTTCTGGCTTCTTGTTCTCCCAGCTATCGCGCACTATCCAGGCCAATTAGTCAAGTCTTTAAATATACTGGCAAGATGGTGGGGTGACTTACCATTTTTGCGGATAGCAAGAGGAAGCTTATCTGCGGGGGCTTTATCGGCAGACATAGTTTCTAGTATAACTGGAGGACGAGAGGGGGTATTTTGTACGAATGAGAGAAAGAGCTGGTTTGTAAAATGAAGAGTGTCCTGTTTGTTTGGAGGAAGGTCCCAACCTTTTATGTACAGCTTAACCCGTCACTCCCGACCTCGTCCTCTCAGCTGGAAAGCCTCACAAAGCGCCTCTGTCAATAGCTTCTTGGCTTTACGGAACTTTCCTGTGACAAGCTGTGGGTCGCCATATTGTGGTGTAATACCCCTCACCTTACCATATTATATTTGTGGGTGTACGACGCCACAGACGGCTTGGGTTCAAAACAAACTATTTAAAAGGGGTCTGTGCAATCCAGGCACCGGCCAGCGGATAAGAAGATCTCGAGACTACCCCAGCCTTACCACAGCCTTGTCGACGGCAAAATTGTTCCAAACTATAATATTCAATTAATTATGACAACAACAGTTTAATGCCTAATAACTCATAATCAGCCTTGCCATTCGCCCTGAATGGATCGCTTTATATGGCGAACCAGAGTAGCGCTTTCACGTTTCACGATGGGAATAAAAGCAGGGGCGGCTCATAGAAGCATTCTTGGCACGGACCCTGCTTGAGACCCCTGTTGTCTGCTGCTGCCTGTTACCAGGGGAAGCACTTTTGTCACCTGCAGGACAGAAAGGAATGCGAAAGCACATCGTGGATGCTCCTCGACAAAGCTGGACGCATCATATCACAACGTGGTAGAAGCAAATGGAGGGAACAATTAAAACTGCATTGATGCAGAGCCCCTCAAAAGCGAGAATAGAATCTACAGAATAGGCAAACTGGTAACGTTTACATGGTAGCTCACAGCAACCCTCCCCCCAAACCAAAACTCTAACTAAAAATCCCTTAGCTCACTGCCCCTTGGCTCCATGCTTCTTAGCTGCCTCCTTCCCAGATTTTGGCTTCTTGAACCCAAGCTTGGCAAACCCAGGTATGTTTCTATTCTCACCGCCAGAAGTGAAAGTGGCTGTCATGATCGCAGACGTCACAGACGAAGTACCATTTACTGTACAAGACACAATATTAGCAGATGCGCTCAAAACCACAGAAGCTGTACCATACCAGTAGCGGTCACGCTCGCAGAACCAACATCTGTCCCGACGACGCCCGGAGGCGCAGTGCCACTCGGTCCTCCACCAGACGGCATGGTGCCATTACCCATTGCTCCGCCGCCACTGCCTCCACCAACATTTCCACCACCCTCAACAGCATGTCCGCCATCGGCTGCAAGCTCAGCTGCTGGCGACGCCGTATATGTCGCGGTGCTATTAACCGCAAGCGAAATCCACATGAAGAGTCCATCTACCACCGTCTCTCCAAGGAGCACATAGTTCAGCATCGGATCGGAGTCGTTCACCAGCTCGCCCTGCACGACGCGGTCCTCGGCGTTCGTGGTGATTGCGATTGTGTTAGTAGAGTACGGGCTCAGCGCCTCAACCTCGGTAATCAGGTCCTGATCGAAGAAGAACTGTCCGATGTGCGCGATGGTGCCGCCGGTGTACGTGTTGTTTGACAGGACCTCGCCGTTGAGGTGCGCTTCAACGTGGACGTGTGTTGCGCGCCCGGAGTAGTGGCCGGGGAAGATGGAGGTGAACTGCGCGACACCGTTTTCGTCAGTGGCCTGCAGGCCGCGGAGGAAGGTGGCGTCGATATTGGAGGCATCGGTGGAGTCGCCGTTTCCTTGCGAGATGACGCCGGCGTAGACGCCGGTGGAGTTGCAGTGCCAGATGTCGGCTGTGAGGTCGACGATGGGGAGGCAGGTCGAGATGTCGATGAATTGCAGGTCGAGGATAACTTCGACACCCGGCTGGTCGTCTCTGATGTCAGAGCGAACGTACTCTCCTTGGACATCTGAAGAGGTTAACAGGGGCGATGAGGAGCGGTCGGGGGTAGGTACAGAAGGGGCCTTCTTCTCCTTCAGGCGAGAGGAGGCACGATGAGTTGGAGAAGATGATATCTTCCACGCCTGAAGTGGTCGGGCTAACATCCAAGGAGGATAGGTGAGATTCGTCCGTGGCATCTCTTCTCACGACCTCGCGACGTTCTAGAATAAGTGTTAGTTCTGTTACAGTCAAGAGTGTCTGGGGAAGGCTCACTCAGGGGCAAACCGCGATCAGCCCGAGCCTTCGCAATGGCATCCTCCCGGCGCTTGACGGACGCATCTTCTACACCGCGCTTGCGGAGGGCATCAGCGCAGTGGGAGAGGTCGCGACGGGCAGAGTTCTTCAGAAATGCATTCCGCTCGGCGATCTCCTGGGAAATGTCGTGTTCGGGATGGGCGACAACCTGCGTGGCAAGGACGGCCGCGACGGCGGCAACGAAGGCCTTGGAAAAGTAGACCATTGTAAAAAATATGAGTATGTAGGTGCAATATTCTCTGCGGATATCGAACAGAATGGATAATAAGGAAGGTATCGTGAGTCTATTTAACCTTCATGCCGGTAAACCCTTCGAGGTAGTGGAGCAGCACATGAAGGCTTGAGATAGAACATAGATGCATACGTAACCTACTATATGTGAAAATCTGGGGATTTGCGAACTCTAGACTTCAATCTACATGAACGACGGAATTATCCTTTCTGTTGTAAACTCGACGACCTCGTGCCAGCCAATTACACGGCGCTAATAGTAAGCTTGTCTGAACCAAGCAAGGCCAAGGGACCAGCTAGAACAAGATTGATAGATCCTAAAAGGGGTATTGCGATCCTGAAAGCTTGTGGGAGGGGTCCCTTGCAGAAGCATGGGGAAAATTAAAAGTCAATGCGAAATGGTTCTCACTGCCGTAGCGACGCGTCAGTGCATACGCGGCTTGCGGCTCATAAAGTAGATTATCACCAACATTAAAATAAGGTGTGCTAGTTGAGAATTAAGGCTAGCCTATGAGCCTTCTCTTATTACCATGCCAAGAAGCTTTTGTGGATTTATATACCAGGATGCATTTTGAGCGGCTTGGGCGGTTTCGGTGAGGCCGTAGCAGTGAGCTAATTTGTAGTTTGTGGGGTAATTTGTGAGGATTGAGTTTATCTCTGTCTCTACTCGTGAGATAAGATTCCATTTAATATTCTCGAAGTCATAGCCGATGCCAGATTTTACTTAGGTGGTGCTTCCTGGAAGCCTTCATGTCAGCAAATATCTAACATATTTACCCAAAGTTAGAATATTGAAAAGAAGCGCAGCCAAAGACGGGCCAAAAAGGGGAGACGAAAATAGAGAGCCTGCATCTCCTCTCCACTGCGCCGTGGCCGTGATGACACGGAAAAATAGCTCGTTGCTAAGATAGTTAGACCAGCATCCTCCAAATCTACCATAGATATCCCGAAGTCAGCTGGTGAGGGTCCCAGGAAACGCACCCAGGAAACGCATCCACAACAACAGCATCCGTCCGGTAACCAGTGATAAGAAGCACCGGATATCTCCATGTGGCACCCAACTTGTCAGGCGCTGGCTGCGCCAAGAAGAGAGAGAGAATCGAAGCCGAAAACGCAACCTCGGCCCCTAAAAACCGAAAAAACAGAGATAGCTCCTGGGAAACAAAGTACGCGGCAATGCTCCGCCACCTTATCAACACGAAACCAGTCTTTACATAGCAAAATGGTCATTATCCATAATGGCCACGCCCCAAAAGATTATCCAATGACACAGGTGACTCGTCGTCAATATCCTACCGCTCATGTTGCTGCAACTTAAGTATTGTAGTATCCTCGTTCTAGTGTCTCAGCTGCTACCCCCTTCTTCTCCTCTGGGTGCCCGCAAAGAAATTAACGAGCCACTCCTTTCTTTACATGGGTAAGTAAGCGTAAGCTTCGTATAGGAATATTTGCGGATAACTAGACTAGATGCGCGGCTTTCACCATGGTATTGTCATAATTCTATCGAAATAACCTTACGCAAGATCGTGGTGTTGGAGCTCCTATTTCCGCCTGACATTGGTTCAGCTAGTCCACCCTGTCCCAAAGGATTCATCGTTAGCACAAACCCCTATGCCGCATCTATCTCTCCACAAAACTTCGCTAACCCGAAAGATTTCATCCCTGAGCGTTGGTTAGGCAAGAATAAAACAGATGCGTCAGATGCAACGCGGCCGTTTAGCTTGGGGAGTAGGAGTTCTTTGGGGCGAAGTCTTGCGTGGTCAGAGATGAATATTGCGTTATACAGGTTGATTTGGAGGTATAGAATTGAGAGAATAGGTGATGAGGTGGACTGGGAATGGGAGAGTCGGATGCAATTACTACGAAAGAAGCCGAAGTTGATGGTTAAGTTAACAGTACGAGTTAGGGAAGATAAGACTTAATGGTGCGGGTAAGAGAAAGAGCAGTAAATGTAATCTCTAGCGATTTATATGAGTGCTATTCTATGAATGCGATGGAGTGCCAGGGTGATATGTTGAAGTCTTTTGAGATGTGTATCATCATTAGTGTACACCGTTGACGCCATTCGTATTCGCCCCCTTAACGGCATATGTTCGTCGGAATTGGTCGTCAATATGCTCTAGATAGTACACTCCTTCGCCAATACTATCCAAGTCACCGGTCGGCGTGTAGTTCTTCTGGCCGTATGCTGCTTCGCGCAACTTGCAAGCCTGTTTAGTGAGGGTCAGCCATTGTTCGTGATAGTCATAAGGAGGGATATTAGGAAGAGCAAGAACCATTGTGCCATAAGAAAGAAAGAAAAAAAATACACACTTCGTCATATTCCTGCGGGTTGGCGACGTGTCTTGCCTCCAATCTCCTCGCGAAATCAATCTTCCCAACAATACTGCTCACATCACCTACTACCTTCAGCGTGAACAGCGTACTGGCAATCCCACTACCGTAGCTAAACATGCCAATCGTCTTGTTCTGTAGCTTGTCAGACCCGACGTGCGACAGAACGCTGATAAGTGAGCAGTATAGGCTGGCAGTGTACATATTTCCGCAGCGGCTAGGATCTTTGATGCATGGCTCGATGCGCGAGGTGAAACGATCCTTGGTAAGGCTAAGAAACTCTCTCTCAAGATCCTTAGACTTTAGTGACTCTTCGTGAGATAGGTCTTGGAGTGATTTGGGGACGCTTTTGAATGTTACGTCAGCATTGTTGCTAAGAAAATCATTGTACAGCAGTCGGCCATAAGATTTGCTGACGAGTTTGCAGTTAGGCGTATGGAAGGCCATGAAATCGAAGACATCGATTAGGCTTTGGCGTTCCCGATTCAAGACCGCAACGGCGTCTAGGTTGCACTCCTTCAGCTTGGAGTCTATAGCGAGGCGGCCGGCGTTATTGCGCAGTTGCTTGTAGCAGCCATCAAGAGCTGAGAGATAGCAGGAAATAGAAAGATGACCGTCTACTAACGGGTATTCAGACTTCATGTCGGGCTTGTAGAAGTCGTATGCATGAGCCATGTATGTACCACGGAGGGCAGGGACATATACGATCGGTGCATCGGGGCCAACAAGAATCGCAACTGATCCAGCACCACCAGTGGGTTTTGCAGCCACGTCCTTGTAAATGGCAATGTCGCAAGCAACGACAATGGCATCTCGGCCATCCCATGAGCGAGATTCGACCCAGTTAATGGCGTTGAACAAAGCGTTGGTACCACCGTAGCACGCATTAACTGTGTCGGCACCTTCTAAGGAGTGGTTGTCACCGAACAGTTGGGTAAGAACGGACTTGACTGATTTGGCCTTATCAATGGGTGATTCTGTACCAACTTCGAGACGCCCAATGGACTGTGGGTCTATCGAGTACTTGCGGAGGAGGGACGAGACAGCGGTCAGGGCGAGAGAACAGACATCTGCAAGACGTCAGAGTGGTTTCTTCAAATCGGCATTCGTAGATTCTAGCTGCATAACTTGCCTTCCCGGTCGTTGCAGAAGTTCATGGACTTTAAACCAAGACCAATGGTATATTTACCAGTGGATACACCTTGGTGAGCCTCAAACTGGGACTGATCTAACGTCTATACGCAGTGTCAGATGAGCTTTGAATCTTGAGAAAAAAAAGCGCAATGTGTACCTGGCTAGGGACATAGATCTCAATGGCCTTAATGCCTACGTTCTTGGGATATGCCATGGTCTGTTGCTGAAAATAAAGCTGTGAAACTCGACGATGTAAAGTTGAACACTTCCGCTCGACTTGTTTTTTGAGAAGTGCACATAGACTCGGAATTAGTTAGAGCCGAACAAGCAAGACTAAATATAGAATAAAGGCTGTATGGGGAACATCCGGGTCAGGTTGGGAATATGCCAGCTCTAACTTAACCGGCCTCGCAAGTGGACATCCCTTGCTGCCTAATTTCCGTTATTAGTCAACTTACCTCCTTTGGGTATTACCCCGTATAGTTTTGCTCTGGTCTACCTTGCACCATTGGCAGGGTTGAGGTTGGAGTTTAAGAGGAGAGAGGAACGGCCGCGTTAATGTACAGGATTTTCCAATCATACTAAACGTATAGAACACCCGATTTTAAGGCCAAGTTTTCAAACTAAGCAAATATCTATTTCTAGATTATCTTTACATATAAATGCACTTTGATCTGCGTAAATAGGCTTCCCTGAGTTATGGCAGGACTAGCCTTGCTCACATTGGAAAGGAGATCGACGGTCGTGCTGTACTACAGTACTATAATATCTTTTTAGTGGGGGGATATATGGCGCTACTGTGTGCAGGCCAATGTCACATTCCTACTCCGTACAGTATGAGACTCGTACAGTACATGGCCGCTGGTACCTTAGCTAATGCAGCAGAGACCTCAGGCAGGGACGCTGAGGGAGGGTATTACTAACTGCTCTGGGTAATGAAGCCACCCGCAATTGCAGGGGCATCTACAATGAGGCAATGAGGCTTTGCTTTTCTACCCTTAACTTATATAAAAGAGTATATATGATTCCAATATAGTGTATAAGTGCGGTGCTGTTCTAGCTTGCTCCACTACCGACTGTACCTACACCTGCATCGCACCTATTCCTATGATGCCCACTGTATCGTATTTCTCACGCGAGCTGTGCACTCTCTATACAACGTGCACCATACCCACACTGTGCGCAGTAGATTTCATTTCCGGGTGACGTCCCGGGGCGCCAAGCGAGCGACGGATCGGACCGCAGTTTTCTGCTATGGCTCAGAAAGTCCTAGTGTTACTTGGGGTATAATTACTTCGTTTGCTGACACTATCACAAACAATCTATGGGCAGTAGGAGAGGCTTAGGGGAATACAGAGCTGATTATTATAGAGGATGTCGAACATAAAACTAGCTATAGGAGTCAAGGGGCAGGCAAATATGCCAGGAAGGGTTATGAACATAGTGGGTCTCTTTCGTTTCTGTTTTCGACAGAGTGGGGGAATGTTGTCGTATGTCGTGAGGCCAAATCCATCAATCCCAGCTGCATAGCATATATTAAAACCAACAAGCCCTTGTTCACATCCTCAAAGGTCCCAACCTTCGACAGATATCTCCATACTGTAAGATGAAGGTGCCCTTTTCTCTACTTTTCTTCTGCCTAGTATTTTTTTTATTAAGCTCAATCCTATCCTCATCCGCATTTCGCCCAGCCTCGCAACAAGACCTGTGCAAACATCAGGTTCATTATCATAGACATATAACATCCACAAACTAGACTGTCGATAGTCGATGAGAGCAAACCCTTTCAGAATACCTCACGCATAAAGGGGATATTAGAATGTTCAGCACTCTTTCGTTCATTTAAGACGGAGGTCTACACGAGCGCATGGGCGGTGACGCATGATTCTAAGTATTTTAAGGATCTCATGGACTTCAACCCCGAAAGGTGGCTTGATCCCAACAGCCAAGATGTTAAGGAGGCCAGTCAGCCATTCTCGTTGGGACCAAGAGGATGTTTAGGCCGCAAGTTAGTTGCGATCGCTGTGCTCCTGTTTATTACTTAGTCGGACTAAGTCGGACGGAATGCAGCTTTGCCTACATGGAGATAAACTTGCTGTTGGCTAAAAAGCTATGGAAGTACGACCTTGAATTAATCAATCAGGGCTTGGACTGGCTGAATGAGGGTAAAGTTTGTAATGTGGTGGAAACCAGAGCTGTTGGTTCATTTTCGACAGCCCTCTTAGTGGGTGCAAGAACTTTAGAGGTGCAGAAGATAGTATAATGTAGCTTTACAATAAAATTATATACATATACACTCAACATACAGCAGCAGCCTAGTTCCGTTACTCTAGTCCGCAACAAATCCACGTCTAAATATCCAACCTCACAAATAAACACATCTATACCCACCCAAACACCTCTCCCACCCCCCCAACACACCTCCCAACCCCCAACCACACCACAACCCCAACCACAACCTGCACCACCAACCCCGTCCCCCCCGCCATCATCCACTTCGGGCTAAACACCCTATACAGCATCAAATGCCTCCTCAACCACCCCGCCCCCCCCGCCGTCACCGCCCCCCACCCCAACACAACAAGCAACCACCACGCCACCCCCCTCGCCACCTCCCCCGCCACCCCTCCCCCCCTAACCTCCCTCTTCCACAGCACCACAAGCGGTACTCCCAGCCCGGCAAGTATCGGGCCACCAAAAGTATTCAACCCCACCATCAGGGGGCTCCACGGGTACACCACAGCATGCAATGGCACAAACGCGCTCTCCCACTGCAAACTGGCCAGCGTAGCCTGGTGCCCAGTCTTGAAATAGTAAAAGGACCCCATCAGTGCCAGAGCCACGGGCGCAATGGGCGACTCGCGGAGTTTCAGCACATCGACCAGTTCCGCCAGCGCGAGGATCTGCCACGCGCCTAGCGCGAGCGCGAAGGCGCCCATTGGCTTCTGGAGAAGCAGGAGTGGCAGCAGGAGTGACGAGAGGAGAAGCAGGTACGAACTCCCCTGCGCATTAGCGTATCCCAGCACCGTGACGGTCATGCGCGAGGAAGCCGCAGCGGGCGCAGCGGTGCTGGAAGGCCCCTGGGTAGCAGCGCGGGTAATGCTGACGCAAGGAGATGAGTACGCGTACGCCACCGGTCCGGCGACAAATCCGATTCCCAGCACCACCTGCGCGATAGCTACGCGCGCGGTTTTCAGAAGTCCAGTAGGGAGGAAGGGGAACCATGCCCCGTCATCAGCGGCGTCGAGGGTCCAGAAGATGGCGCATGCGAGAAGCCCCGCACGCAGGGTATTGAGGAAGAGCGGTGCAGGGCCGCGGTAGTTGCGGGAGGGGAGGAGGTAGGATTTCAAGACTGACGGGAGCAGGAGGGTAGTGAGGTAGGGGAGGGCGAGTTGCCAGGGTGCGGATGTGGAGGATGTCGCGGAGGCGTAATATGTAGAGCGGCAGAAAGGCATTTGTTCCTCACGGCAGAGTTTAGACAGGGAGGCGAGCCATGTGAGGAGCGTGAAGAGGACGGCTTGCGTGATTCCCAGGGTTCGCTCGGGCGAGGGGAGCGAAAAGGAGGCGAAGAGGAAGATGAGCCCGAGAGTGGTGAGGAGGAAGAGCAGGATTTGGTCTTCCCAGATTGTGAAGGAGTTGGCGCCGAAGCCGATGGCGGGGAGGGCGGGGAGGAGCAGCGCGAGGAACGACCACGGTGTTGTGGGGAAGGGTGCGCGGTAGGGGAGGGGGGAGCCGACGGCAGCGATGAGGGCGGCGAGAAGACTGCAGGCTGTGGCGCCGAGGAGGGTGTCGTTGATGGTCGACGGTTCGGGGGAGAGGGAGGATGCAGTGACGCCGAGAGAGGCGCCAGCGAGGATTCCGATGAAAGCACCCTTCACGACAGAGGTTGTGAAGTCATCTGGCTCGGAGTCCATCCCGTCCGCATCAGCGTTCGCAGGGGCATCCACACCGTTCTTTTCAAGTTGCAGCTCCGCCTGCTCGAGCTCAGGCGACATAACAGGGCTATCCGTGCCGGCATTCCGCGCGAAGAGGAGAAGCACCACCAGACTCGCAGCCATGATCGCAAGACCCTGAACCATACTCGTCACATCAAAGCGCGCCCACAGTCCACGGCAAATATCTAGCGTCTCCCGCTGATACGCGGTGAGCAGAGCATACGCCCTCTTGTACGTCCCCTTCTCCCCGCCAAGGCTTCTTTGTAGCGCCTCCTGCGCACCCCCCCAAAGCGCCCTCGTCCCAGCATTCCCTTCCTCAATGCCCCTAGCCTTGAAATAGGCATCCTGATACCTCTCCACACCAGCGGCCGTCATGGCAGCCACACTAGCTAGGTTTGCCCAGTCATTGCCCTTCCGCCCCGCGAACGCCTCCTCAATTGGGCGTCCGAGGTTATTAAATGGAATAGGCAGACCCAGCAGCAGCGCCAGCGTGGGCACGAGATCGATCTGGTTCACAGCGCGAGCATCCTTCGCAGTTGCCGGTGGCAGCAGCGTTTCCGGGGCAGTGCGCCCGAAGATCCCGCGGCGCGAGTACATCCACAGCGCGGCTTGCACTTCGTCGTCGCTCTCGCCGCCGTGGTCGCCCTTAGCATCCATACCATGATCACCCATCACAACAAGCAGAGTGTCGTCGTCAAGCGCAGCTACGATATCGCGCAGCACGCCGTCCATCTGTGCCAGCTTCGCCGTCATGGCAGGGTGATCCGGTCCATACCGATGTCCCGCATGGTCAACGCCCAGGAAGTGCGCAATCAGCACATCCCAGTCCTCCTTGCCAACGCCAGCTGCTCCAGCGGGCTTCTGCTTCAGCAGCGGCATGACGTGCTCGATGACCCCGTTATCGAGAGTATGCAGATCCCACACATTGAAGCTGTCGTAGGCACGACTAACATTTTCCTCAAAGTACCCCGGAAACAGCGCCGTCCACGTATCATCCCCCAAATGCGCAATACGCCTCCCTGCCACCTTAAGCTGCATGAGCAAATTATCCTCCTCAATCGCCGTCCCCGCAAAATTGCTCCCCGCATCGATGAAAGTCGGCAAAGTCCCCGTCGTCAGTCCCTTCAGGCGCTGTAAGGTTGTAGTCGGCGGGTCGGCGATGAACGGGAGGAGAAACGCATTATGCGGTTCCTTAACAGCCGTCTCGTATAGGAAGGGTAGGGCATTATGACATGCCAGCGCCGGCTGCTCCTCACTCCCATTCACAGGCACCGCGAAATCATAACGCAGCGCATCCACAATAACCACAACCGCCTTCTCAAAGCTCCTCGGATGCCAGCACCCCTCCCTCGCCGAGTCCGGTGTATAGTGCCTCGGCGGGTCCGCACACGTCGAGTGCTCCTCCAGCACCAGCCTCGTGAGCAAGAATCCCTTTGTAAAGAAGTAAATCCCCGCAGCGTTAACCAAGAACAACCATGTGAAGAAGAGGGTCGTCCAGTTCCACTGACGCCGGAAGTCGGCGGCGCAGATGGCGTCGCGCTTTTCGGCTGCGGTGGGGAGGCGGGAGGCTTCTTTTTTGATGGCGGCGGCGGCGTCTTCTTTGGCTTTTATTTCGCGCGCTTTGGCGTAGAGGGCTTGGATGCGCGCGTAGTCGGGGGAGGAGGAGGCCATGGTGCTTGGGACGGTTGGGTGGGAGCCGTGTCCGAGCTCTTGGGTGTAGATTGCGTTGCTGTTCACAGCATAAGATGTGTGGGTTTATAGGATCATAAAGCTGTATCTAAAAATGCTCAACCATATCCACCCAATTGACAGGTGTAGTAAGAAAAATAAGTGTTTCTTGTTGTCGTCCGTTGGTGTTTGAATAGGAACCGGACGCGGCGGAATATAAATTTCGAGGGGTGCCCAGACAGGGTGACGTGAGTGGCCCTCCCATCACGTGAATCCCTAGAGCTGTCCCAAAACAATCATCAAACCACTCTGAATTCGTCTTAGCGTTCATTACACTAGCGCGATTTCAAAAATTTCCCATCGCCTATATATACACCTTTCACTCCCCGACCTTTTGACCTTTTTCTTCTTTTCTTCTTTAGCTCTCTTTGCCTATTGGCTTAGATCAAGTGTAGTATCTGTTCTTTTCAGTTTAATCTCTGAAATTGTCCTATTGGACAAATCAATGATTAAATCTATTTTTGAAACGAGTCTTGGGACCGCTGGGTTTACTCATGTTCCAGGACACAGTGTCTCTGGTATTACACTGCCTCCAGATGACGCGACACACTTCATTTTTCATTGCATTCTCTGGCTTGTTTCCAGGGTTGTGAAGAAGATTGGTTTGGATAGTTGTAGGCGTAAATAATCGAGCTTGTGATGTGTGATATATGCGGAAGGAGGTTTGTGAGGGAGTTCGATGAATTTCAAGATTTGGTGTTGTGCGTGAGCCTGAGCCACCAAACTCGGACCATCAGTAGATCATCACTCCGTACGGTAATTCACGATTTGAAGGTTCTGCAGGAACGCGAGGGAGTAAAGGATTACACCGGGCGTACAGTCGGTGAATTGAATGAAAAGGGCCCATTTATACATATCACAGCAAAACTTAATATAGTCAATCAATGAATTTCGCTACAAGCGGTCGTCTGTATTGCCTCTATGGACCCCAGAAATGAAGGGAATGGCTGCTTCCCAGCTCAAACCAACGACAGCCAGAGAGCAAGCACCGCTAAACTGAGTAATTGTTTTGTATTCCCAATCGCCCGCTCCTTGACGAAGAAAAATGCCAATGCAGAAAAGTAAAAACAGAGCCTCCCCCAGAAAGTGATGTGAACACAAAAAGCCCCTATGTTCGTTCGTATGGCGTCTTTTTTTTGTACAGGAACTTTCGGACATCGTTGTTGTTGTTGTTGTTGTTGTTGTTGTTGTTGTTGTTGTTTGATAGTCCGCAGCGAGTATATAAACATTCCCAAGACTTTCCAAGGCCCACCCAAAAAAAACAGGGTCTCATCAGAGGAGGCAAGCGCAGAGGAAAAAAAGAGCCATCAAGTCGTTAAGCAGCCACCCATTCCGAAATTCTCAAAACCCCCTATCCAGTCCCATAGCATAGCCAAGCCCCAGGGCTCGCTCACAGGAACTCCTTCTTCTCCTTCAGCCCGCCCATGAGGTCCATATCCAGCTCATCCCACTTCTTCCCATCGCGCTCATACTTGGGCAGCTGCTCATCCCTCACCGGTTCAAGTCCTACGCCCCCCTTCTCCCCAACCCTCACGACGACCACGCGCCCCTTCAGGTGGCGACCCTGTCCATCAACATCATCCGGGAAAGTGATCCTGATTTCCGGCACCGGCGAGCTCGGGCCGGAACCCGGGCTGGAGCTACCGCTGCTGTAGCGCTTCTCGTCGTAGTAAGGGGGTGCGGAGACGTGGAGGTCGTGGATGTTACGGGTTTGGTAGGAGGGGAGGACGGTGTGGCGCGAGGCGCGGTGGGCTTGGTATTTGCGGACGGCGTAGATGAGACCGACGGAGACGAGGCCGGCGAAGGAGAGGGAGACGAGGACGATCATTAGGTCGATGGTTAGGGGACTTGAGCCGTCTTCGTAGTCGTCGCGGCGGAGGAGGGAAGGCATTTTGGCGGTTGTGGTGGGTGGTGTTGTGTTGTGTTGGGGGTTCGTGATGTTGCTTGGTCGTGATTGTACTCGGTGTGTTGAGTTGCGTGTGCGTGGGTGTGTGCGGATGGAGAGGAATGAACGATTAATTAATCTATTGATGAGACGTCGTTAGTGACTGTGTGTTTCTGTAGAAGAAATAATAAAATGAACTGTGTCCCAGCTGGAAAGTCGTGGGCCAAAACCATATAACGATCGTTGGATTGCTGGTTTGTTGATATCCATCGGTCGGCATTCCGGATAGGTTCAGTCGTCTGCTCCCCCATCCAAGAAGGGAAGGAATGAAGGAATCCCCAAAGCAGCAGCGATGACATCAAATCACATACCTCAACTAGTAGTATCGACGCTTTATCTTCCCTCCGTCTCGTAAAATAACACAAATATCCGAATCGTCAAATGAGTGAGCAAAGTAGTCGGAAGAGGGCAAAGCGATGCACAGGCAAGAGAATGAACCCGTTTCTGCAAATCTAAACCCCTCCGTAAAAAAGAGAGCGTGGGTATCCCGAAGGAAGAACAAAGGATTGTCGTGAACGAAACGTCCGGGAACACAAAAAAACACAAGAGCAGGGCGCTTATTGTCGTCGTTGTCGATGAAGGAAGAAGAAGAGGAAAGGCAGGACACAAACCCACGACGATAGCCCGCCCGCCCCCCAGCCCAGAGCGGCACGCACGCATTCACTCCAATCCCACCCCAATCCTCCCAATCAATCCAACGGCCTGCCCAGACCCGCCACCGCACACCGGATAGCAGGAAGCCTCAGCACAATCAACAGGGCAAGGTGTGATCAGAAACCCAATCCGGATAGCGCGCGCGTAGAAGGGGTATAGCGCCAGGAGAACAGACGACTAATTCAGGGCCAGGCGCTAGGGGACGGATGGGCCCAGCCAATGAGAGTGTAGTGTAGACGGGTTTTGGAGGTTGGTGGGGGGAAGGGGGGGTGTTGATTGGTGGGTTGGTGGGGGAGGGGAGATTGGGATGGGAGGGTGATTGGGGCGGGGGGATATTGGGGGGGCAGGGGATGAGACAGGGGGGTTGGAGGGTTCCGTGGGTGGATGGGGATGGGGATGGGTGGAGGGAGTGTTTGAGATGTTTGAGCTGTTTGAGCTGTTTGCCTGTTTTTGGGAGGGAGAGGGAGGGAGATGGGATGAAACGCGGTTTCTGATGTGGTGAGGGGGTTGTGGTGAGGAGAGTTGTGGGGAGAGGGGCCAATGGGGAGGAGGGATTTTGGGGATCTGGGGATTTCTGTTTGTTTTATTTTGGGTTTTGGCAGTATATACTCTCGCTCTATCAACGCGCTCTATCAACTCGCTCTAACACACCCTATCAACTCGCTCTAACGCCCCCTCTCTCTATCTATTTATCACCATCACGCGCTCACTCCTGACAATGTTCTACCAGAACTCTTTACAACACATGTGCACCAACCCATCCATCGCACTGCACCGATATAGATAGCGATACAAACAAGCTATCTCACCCCAACTGCATACTCGCCCAGTCCGTCCCACCACCACCCCCCAACCGCCCTCCCACCTCCCACAGAGATCCTGCTCCCACCCGTCCCCCTTCGTCCCCCGTCCCTCCCGTCCCGTATAACCCTCCCCCTTCCACATACACTCACGTCATGCGCCTCTTGGGCGCTTCGCCGACTACAACTAGGAATAGTTGCGACGAGGGTGGGAAGGGGAAAAAGGGGGGGGGGGGGGGGGGTTCGCAAGAGATCCATCTGTGTCGCAGAACCGCTCCTCGTCATCTATTCCGGTGTACAGAGCGATATTCTGCACCACGAAGCGTTGGACAGACCCCCAACCCCCACCTTCCCCCTTCACTTCACCGCCCTTTCTAAACGCGTATGTATGTTCAAACCCGACATACCCATCCCATCCGCACCGAACGAACCCCTCACCAACTCGGCCCGTCAATCGGCTCTCTCGAGCGTCATCTATCCATCCATTAAGAAAGCCTAGCTAGTCCAGTCGTCGAGAGGGATATAAATCACCACACCCCCTCGGGGCCGGAAAAACCATCAGCCCTCCTTCTCCTTACCCCCAGGGCACAGATCCCCTCCCGTCCCCTGCACCCTCCCCTCCACCCTCCAGCCCTCCACAATCATCGGCGGCATCTGCACGACATCCTCCTCCACCCTCCGTCCCATCTCTAGACACGGCCACACACACACAGCACAAGCACAAAGCCGGCCTCATGCGTGTGCTGTGTACATAATATATGTACCACTATCTGCGTACACAGAACAAGCACATGCACGGTCGGTCGACATCTATAAGTGGATGTATCTATGCTGGGTGTGTTGTGCCCTGCTCCCTTCCTGCAACAGATACACATACAGGCGCCTGCAGCAGCAGCACGGGTTGGGTTGGGTTGTACCCGTCCGTCTGTTCGTTGTAACGGTGAAGGATGTTGTAGCCGAGGGGTGGTGTGTGATGGGGGGATGTCTTTTTTTGGTTTTGTCGTATTACAACCGCAGCAGCAGGAGCAGCAGTGGTGGTGAGGAGGGGCGGGAAGGTGAGGCAAACAAGACAGAAATAAGACAGGATAAGACAAGCAAACACCCCCCCTCCCCCCTTACTTCCCCCTTACCTCCCCCCATCACATCCCGCCGTCACATCACCCATCACCCTATCCAATCTAATACCAGTTACGTGAATTCGTACATTGAGAATCCCCCCCAAAAAAATTCCAACCCGCCCCCCGCCCCCCGCCCCCCGGCCCCTTGGCAGACAAACGGTCGGTGGTCTCACCCTCCCTCCCCGCTGCTCGCTCCAGACCTCAAAGGTATCCCCCATCGGGACCCTCCAGCAGCGGACCGGGGGCGGACATCGGATAGTGGGACCCGGATATGTACGGGAAAGGGATAGATGCGTGCATGCGTGCGTGCAGTAGTCGACGGTTGCCGCCCGGTCTGGGGGGGCACGACATGTCGTTAGTGTGGGATGGGTTAGACAGACAGTACAGTCTGGTTCAGTCCAGTCCGACAGCAGTACAGTAGTAGACAAATCAGATAGGCAGGGCGGAAACGGAAAGCGTGAAGACTGGGCGACTACCAGTCAACATGTCCGCCGGTGAATGGGAATGCCTGGAATGTTTTTCAACCCCCACACCATACCACGCCTCAACAGTACGCGGTGATGTGATGTGCTGTACGTCTTCCCTCCTCAACACTCCCTCCGCCGACGAACCGGATCCCAGTGATCGGAGCGATCTGATCGGAGCGCCACGCTGTGCATGAGTCCGGTGGTGGGTGGGCCTGGGCTTAAGCCAATCGGTAGTGGGAGGGAAGGGGATGTGGCTGGCTGACTGACTGACTGATGGATGGGGTGGAGGTGTGGTTGTGGTTGTCGTTGTGGTTGTGTGGTGTGGTGTGGTGTGGTGTGGTGTGGTGTGGTGTGGTGTGGTGTGGTGTGGTGTGGTGTGCGTAGGTGTGTAGGTGTCCACAGAGAGAGGGAGAATGGAATGGGTGGAATGGGTGAGAAGACGAGGGTGTGCGGTACGAGGAATGGCATGATGCATGTATGTTTTTTTACGCTGGTATTAGGGGGTTTTGATATAGATATCGTATGACTCCCGAGGGCGAGGAGGAATGGGCTGTCCTGTCTGGTCAGTGAGTGCGTGGGATGGCATGGCATGTAGAAACCACCTCAATAGTAGGTGAGGTGAGGCTAGAGAAGCTGTAAATGCCACATCACCACATCACCACCGCCACTCCCACCATCGTTCCTGGTCTTGTACCTATCCCGTCAACCAGGCCATCTCATCCCACGGTACCGTCAGTTAGCAAGTTAGATAAACGAGTGTAGTCTCCCACCGGCGCGCACAACTATTTTTTTCGTTTTTCTTTTTTTTCGAAATATTATTCTAGAACAAGAACGCGTATATATACACCGCACCATAACCCAACCTCATCACGCTGTTTCGTTTGCTGTTCCAAGGGGCCTCCCCCCCGCCCTCCCTTGGTTTGATGGATGTCTAGTACGGTAAGTTAAAAATGAGGGCGTGCGAATAGTGCGCCCATTCCATCTATCTAGCGATCCATCCATACCCATCTACCTCGGCTGATGCGGGGGAATGGGGCGAGAGCACGGGTAGTGGTAGTGGTTTCCTAGCTCTTCGCCGCCTGTCTGTCTTCCTTGGCCCCTTTTCAATGGGTGTTTGCTCGACGGACGACTCGATGGGGGATAGCTGGGCGGAGGGGGTGGTTTGTTTGTCGCTGTCTCACCCCACTTCTTACTCATATCACCTATCGGCCGCGCTTAGCCGTGCTGGATTTTCGGATGAAGTGAAAGGGGAAACCGGGGGGGGGGGTGGATTTGTGTGTTTGCTCTTGTGCGCCATTCTATTCTGTGGTAGTGTGTTAGCAGTGTTAGTAGTGTTCCGTTGTAGTGTGCGTCGTTGTGTGTAGTTTTATTTAGCCTTCTTTATTTTTGACAGTCCGGCCAGCGAGAAAGGGCGTTGGATCGGTGAAAGCTTAATACCCAATTTCCTGGCACCAGTCTTACCCCTCTCGGAATAGTGCGAGTTACTGGGCTGAGCCGGGCTGAGCTGGGCTGAAAGTGGAAAAGCCCGGTTTTTGTCTGTCTAGTTTTACACTAGTGTGGTAATTATGGGATATGTGGTTTTACATTTTAGCAGTAGTATGATGCGACGAGAGAGATGACAACTTTGGTGGCCCCCACTCCCCGTATTGCCCAGTCCAGCCCAGAGGGAGGTAGAGGAGGTACTTCCAGGTGATGGGTGTGCGCTCTTTCACCGGCCGGGGACAGGAACGCTTAAGGTACTTGGGGGGTACTTTGCTGGAGGGTGTGGGTTGTATGGGGATTGTATAGATGGATGATGTCGCGGGGGGGTATTCCCCGATGTCTGAGGTGGGAGTTTCTCCGTCTTTCCCTTGTCTTGTTTTCTCCCCTTTGTCGCGCGTCAACCCCCTCGAACAAACTTAAGTACT